CTTTGAAAGTGAACCTTTGACAATAAACGTGCCGACTTTGTCAGTATCAAGATCATCTACGCATAAAAGTCGATGGCAGTCTACACAGCAATCGACGTGATGGTCGCCGCCGTGAATCCATCTAGGAGTCGTTACCGGTCACCGTGTTGCGTAAAGGCTCAGAGCTCAAAGGGCACCGTCTGCTTGCGCGCAAATCTTGGATGTCATCGTTACAGTCTCCGTAACGTATTCGGCCTAAGCAGTCTCGCCGTTAGTACCCCGCCGTTTGTAATCATGTCGTGACCAGTCTCGCAGTAAGTATCACGACACCTATGTCAGTAAGCACGGCGTTGGCAACAACTGGGCACCCAGTTGAGGGGCCTTGATCTCAACTCCAACATATGTATAGTAGTGACAATCAGCTTGCTAGCGATGTTTGCCTTACCATTTCTGTACCAAAAGCAACTTTTCCGGTGAAAGCTCCATGATCAGGTCAGCACGGGCCGTCCCTTGATCAGAATCTCATTAAAGTCTTCAAGTTTTACTGTGTTCTCAATTGTAGCAATAACCTTGATGCCAATATCCTGCCACTGCGCCTGAACGATGCAGCAATGTAATCACACCGTACACCAGACGGACCTGATAAGATATCCTCGCTCGTCTCTGTCCGCGTCTGCAAGGATCACCTTGCAGCTGGGCATGTTCATGTTCTTATGCTCACCAAGTATCGCGTCGTTTCTTTATTCAAGTCAAGAAGCTGTTCTATGTGATCTCTAAGACGGTCAATGCGAGTGAGCCATCGGCAACCAGATAGATACACCGATATTGACCTCAGTGAGCCAGCTTCGATACGATACGCGCGTGATTTTGGTGTTTTCACCCTGTACTCATGGTCTGTCATGGATACAAATGTAGATCCTTTATCATGTTAACTTGTCGTTGTTGGCCAGAATCCGTGCAGATCTCCGGTCCCTTGATGTCACCATGATGTCGATGATGACTTGTACGGGCCTGTAGCCAACGCCATTCGCAGTTAATTAAGCGTCTCACACAACTATTCTGTGTAGCTGCCGTGGTCTTTGTGCGAGAAGTGGAGGCGGGTCACAGTTATGCCGGCTTTAACAAGCTTGGATAGTCCCTCTTCGAGTCAACAAGATGAGCTCGGTCAGTCGCCCGTTGGGCCAGCACAACGATCTCTGCATTATTGAGTAGACAAACGTAGAAATCACGGTGTGTCATTATCACCAACATTAACGTCAAGTCCTTCAGCACCTCGCTCACTTCATGCTGATCCGTCAGCATCTTGGACAGATCACAAGCCTGTGTTCTACTCTTCAAGCAAGTCATAAGAAGCAAGCAATTTTAGTTGTAGTAGGTTCGTGTAAAACAACAACTTGGTATAGCTTGGCACACCGCTCCACCATAGGCAAAAACAAAATACTCGATCTGTAACATGTTGTGCTTCTCATGACTGGTCACTTTTGAGATGGTATTCAGTGCTGATGTGCTTCATAAAGACATGGATGTAGCTCCTTTCATCAAAAGAAAAAATCGTTACGGCCAATTCAAACGGGTGGCGTGCAAAGCCAATAAAAGACAAACAGGTTGACGGCATATTTTCTCATAAGCACGAAGATCCATGGCTTGTTGATAATGTTTTTCCGACAGATTGCCAAGACTCACCCATTGATACACAACAGCTCCGATTTTATAGTTGGCAACGATCATCGTGCTTGATGCAAGACTGCGACGCCGTTCTTAACATACTGCACCGTAGGAACTTGACTAGTGATCAGTTATTTTGACAAATCTTTCAAGCTCATGTGAACACGTCCAAGTAATTTCTTGACATTATCTTGGGACTCGCAAATGTCTGAGCTGATAAGACATGCTGTCGATATTATGTCGCACTCATCAGATCACATTCCAATACAGAAAAACTGCGGGTACCAAAATATTCGGATCTTGCCCGGTGTAAGCACAGCAATAAGGCCAAAGACGAGACGTCAAACAAGTTTGGTGAGGCAGGACGTGACACGAGTGTCTTATGCAGCATCATTGGGTGGTCTGAAACGTTGGTGCTGCATGCTTCATGCATCTGCTTCGCTAGCTGCTTCATGCCACCGATCTCGGTGGGCACGACCCTGAGTTGGATTTTCATTCAAGTTTTGACACCGCAAGTGGCATTGTCTCGATTTGCTCGTTTCTTTCGACCACTACATAATCAGAATGACGGATTTCTCTGCGGTGTGGCGAACAAAGCCGATGTCAGTCATCCAAGCCGAGGAAATCTCGCAGGACATTCCACGCACATTAACTCTCTTTGACCTGTGCTGTGTAGGTGTGGGAGCCACCATTGGCAGTGGTGTCTTTTCTACTGCCGGATCAATGATTAGCGAGACGGCTGGTCCTGCTGCCGTAATCAGCTGGCTTATCGGCGGCATTATTTGCTGCCTCAACGCTTTTGCGTACATGGAATTATCGACGCGCGTACCGTCTTCAGGAAGTACATACGCGTACGCCTACTACACGATCGGCGAGCTGCCTGCTGTCATCGCCGCGTGGCTGCTGACTCTCGAGTATGCCGTGTCAGGTGCTGGCGTGGCGCGTAGTTGGGGAGATAAGGTTGAGGAATGGCTTATGGTCGAGTACCCTGACAAGAGCTTCCGTTGGCTGAACCTGCCGTTTGCTAATCTAAGTGGTGGACTTATTCAATTCCTAAGCATGGTGGTGCTGCTGATGGGCGTGCGATTTGGCAAGGTCTTTGTGAACACCGTCACTGTAATCAAGATGAGTGTCGTGGTGTTTATTATCATTGCTGGGTTTGCTGCCATGAATCCTGACAATCTGTCACCTTTTATACCCAAAAGTACCGAGCGAAATGGTATAATGGCCTTTGGGACGCAAGGCATTATCACCGGCGCTTCACACGCGTTTTTTGGATACGCCGGTTTCGATGAGGTTTGCTGCCTCGCCGGCGAGACCAAAAACCCCAAGAAGACCATGCCTATTGCTATCATGGTTACTGTGCTATGCACAATGGTGCTGAGCGCATTGTGCTCTCTTGTGCTGGCCGGTATGATCGCTTTCACTGAGGCAGCCAGCTTCGGTGACGGATTTGAGGGCCACGGCTGGAAATGGGCCGGCACTGTTGTGCGTGCTGGTGAGGTGGTCACCATGCCTGTAGTGGCACTCATTGGCTTCCTGGCTCAGCCTCGCTTAAATTACGCACTTGCTTGTGACGGGCTTCTGCCGCGCATCTTTGCTGAAGTAAACTCTAAGGGCAACTTGTTTAAGAACACGCTTATCACGGGTCTGTTCTTCACGGTGATTGCCATCGTGGTGCCCTTCGATACTCTGTGGGATATTGTGAACTTTGGTGTTATGATGTCGTTCATTGTTGCCAACGTGTCGCTAATGTTAGCGCGTATGAGACCTCAGTCACCAAACCTGGCCGCCATTCTCGTCGTCGCACTGGTTATGACTGCTGGGTGTGCAGCATTCCTGTACCAGGAGGGATACGAGAACAACTCGTCCCTAGCGTGCCTAATTCTTGCTTTCGTCTTTCTTGTGATTACTGTTGGAATCTCAGTGGCGCTCTTTGTCAAGTGCCCGCAAACTGCCAATATACCGGGTCTGTTCGCTGCTCCGCTCGTGCCGTTCATTCCGATGACGTGTATCCTCGCCGACTGGTATATGATTGCACAAATCAGCCACCTGGCACTGGGTCTTAGTGTTGCTTGGATGGGTGCCGGAGCGCTCTCGTACTTTGTATACGGCTTCTTTCATGCAGAGTCACGCAACAACTGGAGTCGGTTAATGGGTCAGAACCTGCCTACGCATGGAGACAGCCTCTCTGTCCACATGCTCTCGTCCAAGTACACGATACACGAGCTAAAGCTTTCCGCCGTTTAGATGCATGTAATAATAAGTTACAGAATAATGCATTTTGCGTCTGAGTCATTTCATTTCCGTGCCAAATCCGATCTTGACTGCCACCAAAGTTCAAGCTTGACTGTCATTTTGGCAGAACTGCAATAAAGAGGAACAAGGATAGGGTGACATCGCCTGCAAATGGACGTCGACGGTCAGTGGATCATTACGTACAGCACGCCTTGTCTATGCGGACCAATCATTGGGAAATGCAGAGCAGAACGATTTCTCTGAGATTTAGGGCCTTCGTAGTTGGACGCTCAAGCCGGGTAACGAGCCTTCGGGCCAGCAGTATTTTGCAACCCCGAAAGTTTGTTGCCCTCGCTTGAGCACTGACCAAACATTGTCAGTCTAATCATGGATAATCGCTCTTCACTTGATTTGGTTCGCCCAGTGTAAGTTTTCTAACATACAAATTGAAATATCCTGCAACTACGTGATTCACGGCCTCGATGTTGTGAACAGTTTCATGCATTCTGAGCGACGGCAAAAGACAATGTATCATATTTCTAGAGTCGGCGATGCTATCTACTTAGTTCTGCTTGCGAAAGGACTGAAGAATATTTCACTTAGTATCTGTATCTTCTGCAAAAGTCTTTTATCTGTCTTCATATTGCATTTATGGCGACGCAGCATAGTACTTTGAGCTTCAACATGGTAAACCAATCATACGGTACGAATAGTGGGTACGGGTGTTCATGAAGGCGTGTTACTCTTTACGGTAGTCTCACTTTATGACTTATCCTTCACTACAGATATTAAGCTAGCTGGGAGATAAGCAATTCTCTCATATTAAGTGTGTCAACTCTGGTTGTTGCTGTTAGTTTTCAAAATTCTAACAAGGTAATACAATTAGAATTAATGATGGTGGCCTATCGTTGTTGTCAAAATTTGATTCTGTTGCAGCCAAAGCAGCGACGTGTTGAGTCGTGCCAAAAGGAGACGAATTGAGTCTTGTGTCGTGCTCATCATTGGACGCTATCATGGAGAGAACGTCCTTGAAATTAATATTTACATTGCCACTTGAAAAATGCAACATAAATGAAAAGTGATTGATTATGGTTCTTAGTTCGCACTAAGTGCTACATCTAAGCTGGTCGATTTATAGCCGATTTACTGTATGTGATAACCTGTGTAATGAAGCCATTTGCATGTCAGCATATTAACCAACAGGCTCAAGTCGCATATTACACGTACCCGAGATGTCCAGTCAAGCGTAGACTTCACGCGATGTCCATTCCATTCAAGTTTCCAATCTAGGTTCGTTCGAGCATTCACCAAATGCGACTGCGGTGGCACCCGAGGTGAGGGTGCATCGTCACCGTCGCCATGCTTTATCCAGTCCTATAGGACGTAATATAGGTGGAGTACGAATCATATAACGTGACATCGTTTTAGTTCCAATCAAGGCATACATACAATCACTGCAGTTCTCTTACCTGGTCGACAGTTGCTACAGCTCGAATGTAGGCCATATTCGACGTGACATTAGCCAAGTCCAAACACGTAACGAATAGTGATGTTCCCACTATCGTTGCGTTAGCAGCTGCAGCCTGCGATGAATTGGATGCAAGCTCATAGAATCGCCGGGTGGTACCCTTTTGAATTGTGGTCCTGATTAGAACGCTGTTGTTGTCGAACGATGGGGTGGAAGATACCTGAACATAAGTGCTGTCCACTGTAAGTGCGCCAAGCACTTCCCAAGCGATCTGCAGCTTTGAGTGTCTTCCGTCAATCACGCTGCAGTCGGCGACATTGCACGTTGTAACTTCGTTGCGCTCCCACGCTAGAGCTCCACAACCCATCTCAGTTACTTGATTAGTGTTTGTCGTGTATAAGCTTGCTGCAGGAAAGAAACTCGACACGTTTTGAGTGCGCGTCACGGACGACCCCGCACTATCCACCCAGCGCACAAAAGGTTGAACCATCTCAATCATCATAAGTGCCAGGCGGACATTCCGTGGCACGTGCCCTATAAACTCCGTCATGACTCCTTCAGTTCGGAAGAAATCAACGTTTGCTTTGTATAGCTCCTCATACTTTCCCAACTCAACAGCTTCAGGCTCCTTCCTGTCTGATGTTTCTACTAGCATATTGAACGCGCGGTTGGTAATGTTGTTGTACGTAGTCTTCTCCTTCAAATATCCTCCAAACGTTGTCGGTTCACATGGACGGAAAGGTTGCAATTTTTTGTCGTAAAACTGATTCTCCCACGAGGCAGCGTAGCCCCAGTCTTCCATACCACCAGTGACGCCATACACAACGTCATTCATTGTTCCCGTCGGATACAGTTTTCCATCCGGGAAGATACCTGCAAAGTTGGCCAATGTGTTGCCAATCTGAAATTGAGCCATATGATCTGGAGATTTCTCACTCGGATTATTCTCGTTGCCACGCAGATAATGATCCGGCGAGCCCCACTCATACGCCACTGCTCTAGTTCCGCCATGAAACGTCACTGCCAACTGGAAAACATGGTCTCTCCAAATTTCGTTCACCACACGAGACGTCATCGCCTTCATACAATCCACGCCAGACCTCATGTAATTATAGTCTCGGTTTGGATCCACTTCCAACTCCCTGCGACATTTGCGTGAGTAGCCGTAAGCGTTCGTCATTGGCATCACCAGCACGTTCCGAGTGTTCACCAGCTCTTTCAGCCAGCGCTGCGTGTCCACCGTAGGCTTCATCTTATCGTCCGTTTCGTATATGGATGTGGCATGTGCAAATAATGCAACGAGCTCGATGGCTGCATTGGGGCCAACACGTTCGTCACCATGCAGCGCTCCACTGATGAATACTTCTGGTCTCTCCGGGTCACTTACCAGCGTCGAGTGGTTAGTTATGTGTACTACAAACTGCTTGCACAGCTCCGTTGCATTTGTCTTATCGTCTATAATGCATTGGAGCTCTGGGGGGTAAGGCAGATGATACGTTTCTTGGGCCACTGACACTCGCACGACATCTGAATATGTTGCGTTGAGCTCCAACAGGTACTTGGCCATCTCGATATACGTCCTGTAGTTCATCGGAGACAGTGGCATCTGTTCGTCGGAAAAAACAACGTCATGAAGACGCGTGCCTAGTGCTAACAACAGACAAGCACGGAGCATGACCGACGTCAGGAGGCAATAAATGACACGCGGCGGAGAGTATTGTCACAATGATTTTAATACTACGAGCTATTGTGGTCTCCGAAATTAGTTTCTGTGCGACGAGCGAGCCCAAACTTGGGTCAAAAACATTTGTTTGACTACATTTTCCTTTGTTTACGCTCTTTAGATTGTCGCAACCGACTCGCTGGTTAAATATGAATTCGTCGTAATACGTGAAATCTCTTCGGACGGATGGGGAAATTCCAAATCCAAATGGTCCGGGCAGTAGCCACCACCGATGACCCACTTGTTGCAGTACGCAAATGAACACTTCTTGCCGCCACCGTGGCCCTTGCAATAGCCCCCGCCACGGTCTATCGCACTGCAATTGCTCTCCTTACATTTCGTGCCACCTCCGTGACGAATGCATAGCCCTTTGCCTTTTTGCTTGTTTGTACACCCCTCATGTTGACATAGCTTACCTCCTCCGTGAGCTTTGCAGAGTTTGCGGTTCTGTGCTGCGCGGTCACAGTTTAGCACACTGCACATGACCTTACCGCCATGGCCACGGCAGCGCTTGTTCACCTGACGAATCTTATCGCAGCCTTCCACAACACACTTGCGTCCACCACCATGGGCGATGCAGTGACCTCCGCCAAGGTCATACTTCGTGCACCCAAGCGTTTTGCAACGCTTTCCAGGACCCTTGTGCTCCAGACAAATGCCCCCGCCAAGTGCCCAGTTCTTGCAGCCATCAGCTTCACATTTCTTGCCACCTCCGTGGGCCTTGCAAAACCCGCCACCTCGGTCTACTTTTGTGCAGTCCTTTGTCTGGCATTTCTTACCGCCACCATGCGAAATACATCGGCCGCCACCGATATCTCGTCTCTTGCAGCCTTCGTGTTGACAAAATCTGCCACCGCCATGTGCTTTGCAATATCTGTGTCAAAAAAGACACAAAAAGCGTCGAGCATAAGTCGTTTCAAAAAGCACAGCCAGCAGTCATACAATTGCCGTTCTTAAGTCTACTCACCCTCCTTCCATCCTCTTGTTCTCACAACCTTCAATGGGGCACAAAGGCTTTCCGCCGTGTCCTGAGCAAAATCCGTATCCCTGGACCTGTTTCTCGCATCCTTCCTGTTTGCACTTTTTACCACCACCGTGCTTAATGCAATACCCAACTCCTTGATTAAACTTATTGCACTTGGGGTGTTTGCAGAACTGACTAAGCTTATGAAGAGCGCAACGCCCGTCCAAGCCTGTTGCAGCGCGCTCACATCTCGTACGACCTTTGTTATAGTATCTACAGCGATTTTTGGACGTAATAGGAACAGCCATATCAGCTGCTAAAATTGTTGCCTCAGCTTGTTGGATGCTGTGATCATCCTCTGCTGTTATACCTGGAGACGACAATTGCAGCACCCCGGTCTCCATAGTGACAGTATCCTCTACCTCCGTTTCTTTCTGCTCCTGCTCTGTCTGAGCAAGCAGCATCCTGGCAAATTCAGCTCCATCATGATCGATCTCTGGCAGCCCATCAGGTCCCACGAACGACGTGCGAAAGTCTAACTCGGATGACTGCGTCGTCGACAGGTCAGCTGCATTGATGGAATAAACAGACAAAACAGAAACGTTTACAGGTACTCCAATCCATTGCCACCACATTGAATGACCAACCAACAGAAGTTGCATGTTGTTACTTACGCATTGATGTCTGGATGTTCGTGTCGTCCGGCCGCATGCCATGCAGAAAGTGTAGATAATCGTTCTCACGTTCTTCGGATGGATCCATTGTTGTATATACAAAGTATATATAATCTGATTAATTATAGAGAAAAGTCCTGAGAACGCAAAGCTCAGTCAAATAGGTGGTGGGAGCTGCTGTCGAGAGCGTTTAAACAAAGACTTGAAATGGCGCTATGTTGGACTGGCCATATACTATTGGTACAAAATACAAATTCGAGTAGACCAATCATTGTCGAATGACATACACCGATCTCAGCCAGTCAGTGAGTCGCTCCATTATAGCGAAAGTCATGGCAAGCGTGGCAGAGATCAAGCAGTTGGAGGCAAAGATCAAAGAAGATGTTAAACAAATTAATACACTGCCCAAGATAGTAAAGGCACTGCACCACAGAGACAAGTCCATGGCGCAGACGGCCATGCAGAGCATGAGACGAGTGCTTTTGTTCTTTTTGGACAAGGGCGACTTGCAATTTAAGCCGATGGAGCAGAAAGCAGCCAAGAAGATAAAGCAAGGAGACACACAGGCCATTGACCAATTTCGTCGCTGGATTTGGGATGTGTACGTAAACTTTCTGAAGGAAATGCTGCAATGGCTAGGAAACGCACAGACGGACAGCAACTTGCGCGTCGGAGCCGCTGCGCACGCTGATGGAATTTGTATCTCGTGAGGATGCAACACGAGGGACTAATGCACCCACTTTTGGCAACGAAACATTTATGCGTGTGGTGGAGGAGTTGGCGATGACGGAGAATTTCAAGGGAGGATTGGCGAGTGTTTTTAAAGGGGAATATGTTGGAGCTTACATGGATGTCCAGTATTACATGGTACGGCTGTAGATATGGTGATATAGTCCTGAGATACGAGACTAATATTTTGAAAACTGTATGCGTGATCAGCTGAAGAATATGGCACAGATTTTAGATAGCGCGCATTCGAAAATCGAGAATGGTGAGGCAGAAGACTTCACGTTGGTGGCGAATATTCTGCGAATGCTAGAAATGGTGCAGATGCCGTATGTTGCAGAAGACATTACGGCGTTTCTTGTCGACCCGAAGGATGCCAACTTGCCAACTCAGGAACTGGTAAGTAGCGATGATAAAAGTGATGAAGAGGAAGAAAATGCTTTTTTTACCGTCGGAGCAAAGCGAAAGGCTGGGTCTGACTCAAAACCGAAGAAGACAAAGGAGAATAGAGGCTTGCGCAGTGTGAAACAGCACCAGCATACTTTTAGTCTGGCATGGATTGCTTTGCTACGTCACAAGCTGCCGCAGGCTTCATACCAGAAAGTATTGGTGAAAATGCCGGACGAGATCATGCCGCATCTTGTGAATCCGCTACTGCTTGCAGACTTCCTGACTGATTCATACAGCATCGGTGGTGTGACGAGTCTTTTGGCACTGAACAGTCTATTTATCCTCATTCAGGACTACAACTTTGACTTGCCTGATTTTTACACCAAGCTGTATGCTCTGCTAGACGATCCATCATTGTATTCGGCCAAGCAGCGTGACCGCTTTTTTGGGCTGTTGAACCTTTTCCTTTCGTCTACACACTTGCCGGCATACATGGTCGCGGCTTTCGCCAAGCGCTTGTCGCGCAGAGCGCTGACGGCTGAGCCGGGCGCTATTTTGTTTATTCTTCCGATGGTTTACAATTTGATTTTGCGCCACAAGGAATGCTTGCAGCTCATTCACCGTACCGGTGCTTTTACCGCAGCAGAGCAGGCTGCTAAGCGCCGAGAAGAGTTATCAAGCAGTACTGCTGTTGATGCCGCAGCTAATCAGTTGTCCAACAAAACCAAGGAAATCATTTTGAAGGACGGCCACGATCCATTCGTGAACGACGAGCTTGACCCTGTGAAGTGTAACGCTTTACAGACTTCGCTATGGGAGTTATACACGATGAAGTATCACTATAACGCTGACGTTGCAGTGAAGGCACGGATGTTTGAGGAACAGTTGCGTCATCAATTTGTCGATGTCAATATGAGCATGGAGATCACTTACAAGAGCCTTTTTGATAAGCAGCTGAAGCGTAAGGAGAAGGGCAATGTTTCGCTGGCGTATCAGACCTGCAACGCACTCTTCTTGAACGGTGTCAATGGTGATGAGTGCGAAAGCATGGACGAAAAAAGTGTATTTGCTCAGGTATTTGAGCTTTAGAGTATTCCTGCCTTTGCAGATGATAATATATCCATTCGATAAGCGGTGTATAATATTTGTAATCTGCCTAGTGTATACATCGCACTGGCTACTCGTCTTGAGCAAGCTTGACATTAGTTGTGGCTCCGCACAGCTCCCAAAAGATCGTTTTTAGTAGAACGTGGTGGAATATGATCGACAAAATACAAACAAATATTTTATTGACGTCGTAGGTGGCGCAGGTAGGAGACAGCATCTGGTCATTCCTAGTTTGTACACAATTCCAGGCACCGCGTTCTATCCCAATTGAGAGTTTACCTATGCAATACGAAGAATGACATGGACACCACTATCGCTCTCCACCAAGTCGCTAAGATCACCAACATTGAGAGCAAACGCAGCCTTTTCAAAAGAAGGAGTCATCTTTCCGCGCGTGAACGGTCCCAGATCGCCCCCACGCTTCGCGCTGCACCGAAAACGTATTAGTTCAGGATGTTTATCTTTGGACAAACGATCACCATTCTTACCTGTTGCAATCACTCTCTGCTTTAGCAATCTCTTCAAAAAGCTTACGCAATGCCTCGGATGGTCTCTGCATATGGGTGAGAATTAGTGTGATCGAGCAACAAAACAAGACTTGTACCCAGCCTCAGACAGCTTACTTCAGGATTAGCCTCCATACATGCTAGAAGCTTGTCTCGAATACCACCTGCCTTCGCCTCTGCCACCGATTTGCTGCGAGTGATGGTCTCCTGTCGCCAAGACGACGGTCTCCTTGATCCCGAATGCTTCACAAGGACATGCAGCGCCTGCAATAGATAAAGAGGTCACACCACACTGGCTCCATCAATTCAATATGATCCTATCAATCTAACAATCAGTGGCACGAATAAACGCACGTGAACACTTTCCAAACTGGAAGAACTGTTGCTCAAACGAGTTTTTTTACTGTCGGCGTGAACGGCCACCGCTCGGTGCCGCAACTCACGCTCCTTGGCGTGAACATGTGAAAGCTTCCAGGTCTTTTCACCGCTCTTCGCGTGGAGAAAGTACACCTTTCCAGGACGACTTTTGCTCTCTACTTCCTTCCAGCCGCGGGGCAGGTCCTTGGCTGTCGTGCTCATGCTACTTGCTTCTTTACTTACAACCTTCCTGCTCGAACGAGACTTTTTCCACGCTTTTAACCACGACTTCAGCAGACGAAAGAAACAATGCTGCTTGTTGATTCGTGCAAATTCTACCACCTTTTGACGAATCATCGTGCTGTTTTATACTATCCTAAAATCCTGACTATCATTCATTTACATATTATACTTGTCATTCATTTACATATTATACTTGTCAAAATAGGAATGCAGGTCAATTGTGTCTACTCTTTCTGTGCCCTGGATTGTAATTTGGGATTAGTTGCTCTACTTAAGTCTTTTTCTAACGCTAGTCGTAGCTGCTATCAACATCCCCTTATCATCTATAAATCTTCTTATGTTTCAATTTCAAGATAGCAGCAATGAAAACCTTGTTATCTTACCATTGAAACAGTACGACTAATCCGGTTGTGACGCAAACTGAAGTACAAATCATTGTATTGTCCACATTATATTCGAAACAGGGACATACACTATCATTATCATCAATTGATTGATCGATCGATCACTGTTCAAGAAAAAAGACCTTTTTGCTACTGACTTGGCCAAAGTGTGACAAAAAACCAGTTTCAACGAAAAAAACATGCATTCACTCTTCAAGAAGTCTCGACCCTCACAAGTCTTTGATAAAAAGAACAAACGAGTTAACTAAAAACTACATTCACGACCAAAAGCAGTGTCTTATTCTATTTCTACGACCGTCTTTCGCTCTCTATCTGTAGGTTTTAGGTCGTAATTCTTTCATGTAAAAAGTAGTTTATGCAGCTTCAAATACGAAAGCAAAGATAGTCGAACTTTCTTGACGACTTTTCTCTGCTGTTGTTTTCTTGTCTTCTTCCTCTTGTCTTTTGTATTGATTATTTTATCATCATGCACATACGATACTATCTCATAAGCCTATTGAACTGCTGAACGGAAGCCTCAAGACTTTTCAGTAAACTCTCGCCATGGAGCTCAGCTACCCACTTATGCGTGTGCCTTTCGAAGGTGCCACTAAAAGCTTTCGTCTGTATCAAAAAAAGATGACGCGAGAGCTGGCACTGGTCGTGGCACAGATTGAGGCAATGGACAGCAATGACAGTCAGCCGCCAGGCCATCGAATGGACGTTGAAGCGGCGATCAAAGAGCTAAGTGAGCTGGCTCAGACCTTGCAAAGACTGAAGCAAAGCGCCGAGCACAACGTGCTGGAGCAACAAAACAACCTGGAAAACTGTGTAAAGCGCGCGCAATACCTCGAGACACTGCAAGATATAAAGATCGGAGGTAAGATCTCGATGGTCGCGCGTCAGAACGATCTCGGGTCTATCATGAATGACAGACTTGTTGCCGACTACTTGCTTGGACAAGGATATCTTGAGAGTGCCAAGATAATTGCAGACAGTCATGGCAGTAAGTTCTTTGCAATCTTTTAGGATGAAAAGATGGTCTTGTGGTCTATCTCACGCTTGTTTTGTTATGTTCCAATAGATATGGACTACTTGCTCGATTACGATCTTCATGCAACATGCCAAGCGGTGCTAAAGGACTTGCGAGATTTTCATACACAAACGGCGCTTGCGTGGTGCTCACAGAATGGCACACGACTTCGGCGTCTGCAATCAACACTGGAATTTCATCTACGACTGCAAGATTTTGTCGAGTACGTGCGCTCTCGCAAGCCATTGAAAGCTGTTCAGTACGCGCGTGCGTACCTTGCACCTTTAGCAATTCAATCGGACAACCAGGATCTTCGTGATGCTGCGATCGGTGAAGTTCAGATCGCTATGGCTATATTGGCCTTTGAGTCGCCTGAAAAGTGCGGTATTGAGGCGTACGAAAAGATTTTTGCGACGGATCGATGGCTGATACTGGAAAAAATGTTTCGCAAGACTTTTAACGACGTTTATGGAATACACGACCCGCCGTCGCTGTGTATCGCGCTGCACGCTGGGATCTCTACGCTAAATACAAGAGCATGCCACCTTATTCGAGACGCAAAGTTGAAGGCTCGACTACCACAGAGTGGATTCCAGAGCAAAAGAAGACGTCGAAAAAGCGAAGGAGATGACAACAGTGATGGCAATGAAAACAACTGTGGTAATAAAAGTGGCGATGAATCGCTAGAGCCGAGCACAGCATTACAGTCAAAGAGTGCTGCCTCTGCTCGATATAGCCATGCGGTTTCTCGTAGCAGAAAACGCAAGCACGTTCGCACCGAGTCTCCAGTATCTATCTGTCCAGCATGCAGTGAAGTTGGCAGCCAGTTGTGCAAAGGGCTCCCATTTGCGTACCATCCGCACTCACGACTGGTTTGCCGCGTAACGCAAAGTCTTATGGACGAGCACAATCCACCCCTTGTACTTCCTAATGGTCGTGTGTACAGCAAACAAGGCATTGAGCTGCTTACAGAGCAAAGCACCGATGGAATGATCAAGTGTATGGACACCCATGATGTATTTGCACTAAGTGACGTAAAGCCCGTGTACATTCTCTAGCCAAAGTATCCGTTTGGCAGTAGCACTCGATTTCGTGCTACCGGTAAGTACAAATTGCAATTCACATTATCTTTTCAATTGTTTAGGCCGAGTTAGATGTATTTGATACCAAAATACGAGGTGTAAAAGCTCCTGAGTGCTGCAAGCTTTCTGTCACAGTTTGCATAAAGTCCTGAACGCCATCATCATCATCACATATTAATCGTGAGCAATTTGTAGTCAAAGCGCGTGCATTCCTTACCTGAGCAACTTTCTCGCTAAACTTCTTCACTCCTTCCGCAAGCAGAACTAAGTAGATAGCATCGTCGACTCTAGAAATATGATACGTTGTCTTTTGCCGTCGCTCAGAATGCATGAAACTGTTCACAACATCGAGGCCGTGAATCACGTAGTTGCAGGACATTTCAATTTGTATGTTAGAAAACTTACACTGGGCGAACCGAATCAAGTGAAGAGCGATTATCCATGATGAGACTGACAATGTTTGGCCAGTGCTCAAGCGGGGGTAACGAGCCTTCGGGGTAGCAAAATACTGCTGGCCAACTACGAAGGCCCCAAAGCTCAGAAAAATCGCTCTGCTCTGCATTTTCCTCACGATCGACCCGCATAAACAAGGAGTGGTTTACGTAATGATCCACCGACCGTCGACGTCCATTTGCAGGCGATGCCCCTCCACCTCGAGAAGACGCGGGGGAAGGTGTACGGCTACTGATTCCGGGAGTATCAGCAAAACCAACTGATGTAGTAATCCTATGCTTCGCCTGCTCTTCCTGTTCGTCCTGTTTTTCGTGGCCTGTAGAAGTATAGAGTGCATTGCTCGAGCTCGGACAACGATATCCGTTTTCGTAATAATGTACACCCTTATTTTCAAGAGCTTGCGTCTCAAGAATAAGCATAACACGCAGTTGACTTTCATCATGATGTGCTATTCACAACATAAATCGACCACATGAGTCAAACGCTTCACTTGACAAAGACAACAAATTATCACTTACAGCTTCGAGACAGCAATACGTCCATCAACTGTAGATAGGATATTCCAAGTGGAGTTTTGATGAAGCGAGAGAGTTCAAGTGCTAAATAATCTGTCTTTTTTTCAAACGGTTCCAACCAGTGATGAAAGTAAAGCGTGAATTTAGCCACAAGTGAGCGATAGAATCGCTTTGACCACTGAAACACAGGCAGAGCAAAACCGTCGTCACGTTCCTGGTTCTTCATCGAAGACGCCATCATTTCAGCCGCAACTGGGTTGGTACTGCCACCTGCGATACCTTCAGCATTTGAACCACCGTGGCTAGTTCCGAGAGATGTGCGATCAGTACCTGCACCCGCATTATTTCCTCCAACACCCAAAATAGCTTGTTCCAGTGAGTTAGTTAGCATCGAAGAGTTTGCGCCGCCCGAGCCAATATACGGGTCACCTGGCTTTTGAACGAGACCACATCGAATAGGCAAAGCAGACGTCAATCCAGCACTCCGTCGTAAAAGATTGCTATGTGATAGTAAGCGCCGGAATGTACTATGCGTCTCAGATAAAGCTGGACTCGAACTACTATTAAGAGATACGCCCGACTGATTCTTTTCAACCATGGCCATTTCGTCAGCCACATCACACGAGCTATGGCCCATGTTGGCATATCGTCCACTACTATAGGATGGAAGTGATTCCACAAGAGATGGGAAAATGCCGCCTGAAACGTCAGTAACGACGTTATGCGGATCGTTGCATAAGCTTGGACTGTGCAAATGACCGCGTCCATGGGACGGGCAAGACTGCTGGCTTACGTTGGAGAACACTAAATCAGACGTGATACCATAGTTCTCATCGGATTTATCTAAGAGCACACCCTCTCCGTCAAAACCGGTGCCATTCGTGCCATTGCCTTCAAATAGCGGGTAGTCTGAAACAGCATCAATGTGATCACTCCAAGACCGTAACTGAACCTTGAGTCGATGCAGAGCCACTATTGAGCGAGTAAAGTCGTATTCAGCTACCCGAATTTCACATTGAATAGCTGCATGCACTGTGCTAAGCTCTTCAATAGACGACTGCTTCATCGTGTCAAGTAGCGGGTGGTTGAACGTGTCAAAACACAGGAGTAGAGATTCGATTTGTTTTAGCATCTGAATAAACAACCACAAAATTTGTAAGCTATAACTTCCCGTACAACATAATACGCCGGGTCAAAATACGCCTTACGCTCTGGTAATCACGAGGCACAGTGGAAAGTGCCAGGCCGCGATATATTCTTATCATCGGACTACGAAGCTGCTCCAAGATTTTCAACGTAATGCAAATTCAAGTCAAATTTCACATACAAACGCAGACACATATGCAACAATCTATGTCAACGGCAGTTCTGTCAGCTCAGAACTCTAGCCACGCACCGAGAAAAATTCAGCTCCTTGCTCAAGCAATTTAATGTAGTAGCTCATGTCGCCGCACATGGCGATGTCCGTCATAAGCATGTGATCCATTCCATACCCGTTCTCGTCTCCTTCGCCACCTGTCCCACTTCCATCCATACTCCCATTTGTATTCTCAGCATCACTACTCGGCGTTGAAGAATCAACCGAACAGTGTCGACCCTGTCTTGCTATAATGGGCTTTAATTCATCTGCTAAATGATTCATCAGTACCACTAACTTGCCATACATTTGCTCGATCGTATCTGTTTGCACTAATTCAGCCTCCAAATATTTCATCAAATAATACCTTCCCTCAACAAATAAAACCCCGATAATGAGCTCCTATGATCATACTCACACTTCCTATTTGGACATAGTAACGTACGTGCTCTCACATGATGCTCCAAGCTTTAGCATCACTTTAAAAGCTTCCCAACCTTTCCATTTTGTGTCTACTTCCTCTTCCAAAATCTGCAGTGCCTGCAGCATGACCGAAGAAACACGTAAGCAAAGAAAACCTTTAGTACGATAAGCCTTTCTACGGCCTCAAGTAATAGGACAATATATAGCAGTAAATGGACCTTTTGGTACTGAAAATTCTCTAACAAGTCAAAATATGTAGGTAAATAGCGTGTAAATAGATCGCCAATAGCATCATCCAATGTCGTCGAGGATATCGCAGAGCGGGGAGATGTTGGCAGTGGATACAGTGGCGAGAGTGCCGATAAATTGGGCATATGAGCAACAGGACTTGCACCTGCAGACACGAAACGACGTGAGGGCTGTTGCTGTCCCACACGGAATGTCTGATCACTCCGTGCAGCCTTTAATCGGTCAGAGGCGCGCATGGCTTTAACTAATTTAAGCGTCTTAGCTTTGAATTAGCTCACTTTTACATTAAATTTAAAGACACAATATTTTGATGCTTTATGGCAGTTTTAGAAATTTGACAAAGTGTGTTTGTGTATTATTTATTACCTAAGATTACATACTCATTCAAGATGGTTAAAAGCCTATTGGTTCAATTGTTTCGCTAATAAATATCGAAACAAAAACGTTTCGGTCAAGAGACACATATAAAAAAGACAACTATCGACCAATCATCAAGTTTATTCTGCATTTCGCGTCATAGCAACATGGACATCGGATTCGTCCACCTCATAACATTTCTCCATTTTGATTAGCTTACAATGTATCAATACCTCTGCTAGGTTAAAAAAAATGTCAACTCACAGCTTTTCTCACATTCTCTAAAATTCAACGAAAAGCAAACGTCGGAGTATGCAAATGACACAATTGTTTGAGTCTATCCTTTCTGCTTTTATGAATGCTCCACAAGTGGACGGTCGTAACGTGCGTGTACCTATTGACCTAAGTGTTACCTCAAAGATGGCACGCACTCGTGTGCATGCTAAACAGAACGACGGGTCCTACTGGGCCACGGTGCCTCAGCTGCCTGTAACTACCTCTTGTCGGTAAATGCGACCTCTGCTTTGCCAAACAACTACTCGTCAGATAAGCATGACAATAAGCTTTGGAGATTGTTCAAGTGGTTTGGCAGCTTCATGGAGGCTACGGCTGGAAACCGCGCTGCGTGTTTGCTGGCTAAACATTGCAGAGCCGTCTGTATTTTTATTTCGTTCCTAGGGTCAGTCATAACTACGTGCCGTAACTAAACTGAAATGACCACATCAATTGCATTCAACGTCTCGCGTTTTCATTTGTCACGACTGTTTCATTTGCTAATTGACTACACAATGGCATTAATCCGTCCAGCCAGACAAAATGCAGTTTCAAATTCACAGTCACGCTTAATCGGCAAGCACAGGATAGGTCGCGGCTGTCGCGACACCGCAGATGTTGTCCTTCTGTGCAATCTTGATGTAGCCGTCCTCGCCCCAGTGCGTGCTCCATGAATTCTTGATCTGCTCATTAAACATGTAGACATCGTCAATAACAACCTACATACAACATCCACAAGCAGCCTTCCTTACCAATGTGTACTTCTGGCCGTTGTGCGTGGTCAATCCCACCGCTAGCACTGAATGATCGAGGTTGTCCAAACCACTCTTGCACGCAATGTCATCGTAGAAGCCGCCGCCGTAAAAGTAGAAAGACGGAAGTGCTGCGTCAATCGACACCGACAGCGGACCGATAGTAGCCAACGCATCGTTCAGACCTTCCACACTAGTAACGTTGACAAAGCCCTTCATTCGCCCAATGGCATTGCTGATGTTGAAGTGGCAATAGTCAGGTGCGTTGCGATATGACCCATATGTCGCAGTGGTTTCGAGTCCACCATTGGCCATGATCCATTCGTACGCCTGGTAGTCAAAACCTCCGTCGCACGCGTTGTTGCCATAGTTCCACCTGCGCCATCAACAAGCAGCTTAACTTCACAAATCAACTTCAAAATATTGAACAACACGCAAGTCAACGAACGAGCAATCCAGAAGGTTCTGCTGAGACATATTGAACAGCTTCTTATGCTGAGCGAACAGCGCTCCTTCCAATGCTCCAGTCGTACTGAGCACAACAAACTTAAGTTGTAAGAACAGGACAAATGGAGATAGTGGGAATGCAGACAACGCAATACAAACCCAAACGTCCAGCAAGACCCACAAGCGCCTTGATCCTTGACTGGTGTGACAGCTCCCTTCTCCCGCCAATCCATGTCTCCCGGTTCTTCAAAGCTCGAGAGTTCGTGTATCTTCATTGCACCGTTGTCTACCGCACGCTTAAGGCGCAACGGATGGTGTAGTTTCAGCCGCTCTTCAAGTGTCAAGTCAGCAAACTGATTTACTTGCAGATGATACAAAAGCCCCTGATGAAAATGAAACAAGTATAATCGTTCAGAATGGTCCCAAAAATGCCCCTGATACTTTTTACATAGTGATGCGCCGTACCTTGCGGTTCTCTGCATTGATAAAGCGGAGATTGTGATGAAACGTCACCATGCGCTCCACAGTCTCTGCTTCGTCTTCGTACATCTTTTTGTGTTTTGCTGAAAAATTATTGAAGACCTCTTTCTTTGTTGCAATGCCATCCGGCATTAGCATGTGAATCTACAAATAATACAATGATCAGTTTGCGTGTCATGGCCAACGTTGCACACTACCGCACAACAGTTTAGCAACGAAACAATCTTCGTACGTCTTGCTTGGGGCTGCGCGACGGACCTTTATCATCACCCCGCATCTCTGTGCAGTTCATCAAAGCTGGTAGCGACAAGAATACGTCCTCATCTACCGGACCTTCGCGAACATAGACGTAGTCCAAGAAATACTCGTCAATATGACTCCCACCTAGCATACCGTTGCGTCCCATAAAATGGAATCGCACAGGTCTCTCGGTCTTTTGGTCCACATAAAGCGTGTATTCGCCCAGCAAACCATCAGCCGTCGGCTCATGAAGATCCGTTTCAAACTTCCAGCTAAAGCATGGACGCCCTTCCACAAGAAACACACCGTGTTGAGGCTCAAAGAGACTCATGTTTGGGAAGATGTGCTGTAGCGAGTCCGATCCAGTCTTGAAGCATTTGCGTTCGTGAATGACAGGAATGATCTGGTAGCTTGTTCCATTAGTATTGTAAATGTACACATCTGTACCGCCATAATAGCTCAACTTCTGTAGACCTTTGACCTCGTCTACGTGAACGTACAGGGGCTCGACCATGTTCATATATGGCATATTAAAAGTGACACTAGCTTCATACTGGATTGGAAATACAGGTCTCTTAGTAGGTGCCAAGTGACTAGCGTCCTCCACGGCGCGCAAGATTGCCAGTATAGCAATGAACCCAAGAATGCCCGTGATCAATGCGACAATAGCACACCAGATTTTGCGTGACTTGTTACGCTGGCGACGAAATACAGCGGTTTCATGCTGGTCTAGACGATGGTATTGAGCATCAGCACTTTGGCCTGATAAGGAGAAAAGGAAACGCAATTTTAAGTAAGGAGAGAAACAAACGAAGAAAGAAGGTGCTTAGAACGTATAGCAATAGAATGAATTCAGGTGTTAGTATTTACCGGCAAGTAGACTCTCGGATGCAGTACCCGTTAGATCATCCGTAGGAATCATTTTCTTTGACTTTTTCTTGCCCATATTAATAGTATTAATAGTAATAATAGTAATTTGATTCTTTTCTCTTGTGAAAATGAAGATTGCAAAAAGGTCAAAAGATTCCCATGTAGCAATAGCATGCTAAACCCTACCGTGATATTGCTACACGATTGGTCAAAACATTCTTATGAGGGACGTACATTCAACAATATAACGTAACTTGCCCCTCCCTCCCTTCACGATGAGTCTGCATCCTGTGGCCCATACGTTGCAGCGTGCGTCGTGTGCTGCTCTGTCAAGTCGTCTAATGGTTCGAAGCTTGAGCTCAAAGTCGTCGCGTTTTGACCGGACGGAGAGACTGTTGGACGAGAGCGTTATGAAGCACATTGTGTGTCCAATTTCCAAGTTTCCACTTCGCTACGACACCATGCGCGGGAGTCTTGTATGCGACGAGATTAACGTCGAGTATCCGATTTGGCAGGGTGTTCCATTGCTTGTGCCGTTAGAAGGACGTTTAATCAATGCAAGTAACAATGACAACGAACGACCACGTGAAGAGATAATGATTCGCAGTGGATAGAGAATAGTAATTGTACGAGTATAGTGCTAAGCATCATTTGTTCAGGTCTCTGACATCTTGTAACAGTAATAGTTTATTGTGTTGCTTGACGAAGTTGCCACTCTTAATGTATTACGCAAATGATTTCAGGCTTCTGTCACCTATGCATTCCTTTGATGAACGGAGAAACAAACATGTGCAACAAATTAGAATTCTAAAATGACTTTTTCTTACAAGATTGCTCTGTCAATGCTTTCATACGCGTTCCAAGCTCGGTCACAAGTGCAAAGAGCTGTACTTTCAACTCTCCATTAGGTTTTGCAGTCGCTTTTTTGAGCAAACGTTATCCTTGCCGTCTTATTCACGTAGTGTTTTAAGCAAAACCTTGTTGTGCATCCGAAAAACAGGCAGCAACCTCAGCTGGAAGCTTGTGGCAAGTTCTTTTGCAAAACACGTGTATAGTGTCAAGCCGTAACATCATACGCTTATCCTTCTCGCTGTCGAGATATCTTCTTTACCAATGTCGACACAGCATTTAGCTGTTGTCCCTCCACAGTTGGCTGCTCACTCGTTCTTCAGCTTGTCGGTTCTTATTTCTAGTCTGCAGCGCAAGCTCAAAGTTGCACTAAATAAGGCATGTCTACACCATATATGGGCTTCGTGTCCATGGCGCAAAGGACGCAGCTATGACCATATCTCTAGGACGCTACAGAACTACAGGAATCCGCTGCGTTAGACAAGCACTCGTGAGTACACTAGAGCCAGTAAAACCATCCATCTATCCGCAACAAAGTATCCGTTAAGCTTCGCAGACTACATTGCGAGACCAAAGGAGACCAACTTGTGGATTGCCACTACTGCTAAAGCTCCAGTGGTGTTTGAAATGTATACAGCCCTGCTTTAAGTGATTTTGTGTCGAGCACTTGGTTGTTGTTGCTTGCAACGCGCCTCATTCGCTCGGCACCTCAAATTCCTGTCAGCTTCAACACGTTGTCTTTGTCAGGTCTCAAGCCACCAGTACAGTTGCCTGAGCGCGCAAGGACTGATCTTTCGAGAGATTTCTGAAGTCTTGCTTCTTCGCATATAGTCTAGTATTTGTTGCCAACCAGTGCATTTACATTGACCAGTGATGCCGCCCGGCAATGCCCGACGTATGGTTGAAGCACGCTCAAGTTCAAGCTTAGTTCAACCTGCGACCTGTATGTGTCAAAACGGCCGATGAAATTGCAATGTGAAGGCTGACGAAGCTCTCACGTTACGATTAGCAAGTCTAGCATGATGGCGTTGCATCTGGCCTCTACACGAATTCTATCGTCACGTGTCGATCACGTTGGAGACCGAGAAAATGTAAACGCTCACAGCAAGTGAAGTGAATCGATTGAGACCAAGTCACTTGATGTGCTGCACAGTCAAGTCGCGTTCAGTGCACTTGATCTTTGTCTCAAGTAAAATGAATGCAATTCTAATCCGCTGATGTCGCGTCACAGGTGCCAACAATCTTTAGCCGAAGACTGCCGATCTTATGATATCTTATGACGATTCAAATCGTATCCCATTTGTGCTCTCATTCCTTCTTTCACTCCGTACGTCACAAGTACCTCCTGCTCCAATCTACATACTAGAAAGCTCTCTTTGCTCAGATGATGATGCAAGGCTCCCAGTTTCGAGTCCTCCGACGCGTGCAGTTGACCATGCAGACGCATCCATTACCGACAACGTTAGCTCGCGCTTTCTCGACGCATGGCGACGGGAGCGCGGAGGTCAGTGAGCAACAGATGCTGCGTGCGCTTGATAAGTTTCAAAAGGATGCGGCCGCCAATACAGTGCCGTGGTTCCTCGAGAACATGCCGCCATCGTACTTTCGCTCCATCCATGAGACGGACCGCTTGCAACACCTGAACGCCATTACGGCGCTTCTGGGCGCGGAACAACCGGAAGTATTGCTGCGCTCACCGGACCAAAAGGTCTTTTCGCACTTTCGTTCAGGTGCCAACTTCCCTGGACGTCTGGCCAATGTGCTGGAACAGTTACCTCAGACGGTAGATGGCGCCCCGCTGGCCCGTGTCAAAATCTTCACAGCTCTGGACGACTCGCTTGGTCTTGACATCTTCCAATTTGGACAGCAAGAGCCCTTTTTAAACAAGACCAAGGGTGAGAAGGAGGCCCGTAACAAAATCCAGGAGTTCTGCGCCGACATCCAGGCTGGCAAGTATGTTGGTGACGACTACTACCCGGTGGCGGGCCCACACTTTGAGCCTAATGTTGTAGACGCCTATCTTAACAATAGCAATACCATGTACGTCCAGTTCAGCCACCCACGCCGCCTTGCCAAGCAGCTCGAGCTGTTTCAGCGCGTGCGTGGCACCGAAGGTGTTGCCGTTGACGTCGAACACAAGTGGGAAATTCGTAGTGAAGAGAACAAGTTTGTCTCGAGCGGTGCCCCGCAAACTATGCTGACCATTGCGGCGGCTAACGTCATCCCCAAGAGTTTTATGCAAAAGGCCGCCACCTACCTAGGTCTGTGCAACCTCAATGTAGTGCGCGCACACTTGGATGTGGTTAAGGATCCGGAGAGCAATAACGGTGACGGCCACGTGGCTATGGTTCGTATCCTGGTTCAGCCCAGTGAGAAGGCTCTGAAGGATAACTTTGAGTTTGAGTGGTCTAAGATTTCAGGCAACCTCAAGTTCCTCAAGTGGGTCGATGACCGATCGGTTCACCTTACACTGCAGCACCCCGACCTTGGTATCTCGCGTGCCGAAATCGTCTACGCCTACGGAAATATGCTGCATGGTGTCCTTGCAAAGCGTGACCCGTTCGCGTACTCGTTGACGCGCATCATGGAGACGCTGGAGCACAAGCAGCACCTGACCTTTGCTTCGCGCATCGCGGACTTTTTCCTGAGAAAATTCGATCCGCAGCAAGGAAAGCTTGCGGATACCGAGCAGGACGCTATTGTTGATGAGATCAAGGCGGACATTCGCCGGAACGTTGAACAAGAGGACGCCATTGAGCTGCTGAACAACATGGCAGATGCCGTCCGTGGTACGCTGCGTACTAACAAATTCGTGCATGAGCGCTACGCTTTGGCGCTCCGCATGGATCCCAGCGTCATGGGTCACGGCACGGTGGGTAAGGACACGCCGTTTGGTGTCTTCTTCATCTATGGCCGTCGTTTTAAGGGATTTCACGTGCGCTTCCGTGACATTGCTCGTGGCGGTCTCCGCATGGTTTATCCCAGCTCCACGGACGCTCACGCGCTCGAGAGTGCTCGTCAGTATAACGAGGCGTACAATCTTGCCTTCGCGCAGCAGCTAAAAAACAAGGATATCCCAGAAGGCGGCTCCAAGGCTGTGGTGCTGTGCGACCCTATTGTCGGACCTGTTGGCGACGTTGCCCCACGTGACTTCATTATTCGCAAGAGCGTCAAGGCGTTCTCGGATGCGCTGCTTGACCTGAACACCACGGACGAGGCTGTGAAGGAGAAGATTGTGGACTACTATGGTAAGGACGAGCTCATTTACCTCGGCCCAGATGAGAACATTATCCCAGAGGACATTGTCTGGATGACGAAACGTGCTGGTTACCGGGGGTATCCGGTCCCGCGCGCCTTCATCAGCTCCAAGCCTGACGCTGGATTCAACCACAAGGTGTACGGTGTTACTAGCGAGGGTGTGGCCGTGTTTGCTGATGTTGCTCTGCGCTCGCAGAACGTTGACCCGACCAAACATCCTTTCACTGTAAAGATCACGGGTGGCACTGACGGCGATGTGGCCGGTAATGTCATAAAGATCTTGCACCGCGAGTACGGCTCAAACTTGCGTATTGTTGGCATTTGCGACGGCACCGGCGTTGTTGAGGACCCGCAAGGTCTTGATATGGGAGAGCTGTTGCGTCTTGTAAACGAATCACTGCCCCTGTCAAGTTTTGACGAGTTGAAGGTGGCTGACACTGGCGTGAAGTACGACATTAACACGGCTGAAGGTATCCGTGCTCGTAACTCGATGCACAACCGTGTAAAGAGCGACTTGTTCATCCCCGCTGGCGGCCGTCCTAACACCATTAACGAGAACAACTGGCGTGATTACCTTGATGCTGATGGAAAGCCGTCGGCGGGCCTGATCGTAGAGGGCGCCAACTTGTTCATCACACCCGAAGCGCGTCAGCTTCTGTTTGACAACGCCGGTGTCGTGATTGTCAAGGACAGTTCGGCCAATAAGTGCGGTGTGGTGTGCTCTTCGTATGAGATTGTGGCTAGCATGTTGCTGGATACTGACGAGTTCTTAACCGTCAAAGATGAGCTAGTCGTACAAGTGATTGATAAGCTGCGTGCATTGGCTCGCGTCGAGGCGCAACTACTGTTCCGTGAGTACAAGAAGGACCCGACGTCAGCTTTGCCGCCTGCTAGTGAGCGCATTAGTCGCGCCATCACACGCGTCCACGATGCCATTCTTGCTCACTTTGACGATCTATGCGAGGAAGACCAGCAACTTTTGTTTACGCTCATTGAGGAACACTTGCCGCCCAAGCTCCGCGAGTTAGCGCTTCACCGCGTGCAAGAAAACGTGCCGCTTGCCTACACCCGCTCCATCGTAGCTTCGAGCTTGGCCAGCAAGATTGTGTACCGTGAGGGTCTGCAGTTCACGGAGGCTCTACCAGACAGCAACCTGAGCAACATGGCTCTGCAGTATCTCAAGCAGGAGAAAAAGGTGCAGCGTCTTGTAGAGGATGTTCGCTCATCGCAGCTGCCCAACAAGGAGGACATTGCCGATCTTATTGCTCGTGGTGGCGTTCGTGCCGGCATGGATACACCGAACTAAATAGTGGATGGATCGAGCATGAACAATGGTTTGTATGAATGGTCAAACTACTGGTCTTGTCAATACAGCATCATTCGTCTGATGAAGAAACAGCCCACGATACAGTGTCAAACCTCGATAAGGATGCCAAGATGCCGACTAATGGAACATCTTGGAAGTTGAGTGATAAGGTTGTGCTTACTTGTTTCTTTCTGTGGTGAAAATGTACAGCGGTATCGTGCAGGTGACATTGACCAGTGGTGACTTTCATTTGAAATGGACTGTTTTGTTCTGTTCGAAGAAAAGAAGGAAACTGTTGTGAAAAACATATCATTCTATAGCACACTATTTCTAAAGCAGGGCAGTAGACTATCTGATCTTGCCTGACGCAAAAGCACGCAGAGCCCATGTTTGCAGCCTGTCAAAAGTCTACACTCGGTAGCCTACAGATTACAGCACAGCTTGGACTTGAAAACGAAAACCACACGAGCGGACTGTAATAAAGGCATTCAACTTAAATGCCGACATAGTTCACCTGTCACGTAGCCTCATTTAAAAAAGCAGCACGTTGCGAGATATATTAAAATGTTAGAACAGCCACATGCATACGACTCCTGTTCGATACAAGCAGAACGTGAAGTAGAAGCGCTACCGTGCCCTTGAAAGGATAGTGTGCCACATCAGCAAATAAAGTGACCACATGCATGTATACAGCGCCGGTTGCACCTTCGTCAGTATGTCCGTTTCATCAGTCGCGAGAGTGCATTAGTAGGGCTGTGCGCCATTGACGAGAGAAATAAACACGATTATTGTCCACTTGTAAATACTATCTCAATTTACTACAAACGGTTTTACCCTGCGACGTAAATTCATTGAGTTTATTCATGGTCGTCTTAATGCTGGTAAGATAGCTAACACAATATAGAAGACAGACATTCCGTGATGGGCCTGTTAAGAATCCTCACTTCTTGCTCCAGACTTTCCAGAGGCCTTCTCGGACTGTGCACCACACCACCGAAAAGATGTAAAGCTGGTAGAACTTGCCTGTCCTTGAAATTAGTGCACGTTGTAGCTTAGATATAGTAGCGCGGCTACACCCCAAGTGTAGCCAAGACACTGTAGCCAAGCTACTTTTGCACTATGTGCAGAGGAAGACAAGCTCAGAGAGTTTCCACGTCTTAGGGTGCTTAACATTCCTAGGATAGCTCGTAAGCTTGTGCCTATCGGTTGTTACAACCGCGTCTTAAAGAGACTAGTATCAAAGATACTTAATTCCTCAGGAGAAATAGTACGCTCAAGCAGTAATGCTTATAGAGCAGGTTTGAAACTGATTGATATTTATGTTTATCTTCTAACACTAACTATAGACGCACCTACTCTATAGTTAGTGCTAGTCTCTATTTACTGGCTCTATAGCCTTTTATATTATGCAAACATGCATAGTCACTATACTTTAAATAAGTATAGTGACCACGTGGCTCTCTGCCACGATGCGACCCTTCGTACTTCAGGTACGGTCACATCAAGCCTACTCTTGTACCCAAGGTACAGCCACACCACATTGGTGTGGCAGGTGTGAATGTACAATACACACCTTCGTGTAACCCCGTTACACCCCTCCCCCACCAATCCGTGGGACCTGACGTACCCACGACTTTTCGAACTTAGTGGGAGGCATCAACCTTATTTTCTTCCCATTTTGCTTACCTCGCAACAAGTGCTTGCATTTGCGAACAAAGCGTTAGTGTTTCCAACACTTACTCCTTGAGCACCTGTGCTTTGCACACACGCTTTCTATGCATCCTTGTGTTACCACACTCGCTCTTTGAGCATACAGTGCATCGCACTCACGCTAAAGCATTAAGTGTTACGACACTTGCTTGTAAGCTTCAAGTGCCAACTATTGGTGATAATACCCTTTGTGTGTTTACGAACACTTGCTTTCACAGCACTCAGTGCCTAACACTTGATTTGAAGCATTACAGTGTTCACAACACTTGCTTTTTAAAGCACATGTCCCTATAGCGCTTGCTTCATCATGGATGATGCAATGCGCCGCGACATCTTTGGAGACGATGACAGTGACGTTGCCTCTAGGGGTAGCGGTGCCGAGTCTCCTTCGGGTCATGGTACCCCAAGATCATCACGCTCACCCGTCAATCCCATTCTGTGTCTTCTCCCTCAAAGCAGACAACCCCATCGCGCCAAGCGCCACCACTTCCCTCGCGAGAGGGTAATGACGAAGAGGTAACCAACCCTCTTGACACTGCACAGCGTCGTCAACTTGATGACGAGGTTCGAGCGGCCGCTTTGGCACGGCCCAAACAAACATTTACACGACGTGATTATGGGTTCGTGCCCCGGGACCCCAATGAGGAAGCTCGACGAGCTGTATCGCAATCTTTGCAAACCTATATCATTGGGCTCCAGGCCCATACGGCTTGCAAGGATGCGGATAGTATTGCTCTTTGTAAACGGCTCGTTACTCTCCAGGAGTTTACGATGAAATCGTATGAGGAGCGACTGTCACTACAGTCACGTGGGTGCCCGTGCACCCACTAAACGGAATCTCAGTGGTGCTTGCACCAGGTGAAACATCTGCACAAGATGATCACCAGTTTACCCGTTGGGTAGAACGAGCATGTAAGCTCTCAAGGGTGTCAAGCTTGCGCTTACGTGCTAAAGCGCAAGACGTTTGGTTAGAACGTCGTCTACGTTTTAGCTTCGCTAAGCTCAAAGCGAAACGTCCATTGCTTTCCACATACAGGTCAAAGACTTGTGGAGGACAAGCTTTTGAAGCTGTTCCCCGTACCTCTCACACTAATGATGTACCGACTTTGGCTTCTTCTGAAGGTCAGAGGCAAAGCCATCCTACTGACCTTTCTTCCACAGCACCTAGTGCTAGGAAGCGTCCGACCAACAGCTGTCGTCGCTTCTGACCGTCCTGGTCAAAAGTGTCAACGGCGTCTGGGCAATCCTGCCGAAAAGGTACCTCATGCTCCCACGAGTCGTACGACTGGGGGGTATCTACTCCACTTCACCAAGTACTAGGTATGACCCTAGTGACGACGCCAAGCCAAGAGACGTTCCACATAAAGCTGTTGATGATCCAGTTCATCAATCAGCGTCGGAGGAGGTCGATGACTCATTTGCCTCTCATCTCTCTGAGATAGAGCGTCGCCTGACGCTCCTGGAGCGTGATGCTCTTGCATCGGTGAGTTCTCACCTGTCATCGCTTGATTACCGTGTCGATCGAGACCGTCAATCCTTTGAGCGTTATCGCTCTGAGACTCGGATTGCTTAGCGGCGATTGAGCGCTCTCAAGCCGAACTTTGATGTCAGATCGATATCCTGGTACACCTCCAGCGTCCATATGCACCTCCGGTGCCGTACTACCCGCCTCCTTCGGCCGAGGATATGGGGACAACCTCTCGAAGTCCACCAAGGCAGGGTTGAGATATGGCTAAAGTAAGCCCACTTAGAACACAGGATGTTTTCGCATCTTTTTTGGGAGGTTCAGCGTATAATAAAAATCTTTCTTGTCTATGACCTTAAAAGGTCCAATAAAACGTGGTCGTAATTTTGGTTTTATATACTGCCGAAACGGCACGAGTAGGTAAATTTCTAGCGTTTAATACAACCAATCTCCCACTTTGAACTCTTGATCGTTCTTCCTGCCTTTGGCATCTGCTTGTTCCTTTTGAACATCTTAGCTTTCAGCCATAGCGTCTTTGACGCGACGTAGTACGTCAAAACGCGTTGACAAAAACGCTTCCACCTTCTTGCCGAATCGCAACAGGGCTGATATCAGCCAAGCCTTCGGCTATTTCTCCCCCCACTAAGCCCTAATGTGACAGAAGGCAGCGTTAGCGGAACGCGAGGGTTGACCAATCCATTCACATAGAATAGGGTGAAGCCTGTCGAGGCATGCACCGCGTCTTTCAGCGCCAACTCTATGAGTGGAAGCATCGTGCTTCATTGCTTGGGTGTTTCAGCACAAACACTGCGAAGCATATCGCCGATAACGCGATTGACGCGTTCCGTCTGACCATCTGTCAGCGAATTATCCGCCGTGGACATGTCCAGTCGAGTGCCCAGCACTTTAAAGACTGACGTCCAAAACTTACCCGTCAAACGGTGGTCTCTATCCGAGACGATTGTCACAGGCAATCCGTGTTGTCGAAACACACGATCCATGAACATCTTAGCTGTTCCTTCTCCATAGATGGAGTCTGACACTGCCGCTAAGTGAGCCATCTTGCTCAGTCGGTCTACAAAGACCACAATCCCAGTGTTGTCTGCCGCATCACGCGATAGGCCAAACACAAAGTCCATACTAATGGACTGCCACAACCCCGAGGGTACAGGCGAAATCGCCAAAGGTGCAGCCATACTAGGCGAGCGTTTCACCCTCACACGTTTATACAGCTTGGGTTAACAATAATTGGTGCTCACCAAGCTTTGGGTCTTCTCACGACCTAAATGACCACCAAGTGGTGTATCATGAGCCTCAAAAAGTATCTGATACTTAAGGTCCTCATCATGAGGCACCACAACACAAGGCTGGTCATCCGGCCTTGTACTATAGTACAACAGACCATTAGTCAGTGCATAACGATGTAATCTTGCATGATTACGTGGTGACAGCTTCACCTTAGAGTGTTTTCAAACTCTGCGCTACCCAGCGCCTGCATAATGGCAACACATGCCTCATCGCGTGCATACGCCGCACGGATATGATCTGTTACTAACGACCTCACAACAGTAAGATGAGCAAGCTCATAGCCAGATCTACGTGATAACGCGTCAGCCAAAACATTCTGTTTTTCCGGCTTATACTTCACCTCGAAGTTATACTCCGCGAAAAAGGAGCCAACGAGCTATTCTCTGCGAGAGCGCAGAGAATAGCTCGTTGGCTCCTTTTTCAGAGATGAGGCGACCGTGTCGGTGTGCGTAACGACGCATGATCGGTATAGATCACAAACGGCTTTGAGTCCAACAGGTGCACCCTGAACCTAAAAAGGGCATACTTCATCGCAAGTATCTCCTGGATAGTTCTTCTCTGCAGCTTTCAGCTGGCGAGACTCAAAACGCGATGACGTGTTCTCGACCCTAAGGCTCAACTTGCAAAAGTGCACTGCCAATGGCAAAGTCCGAAGCGTCACATACGACGCTAAACGGGCAATCAGGATCAGGTAGAGCCAGAATTGTTGCCTGAAGGAGACTCTCCTTATGGCTTCAAAAGCCTTGTGGTGTTCGGTGTTCCAACACCATTCCACATCCTTTTTAAGGAGATTCGACAATGGCCTAGCCACTTCCGCATAGCTGTGGCTATACTTGTGCAAGTAATTTGCCAAACCCAACCACTTGCGGAGATCCTTCTGGTTCCTCGGAACCGGCCAATCCACTATCGCTTTGACCTTAAGGGGGTCTGCCCGGATTCCTCGCTTACTAATAAAGCATCTCAAAAGGGAATCTCTTCCGCACCGAAGATGCATTTGTCAATATTGGCATATAACTTATGCATCCTCATGCAACCGAGCACAGCTCGCAGGTGCTCGATGAGATTCTCCACATCAGTCTTTCCATTTTTGGCTCGATTATGGACTAGCATATCGTCAAAGTATGTCGGTGCATACACCCTATGGGGCCGAAACAACTGCGTCACCGGACGATTGAACGTTTTAGGTGCGTTAGATAGCATCACTAGCCACTCCCAGAGCATACCGCTTTGAGTGCTGACCGCTGTCAGCGGGATATCACTAGCTCGCATGAGCCCTTGGTACTATCCATCGACTAAGCCGTGGGAACTGTACATTGTTCATCCCACCATATTGTGCTGAAGAACATCCTTGCGAGTAATCGGTGTTTTAGCCGGGATAGTGACTGCATTCAGCTTATTGTAAGCGTGCACTACTCGACAGTTCCCATTCGACGTTTTCACACAAAATGTGGGCGTAGAGTGAAAAAACTTACTTTCGCGCACCATGCCAGCCGCGTCCTTTGCACGGGACTATTGTCCTCGACACTTACAGTTTCCACGTGTCGAGTAATCTGACATCTAGCATCTTGACCGACTTAGTCTTATATCCGCGCCAAACCACTTTTTCTTTATAGCAAAGGCGGGCTCATGACTTCATTAGGAGCAATGCGCATTGCGTCTAAGGTCTTCCACTTCGATCAATCCATGTCTTATGGCGCTCAAGCCATGCCATGCCATGCCTAGGATGAGGTAATACCTTGCATCCATGTCTAAGATTAAATAGCGCTCAATCTCTTTAAGTCTAAAACATTTACGTCTAAGTCCATGAGAACTTTGGGTACCCTTATACGTGTACCCATTGCGAAGCGAACCCGGGCTGTGTCACTTTTACGCGCTCTAAGAGCTTCAGCATATTGATGACTGCCTTCCACGGTATCACGGCAAACATAATTGCCTGATGCTCCCGAATCGATTTAAGAATCTATGGCTTATCAAAGCCTTTGACCGTCCCTCCGACGACCAGCAAGCCTGGCTTGCATTCTCGTTCCGATTTCAAGAGCTATACTCTCTTTGAAACTGAGCCTGCTACTTCTACCTCCTAGAGGTTCAACAGAAATCAGTTGTTCTCCAGTATGCCCCCGCGCCTACTGGGCCTCGACGTTGTCCCGCAGAAAACCAGAGGGTTAACTCATGAGGCATCGGCCTTTTGAGGCCAAATATGACTTTCTCGCAGGGCATTTTGCCATCAAATGACCTGTGCTCTTGCAGATATAGCATTTGCGCACAATGCGCTGCTCCGCAGCATGCATATCAGCTTCTTCTCTATTTGACTACGGTCCATGGCAACAGACCTGTCAGTTAAGTAGTTACAAGTCTTAGGCCTAGCGGCCTTAAAGTTGGCCTCGGCATTCCATGTTACTCCAACAGCTTCCTTAAATGAGAACGAGTTTACCCGGACGACTTCCGATCTGACAACGTCAACTTGGAGGCCTTCCATAAAGACCGTGACGGTCACTCCCTTGGGCAGAGATTCTACGACCATGTCAAAAGTTCTTAGCTCTTGCACTTATTCCGCAAGCTCACGCTTGCCTTGGCGACACGCTAAAAACCTCGACCGAGTACGGTGCGCTTATTTTGGCAATGCATACTGAACTTACAAATTGGTCCATGTTGGAAAAAAGCATCTTGCAGTGATGCACCGCATGTGGATCCCCAATGCGTGGCTAAGCCGCTCAACTTACCCGTGGCAAAGCCAACACGGTACGGTTCCTAGGTGATATCGCCTATCAACATCGTCGACCCAACCTGTCATAACCACAGCATAAGGTTGTCACCTTCTTTGCCGTCGAGCTTATCGACTTCCATATGTATGGGTTTTGGTCTTTGGACCACTTTTTGCGTCATGGTAGCCATAAGTAACAGCGCAGAAAAGACATATGTACTTTAAATGCTTTGCCAGAGCGTTACTATACTCTTCAAGCATATGAATACGCTTGTCAGCCTCTTCTTTGCTTTGGCCAAGTATAGGGATCAGCTTTTTCAGCCCTTCATGTTGTGCCTGTGACAGGCCAACGCGGACGTTTCTTCGATGTCCGTTCTTACAGAGAAGTAGTCAGCGGTATTGACTGTAAGTGCTACCAGGTGTACGAGAGCTACCGTAGCAAAGCTACTTATGCACTAGGTGTCGAGGAAGACAAGCTCTAGGAGCTTTATGTCTTAGGCTTCATAATCCACCAAAGGCTAGCTTTACAAGCTTGTGCTTTTTTGGTTGCAACAACTACGTCTCAATGAGACCAGTATCAGATACAATTTTTTCTACAAGGACTAAAGCTCTAGCAACAAATGCTAGGTTTTAAAGCTCTAGCATCAAATGCTAAGGTTTTAATTGATTTACTTAATGTGTATCTTCCAAGCATCTACTGCTTCTGTATTTAGCGCTGAAAGATACACACTAATTATCTGGCTGTGTAGCTTTCTAATGTGTAACATGTATAGTTAGTTATAATACTTATACAAAGCATAATTACCACGTGGCTTTCCGTCACACTGCGATCCTTTGTTCACTTTACATCCCCTACCACGACTATGGCGTGAATGATTATGCTATTTTTGAAGCTCGACATAGAATTGCAAGGTAAATTACAAACCGATCTTACGTCCGCCAGTTGATGTTGCTTACGCACAACACACTGCAATTCTCACCAACTAAAGCGGTAAAATCGTCTAAACCAAAGCCGCAAACTCCTATATTAATCTCAATACTTTACTTGCCTGCTTCACTTGCCTGCATTTTGCGCAGTGGGGACTTTGTTTTGGATCTTGCGTATTTCTACAAAGCTTTGGTCACCTCTGACATGACGCATTGTTTGTGTATCGTCCTGTAAGTACTCGTTTCCTTCTTATTCCTTCAGCTGTCTGACACCATGCTTGCTAGATCTGAACATTGGGCTCTCGACTGGCTCCATCTGACAAGATACATGTCAGCATTAACATACTCTCACCGTCATGTACATTTGTTGTCACGTGTGTATTAATATGTAAAGAGTGCGTTGCTATAAACTATAGGCCAAGACTGAAGATCTCATCATCATTCACCGCCACAGCCGCTGTGTCATCATTTTTTTTAATCTGCTCGTACTCATCTTCGGTATCTTCGTCTGCCTGCGACTGGATCATTGCCTCCTTCTTAATCGTCTTGTTTTCTACTGACGCTTGCGCCTCGTCAATCTTGGCCGCTGCTGCTCGCAGTGCCGCTTCATTGTGCTCGCGAGCAGCTTGCTGTACCTGTTCATTAATGGACGGCGTCTCTATCTTGCTGCCTTCTTCTGCGTTCACCCCATTCACAATGTCCGACGTTGTCACAGAATTTGCCGTGAGTGTTTCCATTAAGAAAGCTGTGTCATCTACCGTCGTCACTTCTGCAGCGGGTACCGTCGCCGCTTGTGCTCCCTCGTCTGTACCCATTACCGTGTCATCTGGAGCGACTGATGCACTAGCAGCAGCAGGGTTTATAGTTGTTACAATTGGATCCAATTGATGGCGTGAGCAAAAGCGTGCAAACCAGCCAGGAGAAGCCTTGAAGTTGGCCATTTTATCATAATTCTTGGCCAGTACGATAGCCTGTTGACGCACGGCTGTCTGCGTAAGCGGCATAAGTTGATACGGTTGTGACTCACGCATACGTACAATCCACTGATAGAGTTCCTCTTCAAATGGTGCATTACGTTTAAATCCACCACGCTTGCGCTTGTCACGATTGTGTTCATTGCCCATGTAATAGCGATTACGAACTGTGTCCTTCATTTGTTTAAGTTTCCGAATAGCACCCTCAGAAACACCATAGCGTTTAGCTAGATCAACATTCTTTACCTTTGCTTCACGTTGAATAATCTCAAGAATCTCCATGCGTTCTTGATCATTAAGACGCCGTCCAGCGCCGCGAGGACCCATTGTCACTTATTGTTTTAGTCGGATGAAGAAAGAGAGAATACGACGGAGGATGGTTTAAGTACGAAATCAATGGCTCTGAATAAAATGGTGTAGAGTACACATATTCATCGTAATCATGATGTACAGATTGTGTCCACTTGAAGGTTGTTGATATGCCGAGGAGGAAGAAATGCAAGCCACAATCACTATTATTATTGCTCAAGAGTTTCGTAGGACTGCGTATACGTATTGATTTGAAGAATGACTCGATACTGGAAGGAATCGTACAAGAAGTTGTACAAGACATGGATATTACGCTCTTAGATGCTTGTGAAACCAAACCGAACGTTAGTTATAGGAGATAAATGATATTGTTAGATGTATGCATCGTAAAACAACATAATGGATGGGTTGTTATTGTGTCTGACGATTGATTGGATGTTATAGGGATCAAAAGTGATGCTAGATGAAGTGTTTGTTATGGGCAAGACAGTACTATACGTACACATACCCGACAGGATCAACATCTCGCAGCACCTCCAGCATTATGTGGGTTTGCCAGTAGATCTTGCAACTTTGATACATTTAGATTGACTGGTTGCATTATTTTGCTACAATTGTGATGATATGGTAGACCCAAATGCTGCGTCAGAGTGCAACAATGTATACAAGAGCAAAGCGCACATCGAGCGCGACATTTCCTGCAAAATAGACAACAAGATTGAATGCAAATGTAGTACGGTAGACGATATATATAATACAGACGGGACTTGCTTGTCGTCAAAGCACCACGTTTCAGGCGCATTGTTGCTGCTACTGTTGTTGTCGTTGCTAAAGCAAGGTAAAGGTCTAGTGAATGCAGTCGCGGGACCGCAATGGAGACCTTTTGCAGCTCGCGAAATTAAATTCAGAGCTGCTGGATATGCTCTTTGTTTACACCCTGCTTTGCGCATTGGCTCTTATCGCGCCACGTTGTAGCAAACGTTGCTGTATGCAGGCGATCGATACGGTGTGATTTGTATCTTGTGATTCAGCTCATATCTTACACTATTGCAGCTATTCTTCTTCTTGTATGAATCCTAAATTTGCTTCGTCGTCTCTTCATTGGTCCTTCCACTTTATTTTCGATCGACATTGAATCCACACACTTTGATTCTTGATGTCTTTGATAACATGATACCGTTTACACCTTACCAGCAAATGTTGCCTTCCACTTCTTAGACAGCCTGTACATACTTTCTCCGCCCTTTTCAAGACAATGCTTCGACGCTCAGCTCGTTGCAATCATTTACTCCTTCTTATGGTCACATCCGAATGCCATTACTGATCATACACAACCTTATGGTCGTACGCACCTATCACTTCAGCTAGAAGTTGTATTTGTGTTTCCTCCTCAAACCTTGTGTTCAATGCACATCGTCGCTGTGTCGAGTGATTTCGCAACCTCTTTGTTTGCTATTGTTAATGTAGTCGGTCCGATATTCTCGAGGCTGGTATATTCATTCATTCCACGTGCACCGATCGATATGAACGATATTGTGCATGCATCATAGTCTCAAACGACAGCAGCATCAAGCTGTCTATATCATAATACGTCACCCAACGCCATCCTTTGATCATGCAATCAAACCTTGCAATTCATTTGCTTCAAGTCGTTTTCTAGAGTGAAGTATCACCTCCAGCTATCAGCGTCTTATTGGCTACACTTGGTGTATGGTGTGGTCAACACATGTGTACCAGATTGATGGTACGAATGTTTTGGCCTTACCGACCAAGTGATTCTTAGCTTCCCCTTGACGTCCAGTGAGTGGCTCGAAGCAGAATCTTCGATCGTGTTTGAGCAGGTAAGAGACAGTAGAGAGTAACATACATAGGACAAGGAAATAAGAGAAAGAAAAGGATAAAGTCATAGGTTAATGTTTTATGTGTGTGTGTTTTGTCTTGTCTTGTCTTGTCTTGCTTTGATCTATATAGCCACATAATTGATCCACTATTATATTCACATTATTGACAAAATGCCAGACCTTGTACAGAAGAATCTGGCAGTACAAGACCTTTCCAAGCTCAAGATTGAGGAGCTTACTCCACTTACGCCGGAGGTTATTAGTCGTCAAGTACGTTTCTTGTTATTGATATTGAAGCAGTTTATTTAGCAGCAGCATTTTTTAATCTGATGGGATTACTGAATGGTAGGCCACAATCAATATTGGTACAATTGGTCACGTTGCTCATGGCAAGTCAACGGTGGTAAAAGCCATCTCGGGTGTACAAACGGTGCGGTTCAAGAACGAGCTGGAGCGTAACATCACCATCAAGCTCGGATATGCCAATGCCAAAATCTATCGTGCTGAGAATGGCACAGGTATTGGCTGTTATCGCGCCTTTGGTAGCTCCAAACCTGACCGTTTTACGGATGAGAACGACGAGAAGACAGTGTGGGTGCTGCAGCGTCACGTGTCATTTGTGGATTGCCCTGGTCACGACATTCTTATGGCTACGATGCTGAACGGTGCAGCTGTCATGGACGCCGCACTGTTACTTGTTGCAGGCAATGAAGTATGTCCCCAGCCACAAACGTCCGAGCACCTTGCGGCTATTGAAATCATGCGTTTGCAGAATATTATTATCTTGCAGAATAAGGTAGATCTGATCAAGGAGGATGCTGCTGTGGCCCAGCACGAGCAGATCAAAAAGTTTGTGGCCGGTACGGTCGCTCACGACGCCCCAATTATCCCCATCTCGGCCGTGCTTAAGTACAATGTGGATGTAGTGTGCGAGTACATTTGCCGCAATATTCCTATTCCAAAGCGGGACTTTACCTCGAAACCCAAGCTGATTGTCATTCGTTCATTCGATGTGAATAAACCTGGTGAGGATGTAGAAAACCTTAAGGGTGGTGTCGCAGGTGGCTCTATTTTGGAGGGTGTGCTGCGTGTTGGTGACGAGATTGAGGTGCGCCCTGGTATTGTCAGCAAGGACGAGGAAGGCAAGATGACTTGCGTCCCTATTTTCTCGCGCATTGTGTCACTATATGCTGAGAAGAATGACCTGCAGTTTGCCGTCCCCGGTGGACTGATTGGTGTAGGAACGCACATTGACCCGACACTCACGCGTTCAGATCGTTTAGTGGGCCAGGTGCTGGGCCTAAAGGGCAGTTTGCCTCACGTGTTTACGGAGCTGGAAATCAACTTTTACCTGCTTAAGCGTCTACTGGGTGTGAAGACCCAGGAGGGTAGCAAGGCCTCAAAGGTGCAGAAGCTGTCAAAGGCTGAGGTGCTTATGGTCAACATCGGTTCCACGGCTACCGGTGGGAAGGTGCTGGCTGTGAAGCAGGATCTTGCCAAGATTTTGCTCACAGTTCCCGTGTGTACGCAAGAAGGAGAGAAAATTGCCATCAGTCGTCGGATTGACAAGCATTGGCGTCTTATTGGTTGGGGCCAGATCCGCCGTGGCAGCCGGATTGAGATTGCGAACTCGGAATAGATATATACATGCCCCATCCTGTCCACCTCGAGTCGCGTGAAAGAGAATGAATTCATCGGTCGTGTCGAGGAACAGAAGCAGGGAAAGGATCAGGTGGAGCGAATGCGGGGCTGCAGCTCGTGTAGTAACGGTAATCCAGTCTCAGACATTTGCTTTCTTGTTTGACTTTGCCTACTGAGAAAATTTGATGGAAAGAAAGCGATGCAAAGACACGTATATGACTAACCATTGCCTCTAGCACAAGATGGAAAGTAAGCAAACATGACACTTCCTCAAAACCACCGTCATGCCAGCTGCGGTAAAACAAAGTTACTACAGCGACGGGCTTACTGGGCATAGACGTATATGACAGGCTTGCCTGGTGATGCTGTCTCCATCTTCTTTGCGTCTCCATTTGGGATCTCCTCACTCACGTAGTAAAACTACAATGAAACAAACCAACATACCAATTTGTTAAGTACACAAGGAACATATTGACACTTTCATGTTGCTGGAGGCTCTTACGTCAATGTCCTGGAGGTCCAACGACCGGCAAAGGTATAGCTTGTTAGAGGCAAGCACGCTCTTCTGGTCGTACGGCATCCTGTATTCAAATCGCAACACAATATTGTTAGTAGAGTATCCGACAACAACAGGATAATCTCGATGTACCTCAGCTCCAAAGCCTCCCGGCCACGTAGCTCAGCCTCCACCTTGACGAACGCAGCAAACTGCATCACGTTCTTCGTCAACTTCTTCAGCGAGTCGACTTTCGCAATTTCACCCTTAAGCTGCTTCATAAAGTCGGCAGGAAACGCCTTCGTCGCGTCATCAAACAGACCGTCCATGAACAAGAGCACCTTCTGCTGCCACTCCGGGAACTCCGTACTCAAGTACACTTGAGCGTGTGTACGCTTCTTGACTGGTTCGTCGGGTGCAGCTCCCTTCTTGCCTTTCTTCTTGTTGCTGCTCTTCGTCAACGTCTCGCGGAAGCTACGGGTAACTTTGTTCAGGAAATCACCTGCACGCAGAAGCGCGAGATCAACTTCCTCGGTCACGGGCCAAGAAGCCACTGACACAAAGCCATTCTTGCCAATCGCGGTCCACATGTACTCGCAGAAATGCGGGCAAATGGGAGAAAACATGACAAGCTGAGACTTGATGAAACGCATAATTACGTCATGATGCATCTGCATCTCGCCACGGGCACAGATGTCACGGTACGAATCACGAGCGATCTGGTACTCGAAGAAGCCCGAATGAAGACCCTCACGCCATTGCAGGCGCTCATAAAATGACGCCGTTGTGCTGATCAGGCTGTTCATCTGGTTCCAAAAGACCTTATCGTTAAAGTTGAGCTCGCCCGTTCGCAGCAGCGCCTTGTCCTCTACCATGCGTTTGATCCACTCTTCCTCAGTAGTAAGCCGCAAAATTGCCATGCGGCACGTGTCCAGGGCGTAGTTAGCATCATCCATGCCGTCGCCAGCGTCAGCGCAAGCAAAACGGGTAGCATCAGCACCAAATTCAACGGCACAGTCCTTAAGCGTAAGGAAGTTGCCCATGGACTTAGACATCTTCTTACCGTCCACCTGTACATGACCATTTGTAAAGAAGCCACGCGGCCACTTGGACGGGTCATCACGCCAAATCTCGGCGTGGTTGTATAGGCACATCGTCAAGTGGTTGCGGATCAAGTCCTTGCCTGACGCCCGAACATCAACAGGGTACCAATACTCAAACTCGTCGCGGATCTGCTTCAGCACATCCAGCGGGATCGTGGACTCCGTCGGCGGCGAGGCCTTCAGGAAAATGTAATCAAATACTTCCTTAGTCATCTGCTCAGGCTTGATGCCGTGTGGACCCAGTTTTGAGCCATCAAGATTGGCCTGCAGGTGGTGCGCGATGGTGTAATATGCCATGTAGATAGTCGAGTCGGTCAGTGACTCCACCACAAACTCAGGGTCCCACGGAAGACGCGTGCCCAGGCCTGACTGACGGCACGGTGCCCACTCCTTCAGCCACCCGAGAGTAGACTTGTATTCACCAAGCGCCACCGGATTGTAAGCATCAAAAGACTTCGGATCACTAATGTGGTCCATGACACGCTTCTTCCAGTCTTCAGCGCCATAGGTCAGATACCACTGGTCCAGGTGAGCAACTACACATTCGTCACCACTCCGCGACATTACGAGCGACTCCGGCTCCCAGTACGCAATACCGTTGCCAGCGTCAAGTAACTCCTGGCGCATGATGGCCTTGGCGTCGCACACCTTCTGACCCTTCTGCGAGCCCACAATGAGAACGCCCTCGTAGAAACCCTTAAGATACACAAGCTCCTTAGCTTTGGCCAGCTTGTCCTTGTCGTTCTGCGACACGATCTTGAGGTCATTGCAAACTTTTTCAGCGGCCATGTTACCAAAGCCTGGGATTTCGATAATGGGCACAGGCTCGTACGGCAGCACCATGTGATCCTCAATGCCGTACTTCTCACGCAGAGCGGGCTTTTGCTTTAGGTCACGGAATGCGGCGAAGTCATCAGGCGAGTCTGACGGCACACTCATGACCACTCCCGTTCCTTTGCCCATGGAGATAGTAAGTAGCGGCAGCGTGTAAATCGTGTCGTATGGCGCGTTAGGCGCCGCCAACGGCAGACCCAACAGGTCCCATCCCTTCAACTCGAGCAGACATTCCTCCTTACCCCAGACACGTGAGTACTCCTGGTGAGCCAAGTTGCGCGCAGCTCGGCGGCTCATCACAAATACATCATTGTCATCGTTGATAAAGAAAGCACCATACTCGCCGTCAGGCAGCACAAAACAGTTGGTCTGTCCATACAGCGTCTCAGGACGCAGCGTCGCCGCAGCCAGGTACACCTTCTTGCCGGTAAGCACTGCAAACTTCTCTGGCAACGGTTCTTGCACACGCAACTTGGCGAGCGTATACTCCTGAGGGCCCACACCTTCACCCGATGCACGATCATGGTCGGCGCAGCTCTGTCCATCTAGGATAGAGTAAACATTGGGACGTTTACCACGCACAACACGGCCATTTTCGTTGAGTTTATTGAGCTGCCACGTGACAAAAGCGTCGTAAAACGGGTTAATGTCCGTAGTAATAAACGAACGACGCCAATCAATGTTCATGCCAAAGCGTTTGAGATCAGCAATAGCATGAGGTGGAAAGTATTGAAGCCAATAGCGTGGATCATGAAATTTACCAATCTCATCCTCTGGAATATTAGACATCTTGAGAATCTCGTACTGATGTACAACGCCACCTGATTTTGCAGCTGTTTTGGACTTTTTACCATGTGCTTTATTCAACGATCCTTCTTCCGTGTTTTTAACATCCTTCATGGACGTAGTCATCTCTTGTTCTTTTGTAGTAAAAGTAGGTGGATTCCCATACGTTTCAAGCTCACGTTTAAGTTTATTAGCAGCAGATTGAATGGGCATTCCTGTACAATGAAAACTAAATGGAAAAATCACATTCTCACCTTTTAAACGATGATATCGTGAGGCAAATTCGACCTTCATTAGTGTAAATAAATGACCAACGTGCAAGTAGCCATTCATGTAGGGATATGGAAACGTGACCATGTATTTTTGTCGATCTGGAGCTGGATTTGATTCAAATAGCTTGACAGCATCCCATTGAGCAATCACTTTGTTTTCAATCTCGATCAAATGATCACGTCGTGCCATTTTCTTCATTGGCGGTGGTGTTGTCGTCATCCTTCTATCGTCTTCTAGCTTTATAGTAATCAGTTTGTTTACCATATCGTTCTCTTCCATTGTCAAGTGACAATACAAAGAGCTTTTCGCTTGTGAGACGTCCTGGGGCTTTGACTTTTGACTGACTGACTGTCCGCCGTCAGCCAGCAGTTCAAATCTGATACCAAGAGTCAGGATTCCGATAAGTACGAACTCGAAGGAAAGGGGTTTTGTTTGTTTATAAATGTTTCTCATTTCACGAATAAAGTGCATTTTATTCAGCATGATGTTGGTACGAAATAGTGTCTAAAAATAGAGAAAAATAAGGCTTCTTCTTTTTTGGGTAAAAAGTACTCTTTTGAGTATTGTTAGTAGTAATCACTCATACGTAAAATAGTACTCCGAGTTACTTACTATTATTACTTTTTCAATACTTTTATTCAAATGAACTCGGAGCGTCAAACTGCGCGCTTAAAGCGCCGTGCAGAGCGTCTTGGTCCTCCATCTCGTACACATCGTAACTCGATTACTACTAGTAGTCATACTAGTGATAGTAATAATGCTAATAGTAGTAGTAGAAGAAAACAAAGTGATGATGTATCCATTGATACGAGCACCTTTCAACCATATTGCGCATCATCTTCAGTGTTACTACTACTACTACTACTACTACTATGTCTCATACGTCCAAGAGCATTAATACTACAGCCATGAACACACGTCCTAGCTCAAGTATCAATCGACCACGTGATATAAATATGTTGGTAGATAAATTACTTGGAAAAATACACGGTACACCGTCTTCTATGACAACACGCCGTACAATTGTGCGACTACATGATTCACTGTCAATTCATGTCGCACATCTGGATACCGTACGTGTCGACTATATATTCCTATTACTATTTTGTAGAGGTGACGTTAGTTTGATATGTTTGTGTGATTTGTTTTATAGTTTTCAGTACTGGAAAAGATAAAACAAAAAATGAGGATGAAGACGCAGCATTTGTATGACAAGTCAGAGGAAAGAGTGATGCGATTGAATGAAATCTATGCTCGCTTTGTCAAGTTGAAGAATCTTGATCAAAAGACGTATGGATGGTGTAGAAACATGTGGCAGTAAAACGAGCTGTTCTTGTGCTAGGTCTTGTTTCATTAACGTTGTGGAATGTTATTGTTGCTGTTTGTTTGTTAGAGAGGCACTGTTGTTGCTCTATGGCTTAATGGATTCGGTTCTACCACCAGCACCACCACTACAGTATCGAAAAGATCTTCCTGACCGTCGAAAGGACTATGTCGTGGACAATGATACTGGATATGGAACGATGACTAGTCTGAACAGCTCGATATCGGATAGAAGTGGCGATCAAGGACAGCACCATCGGTCCCAGTCCATGCCATCAACATCCTTGTGTTTTCAAGGACTACATGATGCGTCGGGCATATCGATGGGGCAATCAAAAACGGACCTTGATTCGTTGGAAGACTCGTTCAAGTTTGCAGTCGGAATTGCTCCTACGTACAAAAGTAGAAGAGGGAAATGCAACAGCCCTCGTACACAATCTGGAGCACATACGGGAGCAGCTATATCAGGTGTTACAAGTACTCCCATCAGCACAGCAGGACATTCGTCCTTTCACGTACCCGAGGAAGTTCTTTTGCGCGATGTCTTGTACGCTTTGCAAGCAATCGACTCGCGCTATTTGTACTTTGACGACGCAGCTGACCGGTTTCAAATTACGAAAAGCGTGGGTATTCCACAGCGTAAGTGGGCAATGGGTACTTGTTGATAGAATGAACACTGAAAGTTTGTTGGGTTCTGCTCCATACATGATACATAAAACAGCCATGCGCGAGCTAATTCACATGTTATGCGAGCTGGGTTGGCTGTACCGCAAGATTTCAGAGTATATCACACATCATCGCAAAAAGCTAGCGTTTGGCTTGGTGAGTATAGGTTCCTGCTGAAGTGTCTGATGTGAAATACAGCGACTTACTTGCTGGTTTTGTGACTTGACCGCTTGTAGGTGGGTCAAAGCTTTTGCCATGTGCTCAACACCGAGCTGGTCGTTTATTTTCGCCTGATTGCCATTCTGGCAGCTCAAGTTGACGAAGATGTGGAAACAAAACGGCCAAGTGAACGAACGACTAGCAGTTTAACCTTACGAACGCTGATTGTGTGGACACAGGATCCACTTGACAAAATGCGATTAATGGGTCGTCTTATTGACAGGTAAGTCTTGCTTTGAGGCGGTTTCCAGTACTCGTGCCAAGAATTGTAATATTGTTACATGCATCATCCTGGCGTAGTGTCGAAGGGCTTCGCGGTGGTGCGCTTGCGTCCGGCATTCACTTGCATCTACTACATGGTGATCCAGACGTGTCGGAATTTGTTCAAGCAGTGCTGAAGCAGATTGCTGCTCCGATTATTCGAATGATAAAGCGTTGGGTCTTTGAAGGAGAGCTGGAAGACGTGCATGTAAGTGCAGCTGATGCTCGTTTGCAACATTGTATGTTTTTTGAATGATGTGCCCTTTTTATCGCTTGATAGGGTGAGTTTTTCGTGGTGGCAGACCCAACGGTGAGTGACGACCAGTTTTGGGCACAGAAATACACGCTGAACTTGAAAATGGTACCTGCATTTATGTCAATGTACGTATCTGACTGGTTTGGGATTATTCATTGGTCATTTAATTGACCGTATTTGACACTTGTGGTGGTGAAAAGTGATCTTGCAAAGAAGATTCTGGTCATTGGAAAAAGTATCAACTTCATTCGTCAATGCTGTGGAAATGCTGATGTGTGTAAAGTACATCACTTTTTTATGCCTGTCACACCTACTGATGGGCTATGCTAAACAAACACAGTGGGTCATGGACGTTGCAGACGAAACTGCTGTAATTCACATGGAAACCGAACGTGAAAGGTTTCATTTTGCGGAGCTGAAGCGTCTCGAAAGAGTGATTGAGAAGGTATCAAACTCTACGAACGAGTATCTGATCCGCACGCTGATGAAGAAATACCGGCTTTTGGATCATTGCCAAGCATTGAAGCGTTACTTGTTGCTAGGACAGGTATGAAATGGCGTGGTTACCCGGCTTCATTCAATGTTTGATGAATGTCTCATCTATTTTTTGTCTGTCTACAGGGCGACTTTGTTCAATACCTGATGGATCTTTTAGGTCCTGAGCTATCCAAACAAGGCTCGCAAGTGTATCGCCACACGCTTACGAACGTGCTGGAGACTGCGCTAAATGCTTCCAATGCGAAGTTTGAGGTTTGTACTCAAACGTTTTGCCTGCTTTCTGTGGATTACGCTTAAAAGCAATGTCCTCATGCGTTCTTCAGGCGGCGGATATCTTGGGGCGCCTTGATGTTGAGCTGCTGCAAGGATCCTCAGGTAAGCCAATGGCCAGCGCTGTATGGCAATTGGTAAGGCGTGTGGTAACTCGGACAACTTTGCGCTCTTTTTATGTTCTTACAGCGGATACGGGATGGGACATTTTTTACCTGCACTACAACTTGCAAGCACCAGTAAACAGTGTCATTCCTGCGTCCTCGATGCTCCAGTACCAGCAAATCTTTGTCTTTTTATGGCAAATGAAGCGCGTAGAGCACTCGCTGTCTGCATCATGGACAAAGGATATGAACCTTGGACATGAGGTTCAGGTATGTTCATTGGCACCCTGAATTGCTGGCACGTTTTGATCGATAGTATTTTGTGGGTGCTGCAGGGATGTGTGCCCGAGATTCGACCAGTCTTGCACAGGAGCCAGCTCATACGATCTGAGATGACCCACTTTATAACAAACCTCCTGAACTACATCATGTTTGAGGTATGGTGATGCTATAGAGTCAATCTCGGACGGCCAACTCATTTTTGGTTTTCGCTTTCTAGGTCTTAGAAACGGCATGGCATAAGCTGGTGAAAGATCTAAATGCTGCAAAGGACTTGGACGGACTGATTGAAAGTCACGCCGCATACATTATCTCGGTCAAGAAAAATGTTGGTGTTTTTTGCGTGGTTACTCTCATGCTGGTGATGGTGAGAGAGGAAATATATGGACTGAAGTGTGTGTGATCGTAGGGTTTTATGATGAGAGAGTCAAGGGACCTTTTAAAACAGCTGAAGTTCATCTTTGCAACAATCATTCGATTTTGCAAGGCTCAGAAAAAATCTGTATACGACTGCAATGCACGAAAAACACGTGGAAGAGAGACGTCAACAATTGATTCAGCGCCAGGAACTAGATGTACGTGTCAGCGTAGCCTTTTTTGCGGTATACCGTTTTTTGTATTCATAAATCTGTTCATGTGTGTTTGACTGCAAATGCGCAGTGTTCGTGGGGAATACCAGAAGAAGAAGTCTGCGATAAGCGAGGAGACCGAGATGCATTTGGTTCTAATTCAAAGATCTGTCGCCAGATTGAAGAAATTTCAGACGATTTCAGCAATCAATTTATGAAACTCCTTGACATTGTCAAGCACAACTCAATGCGGTACGAACCAATCTGCTGAATTCGAATAATGTCGATCCGTGATCGTATTCTCACTGCGTGCTTGGGTGTTTGTATTCAGTGGATCACAAAGCCTATCGTTTCTGATGTCTCGCTTCGATTTTAACGAGTATTACGCCAAGGAGACTGCTCCTCCAATGGGCACAGATGAATAAACGTTTAAAGGTGAGTACAATGACGAAAATGCGTGCCACACTGTTGTAGCCGTACTACATGAACGCTCTCTCAAGTTTTGCTACATTAGCTGTCGTGGACATGATACAGGTAATATTTTGCAATGCACGTGTGCTGTTGAGCTAATCTAGTCTTGGAAGTAGCAGGGCCTTGTTGTCAGCGGCCTCTGTTGATGAAGACCAGATGTCCCAAGTACCGAATCAGCCTCAGCGTATACATGTGTCTTGAAGTACTGCCGCATTCGCAGCAAAGGCCTGAAAGAAGTTGAGCACCTTGGCCACGTCAGAAGCATTTCTTGCTAATTGTTTATGCCAAGCTGCGCATCAACGGAAGCACCAATTGAAGCAGGTAGTTGTTTCAATTACTGACTGTTGTCGAGGTACATATCCGAGATGCCAGTTGCTGCTTGAATATGCGCGTCTCGTTGTGCAGGATCATCTTTTGGCCATCCTGCTTACTTAGACCAACAGACGATCGTACCGTCTGTTTTTGGTGACTTGGTGATGCGTGTCAATGCATTGTGATCTCACCTGTTCCTTACCCGACACAATCGACAAAGTTGACGAACTGTTGGCTGCGTGTCATGGCTGCTCAATTTCTTGAGAGAGAATATCATTCTGTTGCAACACGAACTTTAGTTCGTGGTAATTGTATATGGTGTGTAAGAAAGGACACGGACGCTATTTTCAACATTTTAAAGTTACAGAGGACATTTCAGTAGCACTTCCGGAGACTTGTGCGAAGTCTGGGATTTGTGGAGGAAACTGCAGGTACAAGCTACACACGTGGAAATGCGAAGGACATGTACAACGAGGAGATACGATATGGAATTCTGGTGGCGCATCGTGAATGGACAAACTAAAATCAGATATTGTACAAAAGCCAATCGGCTTGGGCACCTTCTACCAGCCCATATCGCGGCCGATGATCGCGTAGAGTTTTTCGTTGTATGGCGCGTAGAAGGCGGCTAGCTTGGCACGAACAGCATCGTTGATGGGGTCGTACTTGCGCGTGTTCTTGGCCGAAATGTCCTTGATACGGTGGTATGGCAAATCCAAAAAATTGAACACCGTGTCCATAGTGGTCTGCATGAAACGTCATAGCTCGTTAGCAACAAGAGAACACGCATTGAAATAATCGACAAACGTACATAGAGCTTCTCAGTGGTTCTGAAGTCGTCGAGAGTAAGCAGCAGGACGTTCTCCTTTCCGTATGCCTCTATCCAGCCAGCCAGCTGCAAAGCGTACAGTCCGCGGGCTACAAAAGAGTGTGCACCGTGGTCAAAGACGAGACGCTGTCGCATCACTTTGTCATCAAAGTCTGCAAAAGCCATATCCGGGTGCACACCAAGTTTCGAGAGCTCTTCAATCTCGTCATCGACAATCTGCTCAAAGTTGCGCCCATTAAGGTGATGATGGCCACGGTTGCGCAGCTGCTTCTCGGAGCCTTCAATATCAGCAGTCATTGAGTAATGCGAGTACGCTCGCTCGACAGGGTTACGCATAATGGCAAGAATATTGCGGCAATGCGGCATCACTTGCTTCATACGGCTGATCACTGTCGTTCCTCCGAGCATATAGCTTGGTGTAGCCTCACCCGACATCAACGATGGGAACCGGTACAAAACTTTCCTCTCCAAAAAGGTGTCCTCGTAGTACCGAATATGTTGCTTCGCGCCCTCAGGCGTCGATGCCTCCGGCAACTCTTTATTCCACCGCCAGTCGAAATAGTGGGTCTCCTTACGCTTCGCAGGCCACACGAGGTCGTGCTGCAAGATGTAGTCATACAGTGACGTGGTGCCGGCCTTCTGCGCGCCAATGATAACAAACGACGGCGGTGCGCGCTTGCCATAGTCCACAGAAAGGTCCACTGAGCGACGCGTCTGCCACACAACCGTACCTGGCTTGAGGTCCATGCGATTCAATTGGAAGCCTTCTTCGACATAATCAAAGATCATGTGCACACGATGCTTGTCCCAATTATTCTTGACATGATGACGACACATATTGTTGAGCTCATAAACGTTGCCTTGCTTGAACTCATAGCGCTGCATATTCTGGTCATTCCAGCCCACATAAAAGTCGATATCGGAGCTCGTGAACACGGGAATGTGCATACGGTGCGTAAACTGCACCCAGGATCCAGTATCATGATGTACAGGAATTTCAGCTCCAGGTGGCATTGACGCAAGGATGCAGCGAACAACACGATTGAGAGGGATATTAATCTGCTCAAAGATCGCGACAAGTTCCTTCTGCCATGAGTAAAACCACGGAAACGTATAGACTTTCTTCAAATAGTCATCTCCAAAAATAAATACAACCTTGTCAATACCCCACATATCGTGACCAGCACGACGTACTGATACATTAGTCCTTTGATGTGTCGGATCCCAAAGTGCACGACCACCAGCTCGAATTCGCTCTTGCAATAGCGAGAGATCAATTTTTTCTTGACAAGAAACGACTCGGACAATTTTTTTCTTGGCAATTTCAATAGGTAGATCAACTGTTGGAATCTTCTTGTGTCTATCTCATACAAAAACGTTCATACAATAAACAAATGAATTGAATTAAGGTTTAGTCGTTTAGGAGCATAGATTGATACAATAGAGTAGGACGGCATTTACTCGAGAGGTACATGAGGATAAGAGATCATGTCTCGATTACGTATTAACTTTGCCATGTTATAAGAACAAGTAGAGACACGCAGATGTTTCTTGCCAGTCCCAAGCACTCGATTGCTACCAACCAGCCGACGATGAATGTCATTTTCAGGGTTTTCTACACAATGTGTACATCATGTATATAATGTTGACCACATCAACTATGTCGGGTAGCTCGTGTTTTCAAGCGCGCTTACGACTAAGCCTGGTTATTTTTTCATTTCGGTTGACAATTTGGTGTTTAAGCGCTTAAATCTACCCTCTCTAAGCTCCATTGGTTCCGAGCGCTCACAGACTCGAAGAAATACGAAGACAGTCTTTTTGCAGCGCCGTCTTCATTAAGTTTCAATTTTAACACTAGCTAAATATGGTACGAGACGATTTGTAGATCTAGTATTGATCCAATGTGTATATATATATCCATCTTGGAGAGATGAATGTCCGTCTATCCGTCTGTCTGTCTGTCTGTCTGTCTGATTGTCTTTGTAAAGTTGAAGAAAACACTTGAAAAGAGCTCATAAGAATTGAGATGATAGATACAATGAAAAAGAATAGAAACAGGTTAGAAACCGGTTAAATACTGCATATCTATGGAAGAATGCAAACAAGAAGACAGACAGACTGATAGAAAGACAGATAGACATGACTTACAGCTTGTAATTTGACAGGAGTGGAATGTCTCTATACGATGCAACAAGACACAATTTGAATGATATTGTTGCTATTTTGTGTGTGTGTGTATGTCTAGTGCTAATTGAGTTTTTATCTTGTCTGTATTCTCTCTCTGTTCTGTTTGTAGGGTATCGATCTTGTCGCTGGTGGCAAAGTTGTTGGCAAAAAGAATCGTACGAGTCCCAAGTCAGAAAATGTCTATTTGAACCTGTTGGTTCGTTTGTATCGTTTTCTAGCTCGTCGTACGGATGCCAAATTCAACGATATTGTGCTACGTCGTCTGTATCAGAGCAATACGAACCAAGCGCCGTTGTCGTTAGGTAAAGTTGCTCGCTTTATGAAGAAGCATGAAGGCAAGATTGCTGTTGTAGTGGCGACTGTCACGGACGATATTCGTCTACTGAATGTCCCAAAGCTCACTGTTGTGGCTCTTCAGTTCACTGAGACAGCTCGTGCCCGTATCGTCAAGGCTGGTGGGGAGTGCCTGAGCTTTGATCAATTGGCTCTTCGTGCTCCAAAGGGCACCAACACGGTGCTACTTCGTGGTGCCCGTAAGGCTCGTGGCGTGTACGCCCACTTTGGCCACAAGTCGACGCTTGAGTCAGTGCATACGCACGATCACGTTAAGCCATACGTTCGCAGCAAGGGCCGCAAGTTTGAGCGTGCCCGTGGCCGCAGGAAATCGCGTGGCTTCAAGGTGTAAGTGGCTTCGCTGTAAACACACTGAGACCAGGCTTTCTCTGTCTTGTACTTTCTGGACGTGGGTGGTGTCGGTGCTTTCTCCGTATGGTCACTGCAACAGTAGTAGCAGCAGCAGTTTTACTAGAAGATGTTGTGTGCTGGCGGCATGCTTGTTTGCTGTTTTGCACCACTGCTACAACAGGCCTGGTGATGGTTACGTACTTATCGGCGGTTGGAATAAACAAAGCTGGGGAATAAAAATTGAGACGCGCACCGTTTTGGCTTTACTTCTTCTGTTAACGTTTTATGATGCAGAGCAAAAAAGCTGGTCATGCAAGCCATGACGAAGCAATCAAACACGAATATGGAGAGGTTCGCTATGTCAAAGTATCGGACCACTCATTTCCTACGCGAGAGAATGTACTTCAGTTTGGCGACAATCTCGGCTGCAAATTAAAGACGCATGACAAAATCCCAATTAATCCGTGTCCAGCAGCAAACGCCATCGTAACCTTCATCAACCACGTACCACACTCATACGGCGAGTCCGCCGTGTAATCTGTAATGATCTCTTCAATACTGTCCTTGAAGTAGATCTGGAACTCGGATGGATCTTGGTTGAAACGCACCCATACTACACCTGACATTGGCCTCTCCGCCTGGAAGCAAACGAAAGAAGTCATGCACATTAGAATGTCTTAGACTCGCCGCACTCGCATTTTTTTGGCAACGATATCGATTAGCACTTACAATCTTGGTGGACTTGCTCGATGTGATGACGCGCTCACCCACTTTGCGGTTATAGATCTTGTTGAGGTCGATACCCAGCATACGCTGCTGCTTCTTACCATACTTGTTCTTCTTGATAACGTGCCATTCCTTGAACATGGCGGCTGTCACGTCATTGAACATAAATGTTTCAGGAGGTGGACGGGAACGGCTGTCAACATTTGCAGTATCCTCCACGGCCGATGGAGCCGGAGTTGAGATTTGAGGTGCATCAGCAAAAATTTCTAAAGCAGGACGTTCGCAATTCAACAGTGCCGTCAGCACCAGGAGAGTAAAAGTAGATAACAACAACAACAACGTACTCGTGGCAAGAGTTACTTCGTGTAAGTTCAGTGGCCGCAACTTGGTGTGCATATCAATTTCGTCACTAGCGAGATCCAGACGTTCACGGTCCGCCTCGCTAATCTTAAGCACGTACAGCTCCTGAAACAGCTGAAGTCGGTGCTTCTTGTTCAGAGTTGGCAGCAAATCTTGGCCCACTGTCGTGCCATCAATTGCTACCACAGTGTAGTCGTCACTCCTTGGCCTATAAGATGCCAAATATATATGATACAAGATAACGCATCAGCATAGAGTACTCGCGATAGCAAGATACGCAGTGTAGTTCGTACATGAAGATCTTAAGGAAAGCTTTGTCGTTAGGCAAAGGTGCCTTGGCCGTAGCAGCACTTGGCTTGGCCACTGCGGCAGGTGCGGCAACATCTACAAACACAACATTCCATTGTACCATAAATAGCCAACCTTGTAACAATCGAAATGAAATAACAAAAGCTTCGACCTACCGGGAGCTGCATCGCCTGTCGGAGGGCATGCATCAGGTCGCTCGCACAAACAGTACTCATGGCCCCCTGCATCACCAAAGTTTTTTATCTTTCGAGACCGGTCAAGAGCTAGGATCACCCAGCAATACAGCAGCAAGAATCATCAGTTTTATGCATCGATGTACATGATTCATGAACGACGTAACAAACCTGGAAAGTCTTCATCTGGAATACCATCAGAGTCATGCAGTCGAAGCTCGTAACATTCTGGGTGACCATAATATAATGGTGGCTGGCGAGTATCTGCCTGATGTACACGCAGTAGCTCTTGAATAGCTTCATCTACCGTTGACACGTCGTACAACTAGTATCAATCACGCACATCAAGTCAGTCACTATCATTTTCCAACACAACCACCGACTTCACCCGCCAGGCATCAGCAACAACAGCAACATAGCAAAAAGCACCAGCACACGATGTCGAAACAACTTACATCGATCTTCATCTCATCTCTCGTTGGTAAATAGATTGTCAAATGTAATACAGAACCTCCATCTGCTCCCATCATCGGTGGTCTTGCTCCCATAGTTGTTAATGATGGACCTTTCAACGCTTTATCCAATAATGAAGACTCATGAAATGAAATCGGTATCACTTCTTCCTTCATGAAACAAAATCCATCGTCCTCTTGTTTCTCCTTTGATATTATTTTACCATTCTCTTCTTTCTCTTCATTTCCCTTTATAATACTGGTACTATTCTTCTTATCGATACGTCCTGATTGAGTTGACATTCGTCGTCTCGAGACGTTACTAGAGCCCACACTCTTTTTCTCTCGACTCTCCTTTGTCTTCATGGCAGCAACAACAACAGCGACATCATCTCCTGTTGTTTGATTTCCATTATTAACAATTAATGTACTAGCAGTAGTAGTCGTACTACTACTACCTTTACGTAAACCCTTTGGTGTTTTCTTGTTTCCAATTGAAATTGATGTTGTCGTCGATGGTAAGGGTTTAATTGCCGTCATTTTATCAATCCATGAATTTAGTAACTGAGATTCCATCTTGGGTGATGAATTATAGATAAAATCAACCTCCGAGTCCTGACGATCATGAAACGTGGGACTATTACATGCTCCTAGACGCATAAGACCCACGACGTGGTTTAATTCACTCAGTTCAGTAAACTGCATGGGAAGATAATATTGATGAGTCACAATTATAGGGAAAATAAAATACGAACGGACGTATTTTATATATTTTATTTACTTACACTAGGGGGATTTACAAATATAGACTTGGTTTTGTTTTGTTGGATTTCACTCTCTATACAGTTAGATTATTATTAAAACTATACAAAACCTATAGCCTCAGTATACGCATACGAATAACAACAAGAAAGAGCTACTGGGAACTTTTCTCTTCTCTCTTGTCTCTTGACTGTTCATCATGTCATCGTCATCACGTCTAGTAGCTACGTTTGGTAATACAATGCAATCATCTTTTCCTCTATCAAAGGCTATCATTCTTATTGGTGGTCCTAATCAACAGGGCAATCACTTTCGTCCATTGTCTCTGGATCTACCGAAACCTCTTTTTCTATTAGCTGGACGAGAAATGCTGTATTTTCACGTTGAAGCGTGTGCACGTGTTCCAAATCTACAAGAGATTTTAATCATTGGTTCATATGATGAAGGTCTTTTTTCGCGGTTCTTTGACTCGGTCTGGCGTCGGTTTAACGTACAAATTCGCTATCTGAGGGAGGAGAAGGCATTGGGTACAGCTGGAGGCATTCGTTTCTTTCGTGATGAGATTCTGGATGGAGGTCCTGCCAAGTTATTTGTCTTGCATTGTGACGTGTGCTGTTGTTTTCCTCTCAATGAGATGATGCACTTTCATCTGAAACACAAGGGAATATGCACGGTGCTGGGCAAACGAGTGTTCCATGATGAAGCCAAGAAGTATGGCTGTCTTGTAGCTGACCCGATGACGAAAGAAATTCTTCACTGGGCAGAAAAGCCAGAGACCTTTGTGAGTGACATTATCAACTGCGGTGTCTACCTCTTTGACGTGTCGCTCATGGACACAATTGTTAACATCGGGGACAAGATTAGTCGACGAAGACTTCGCAGCGAGTCCAATTCGGAAGCTAATACGCAGTACAACCTCAAGAAGCTCTTTCCTGAGTTCAGTAACCTCGACAACCTTCGGTGCGTGAAGTGTTCAGTGTCGAGTGTGGGGATCAGAGATGGAGAAGGCTAACCCGTTGTTTTGTTGCTGTCTGTTGCGCGGCACTGTAGATTTGAACAAGATGTGTTGCTGCCTCTTGCTGATCAACACTGTCTCTACTTGCACGAGCTTGGTGACTTTTGGTGCCAGATCAAGACGCCTGGAATGGCCATCACATGCTCAGAGCTTTACATGCAGCGGTTCCGGTTTACAAACCCTAGCGCGCTAAGCGCAACGGGTGGAAAGTTATCGCCAATTATCGAAGGAAATGTGGTAGTGGATTCTTCGGCGATTGTACATCCGACGGCAAAGCTTGGTCCGAATGTGACGATTGCTGCAGGCGTAACCATTGGACCGGGAGTTCGAGTTGCTCACTCGATCATTCTTGAAGGCGTGACCATTAAAGATCACGCATGTGTGCTTTTCTCCGTCATCGGCTGGAACTCCATTATTGGCCAGTGGGCCCGAGTTGAAGGTCAGCCACCCAACGCTTCGCAGATCCAGGTACATTCGGCCGAGACAGCGCTCGTACGTGACGTTACAATCTTCGGTGTGTCAGTCGTTGCAAACCCCGAAGTTATCATTCGCAACTGTATTGTTCTACCCCACAAGACGCTTACACAGAGTTATCACGATGAGATCCTATTGTAAGTAAGTAGCGCATTATTGACTCTCTATCTCTTTCGAGTTTTCAGTGTGCATGAACTATCGAGCTTTTGATTATGAAGGAAGACAAGGATGAAGACTTTTATTACAACACTTCTTTGTTATAAACATAGCTTTTCATGGCCTACATTACTCATGACTTGATGGTGACGAGGCTATTTTTGGCTTTATAAAAGTGGAATGAGACAATCTAAATTTGAAACGATCTAGATTTTATAAATACTTGATTTGTAAAGTGGCCGAATCTTTTCTTTCTAAAAGAAAAACGACTATTACAAAAACGAGGCATATGACTGTCACGGGCGTTACAAGTAAGGGACAAAGACATGCGAGGCAGTAAACTTTGATCCGTTCATCTCTTGTAATTCTCTCACCTTGCAAGCAGATTTATAAGCTACTATCGCAATGGTGTGGCAGAAACAGTCGTGATAATGCTTTAACAAAAGTATTGATAATGCTGAAAACGGAGAGACATCAATTACTTTTCAAGCTTTTCGAATACCATTTTGCTAATCGTACGAAACAGATGACAGTGTTGTTTAACATGTGTTGTTACTATGGGATAACATTAGACTCGTCTAGTTATGCATACGCAGCCTCAGTAAACGTCACTTACCTGTATATCTACGTACTTCCACGAGCCGACACCTTGTGAGTCAAGCGATCGAGGAGGACTTCAAGTCATGTGGATCGATAGAGCAAAGAAACAATCGTTTTTTGTATACGCAAGATGAAGACGAGCGGGCATAGAAAAAAACTGACGAGAAGATAAGATCATGCGTATTCATAAGGAGCAGGTTCAGCTGAAGGTTGGACCAAATTGCAAAGATATTGTGATAGCAAGGAGTTTTGTTTGGGTTTGTTGGACATTCGAGATTAAAAGGCACTGAAAAGTTACTGAATCGATCAGAGGAGACCGTCGCTCGCTTGATTCACAAAACTGGGTTGCTCACTGGCTTTTTGGTACACGATGACGACAAAATCATTGATATCGACATGATTGACATAGAATCCGAGTGAGTAAACGCAAAGGGTTGCAGACATTTCCATAGCAACAGTGATAATCATGTTGATGTGAAGTTTGCACAACCAGTGAACATGTCAAATGACCAATAAATGGGCACTTTGAAACATCTAATTTTGAATCTGGATTTACGGAATGGACACGTAATAAAACACCTTGTCGCCAAGAACAAAGACACTAGGGTAACATGTAATAGGTACGAATGGTTTATCAGAATGTTCTGCACCTTTTCCGCCACCTGCGCGAAAGAAAGTCCGAGACATACAAAACGAAGTGAAATCAGGCTGGATCCTAAAGTAACTTAACATTTGTATCAAATCAGACTAAGGTCCGGCCTACCAAACGCTAGTACCCCATTTCACCATTACAAGCCCAGCCGGTCGCGGCCCCTTTACCATGGCCACGTTCCAGTCCGCCACTGCGTGGATGCCTCGTAAAACTTCTCATCCAAGCGTTGTTACTAGTCGTACTATTCCGACCATGCAGCGTTCATGTAATACAGGCCAGGAGAATGCTGCACTTGTAGCGAATGGTGGCAGAGACGCCACAGACAGTCGCATTGCTGCTCGACGACTACGTCGCCAATATCCACAGCAGCCTATTGCACAGTTAGAGCATCATTATCATCATCATCAGCAGCAACAACAACAACAACAACGACCAATAATACAACAACAACAACAGAAAATGCATCACCACTCACGTGGATTCTATCATGGACCACCACAACTCATGACGTTGTCCACATCTGGTTCAAATGTTATGCACTCGTCAACGTCAAAGATGGAGCTTCGAAGCAGTGAAGTAAGTAGATCAAAAGTAACACCAAGTAAGAATCATGGTGGAATGGGTATTCCTGTCCTACGAAGCAGTCGAACGACTAAAGTGAGTTCAAACTCGAGTATCAGTGGGTTTTCAACGAGTATCAGTGGCCGTAGTGCTTATGATGAAAGTAATGATACCGGAGGAGCTCAGAGCACACCATATGAACAATGGAGACGACTGAGAAGAGCACGAACTGCTAGTGGCAATAGTTGTGCGAGCACGAGCAGCACGAGCAGCTTTGCATCGTACGTGATAAATCCCAATACAGGACGATACAACTTTGGACTAGGCAGTGATGACGATGATGACGAAGATTTGGACAACATTATGGATGTTGAAGAGGTGAAAGATAGACAAGAAGGACTGCCATCAGTGTTACAACATATCATCGCACCATCACTGCCGCCGCCACCTTATCCGGTAGACCCGTACCATTTTTACTGCAAGTCAAAGAAACTACACGCTAGTGTTGGTACTGCTGCTGCCGACGTCACGTCGACGCTTGCAGCATTGTTTGCAGAGTGCGGTATTGAAGCTATTTTTCACCCGCTGAAGTGCAAATTCAAGTGCCTTAAGTATGTGCATTACAGCCATGTCGAGTTTGTTGTGCGAGTCTACGCACACCAGCGCACGCTTCTTGTGGAGTTCCAGCGCCGCAGCGGAAGTGTGTTGCTATGGGATGGATTGTATCGCATTCTTCACCAAAAGCTTGCTTTCATTATCGATACCTCTGCGTTGCCATGTTCCCAGAGTAGCGGTCAAAAACGTGTCGCGAGGAACAGTGCTGTTTTGGCTACAGGAAAGCGCGCTTTCGAATCAGACCGACGTGATCATATGCCTACCTTGAGACCAGACCGCGAAAGTCTTGGGACGCAGATTTGGCGAACACTGTCACTAAAGCAACCAACGCCCAGCTCAGGTGTTGAAGCGATGAAGATAATGCTGACATCTCGGTACCTGGACGCAATGCGTGAAGGATGTACTGGCCTTGCGGAGCTTACAGAGGACGTTCAGAACTCCTGTCTTGTGGCCCGTGCCGATCTTGTGATGCCACTAATGGAAGCGGCCGAAGCTACAGACCTTAGTATGTCGCGCTGCGCTATTGGCACTTTGGCAAACATTGCTCTTGCTGTGCCACGATTTCCAGAAAACGAACTGGCACTAGCACGACGAACAGCGGAGCAGCTTCGAATGAAAGCCACGCCGGTGGTGTTGGCGCAACTTGAGCATTCAAATGAGCGATCTCTTTTTTCCATTGAACTACTTCGGGAATGCGCTCGAGCACTTGGCGCATTTGCCGGACTAGTGGCGGAGGTGGATCCGAGGTTACTAGCTGCCTCCAGTGTAAACGATGAACGGTGCATGCGCATTCTTCGTTTGTACGCGAAACATCGTGACACGCAGCTCGCCTCTAACTGTCGTGCTGCTTTGGAGCAGCTATGCCTGGGCATGTAGTGACTCAGCTGATCCTACAGTGTAGCATAGCAAAGAATAATGTGTTTTCCCTAACAAGCTCTATTGTTCACCCTTGAATGTGTCCATAAGCTCTTGTACCGATGCCGTTCTGCAAGCTCCGGTTCATTATTGCTCTACCAGAACTACGGAAGCAGCTCATTCATGTTGTCTAGTAAGCTCTTATACCGATGCCGTTGTGCGAGCTGTGGTTCGGCATTGCTTTCGCCAAAACCACAAACACAGCTCATCCATGTACCAGCTTATACGTGTCTATAACGGTGTAACGGAATTGAAATGCTCACCAAGGGTGTAATAGTGTAGATGGTAAGTCAACTGCAGCATTGGCATATTTTCATCGCCATCACCAACAAACTCGTCACCCATCACCAGCACATCGCGCTCGGCCGAGAACACCTCGATAGGCGTTCGAAGGGCACATGCCAAAGCTCGAAGCTCCAGTTGTCCACCCCATTCTGCTGTAGTAGCCACTCGGTCGCAATAGGACGTGAATGCGTCATCAGCACCGTCAACGCTCTTGTCAAGCGCCATAAAAGGCAAAAAGTCGTCGGGGTGGGCAAGCATATACTCGCTAGTAAGTTTGCGTAGATACTGGAATCCTGCCATTTCATCAGCAACAAGTAAGCTCTTTTGCTTTATCTGGTCCGCAACGGCGTGATACATGCAATGTCCATCGGACGGAATGTCTTTAATCTTGAGTCCATATCTCGCTAATTGTGCCAATATCAGATCAGCCTCAATCTGTCGCTCACTGACAATCGTCTTATTGGCTTCTTCAATGCGTTTACGACGTTCGGCTTCTTGCTCTTTTCTTGCTTCTCGTTTACGATGTGCTTTCGCTTGTGCTTTTGTTTGTTTCGTCATTCCAACAGCCTCATTGGCATTATCATCCGACTGCATTGTGGAGATCTCTGAGACGCTTGTCTTTGTCTCAAATGCTTTAAGCTCTTGGTCATGTCGCTCCTTCACAGCTTTCTCCATATTCTCCACCTGAATGTCAATTTCTTTCTTACTCATTCGGTCTTTCTTGGCCTTCTTTTGAAACGTCTTAACATCAGCTTGCAATGTCTAGAGAAGACGATAGTTTGACATCGTAGTAAAGTCAAAAAAGCTCCACATGAAGTAAAAACTACACGAATAGAAAGAAAAAAGATAGTAGAAGAAGACTACGTACGCGTAATTCTAGTTTATGACGTTGCTTTGTCTGTCCGAGAGTCTCATCTTTTGACGCCATTCTGCTATATCAATGTGATCTATTTTAATATAGCGATAATGCAATCTATTCAAATACAGAGTGTGTACAGTATATCATTTGATTTTGTATTGGTATTAAATTATACAGGATATTATAAACTGAGACAGTCATTGATGCATTGAAACACATTTATGTGACTAAGACACAGTTTACTGATACCGCTTCGACTATGTGCTAGTATATAATATTTGCCAAGTTATAATTGTTGTACTATTTTCTATTTTCCACATTCATCGACAAGTCACGTGCCAACAACTACATTTGCATCTAGTCCAACCCGACTGATCCATGCCACGTTTTTAATCGGATCCGATGGCACGTTTTTGTTGGGAATCGGACAACATACTTTGGGAAAAAAATGGAAAGTGATATTGGTGAACGTATACGCGAGATTTTAGCTTGCTCTATTCTACTGCTGCATCTAGCCATTTGGTTTCACTGTTGGAACCCTTGCACTGCAGAACTTTAAAGTAACAGCCACGTGATTTTCGTTGTCTCAGGCGAATGTTGAAACGATGAAGACCACCTTAACGGACGCTTGAGCTAAGATGAGTTTCATCTTCAGCACTCCTTGTCGACAAAAAGTTTCCAATGTTAACTTTCGCCACGAAAATTTGAAACTTCTTCGTCGAAATAGTCTTGGTCAGGAAATCAGCGAGCTGTATCTTCGAGTCAATACATTCCTGCTGTAAAGTCTTGTTCTTGACTTGATCACGAGCAAAATGATAGCGTATATCAATGTGCTTGGCACGACTTTGATCTCCTTCACTCTTCGCGATGGCAATCGCACTCTAATTGTCTTCGTATACAACAACTGGACCGTCAATAAAGATTTAGTCCATAACACATCAGGAATGCGCAATGAAAGTGCCACCTATCCAGCTTCTGCAGTGCTTAGCAATACACCTTTTGCAGTTTTGGCATGACAATTACTGGCGATTCGTTTATCATTACCATCACTCCTGATGTTGATCGTCTGTTGCTTCACTAATCAGCATCACTAAATGCACTTGACCTCAGCTTCTTGGACTTGCTCAATAGCAAATACCCGTCCATTCTGGTCGACTTGATAAAACGAAACACTCAATCGCCGCTTCCAGTGCTCTTCACTCGGTTTCTCCAGTGTCGACTCAATTGACACACCGCGAGCGTAAAATTGAGTCTTGTTCTATTTGTTACGTACAGAGGTGAACCCACCAGCAATTGGTACAGGCAGTTCACCATTTTTGCATCCATCACTACACACTTGACCATGTTTTGGACATCCACACCCGGATTATATACCGGTCTAGCACCCTCTTGATTTAAATTTTCAACCAGTCTTGCAATACACGCACTCTGACTGATCTTGAGCTGCTTCTCCTTCATCTCGTAGTCGGCTTCATTGGCATCACTACTTCACTCTACTCTTACAGATTATGAGCCCAAAGGAACGTGTTGTTGCCAATCCCAAACAGGTTACGCCTAACGTGGCAGTCGGCGACCCTAATCGGGTCAAAGACGACCGCCTCGAAGAAAAGTCGGCAGTGACCGAAGCGGCGCTGGGCAAGGTGCTTGCCATGCTCGGTGACCTATCTGATCGGCTAAATCGGATGGAGGCCTTCCAGCGAAAGCATGCTGGTGGACACCGGATGACTCTACGGAGACAAGCGTCTTTGGTTCGGCTCTGGGAGCAGGTGGAGGGATGAACATCTAGGTATTGGAAGCTACCCCCCTGAACAAGTCACCGAACGACGTGTCGCCGGCTCCATACTATGGAGCCAGGCGACACTACGAAGCTGATGATGATGCAAATCATCGGGCAGGCCATGTTGCAGCAGATCGCAACATGGGACAGGCACCGGAACCTGCAAATTTTATGGCAGGGGTGCCAGGCTATTACCCCGGTGCGGGTATGCCCAACATGATGCATGTCAACACAGGACAACAGGTTGTGGGTATGCCAGACGCACAACATCGGAAGCTTGCGCTGCAGCCTTTTGATGGAAAGGAACTTTACCATGGCCTTGGTAGTGGTTTTCTCGGATGGGGCAAGGAATTTGTGCGCCAAGTTGGTTTTGCTGAGCGTGCGTGTGGATTATATGGCCGGAAGACATCAAGGTGGATGTCTTAGGACAACACCTGGCCGGGAAGGCACAGACTTACTATCGTCATCAGGTGGAGACTTGGTGGTCTGAAAGTCAAACCCTGGAGCATGCTTTGCAAAGCTTACTTCAGACTTTCAGAACCAAGATCACGCCTGCTCAAAGCATGAGATTTTTTACGGCACCCAGGGCATCTCACAGAAGTTGGACGGACCACTTCCTGTACCTGACGGCAGTCAGTGATGCTTGCGGGGGGTCAGATACCCTCGTACTGGATAACATTGTCGATTATGCGGACCCGCGTATACGGATGACCATGATATCCAGGCTGGACATCCACCGAACCGATTGTCTACGTCAAGCCGAATAGTTGGCACAGTTCGCCTAGTCAACGGAAATTGACAACCACGCGAAGCACCTCGGACGCGACGTGTTCAATGCTGTCGAACCCAGGAAGGAACCAAAGGACAAGTCCAAGCTCAAGTTCAAGGTGCCAAAGAATTCAAACGACAACGATCAACGCACGTGTTACAAGTGCGAAGAGGTGGAGCATATCAAGTCAATGTGCCCTAAGAGACAAATGTCAAAGGTTCCGAGAGCAAGTTTTATGTTCGCGATCGACAATGGTGACCGTCTGCAAGACAATCATTGGATCCTCGACAGTGGGTCGAGCAGACACCTTTTCAATGCATTGTCTCTGCTGGTTAGTCCAACCGACTGTCGAAACGAATGCTTGATAGCTACAACGGATGGAGGTGTGCTTTGGATTGCCAAGCAAGGGAGTGTCTACATTGAAGTTGTTGCACTCGGGGTCATGACCACTATCCGGCTCCTCGACGTTCAGTATGCCGCGAACCTCGAGCGAAACATCATCTCGTATGGTAAGCTCGAGGCTAAGGGATGTGTGCTTGAGTACCGAGGAGGGAGACGCGTGTTAGCCTTTGGATTTGGAGGTTTACCGGTTAAGGACGCTGACTGCAACAACAATGTGTTGGTTGTTGCAGTGAGAGGAGACAGCAACAAGGTCTCAGTTTTGTCGCCAGGGGAGATGACGGCTGTAATCAATTCACCTGAATATGAATCCGATTCGGATGTTCAGAGTGGTGCCTTAATGCAGTTCCACCGCCGCTTGGGCCATATATGTTTCGACACGATTATCAAGATGGCTACCGACCCGGCATCTGCGATCAGGCTGACTGACATGAGGCGTATGCATTGCTCGGCCTGTGCCCAAGGCAAGCAAACCAAGGCATTACAGTCAAAGAGAGACACAGGCCAAAATGCTCCCATCGATGTGATCGGTGGGACCTCAAAGGTCCAACGACCCCAAGGGAACGCCTGCGGTAACCGTTACCTGGTCAATTTCATTGACCACCGGTCCAACTACCGCCGTGTATTTTTGGCAAAATCCAAGGATGTTGCTGCCCTCAAGTTCAAACATTTCCTTGTGAGCTTTGAACGAGCGTTCAAATGCAAGATCCACGTACTACGTACGGATGAAGGTGGTGAATACAAGACATTGGATGTGTTTTGTAAGGCGACCGGAGTCTTGCGTCAAGTCAGTGAAGCCAGAAATCAAGCGAGTAACGGTAAGGCTGAACGGATGCATCGGACAATCATGAACATGGTCCGAAGCATGATATTTGCTTCAAACCTACCTTTGCATTTCTGGGGCGATGCTCAACAGAAGCAGAATCAAGTCGAATCCAGGAGGAGTGTCCCAATGGAACTTTTGACCAAGAAGGTGCCGAAACTGAATGACATCGTGGTGTTCGATTCTACGTGCACGGTGCACGTGGATGCAAAAAACAAGTCACTTGGTGAGCGAGGGAAGGCAGCCATAATCATTGGCAAGAGTGATGAAACGAAGGGGTACAAAGTGTACATCCCAAGGACAAGTTGGTCGTGGTAACGCAACACATACGAAACATCGAGACACTGTCGGATGAGCAGAGCGGTCAAGGCAGTTCGTGCATGGAAAGGGTCGAACATCAGGAGGAGACACTGAACGATGGTCAACCAGAAGCTCAGGTACCTTCGAGTGTCAAGAAACGGGCGGCGAAAGCCCGAAGTGGTCGAAAGTCCGGATGGACTAGGGAGCGACACGGCACAAGATCGACTAGCAAACAGACTAAGGAAATTTCTGATGAAGGTCCTGCTACACGACAAGATGTCGTAAATGCAGTCATCATGCAAGACCCAGAGCACTATGGTGAGTCCGCCGTCGCGAAGCGTATCGCAAGATACTTGAAGATGTCGAAGGGATTGAAGCTACATCTGAATGGTGTCGGACCGACATCAGATGATGTTCGGGTTCAGTGTTGAAGCGATGCCGACTTCGCTGCCGACAAATCTAATTGCAAGTCAGTCTCCGGGTGTGTTCTCACTATGGACGGTGCCGTCGTGATGTGGACGTGCACGAAACAGTCAGAGGTGTCATTGAGCACAATGGAAGCGGAGTTCATCTTTGCGTCACAAGCCGGACGTGAGTTGTTGGGCCTAAAAAAGCTACTCGGCGAGCTGAAGCTGAGAATATGTGAGCTTATGCCAATGTGCGTGGATAACCAGGCAGCGATCAAGCAACTTGAGCATGAAAAGAGCACCTCAAGCGCAAAGCACGTGGACATCAGATTCAAGTTCATACTCCACCACGTGCGAGAAGGAGTTGTGCAACCAAGATTCATCAAGTCTGAAGACATGATGGCGGACATGCTAACCAAGGCGTTGCCAGCACCAAGAATGGAAGATTTGCGGACGATGTTCAACCATCCAGGATGCAGTCGAGGAGGAGTGTTAGAAAATATCGTTTTTGACAGGTTGGAAGGTGCTAAAGGCAAGGGCTATCTATACCCTGTGCCTGGTGAGTTGCAACCGCATCTGATTGGCTAATGGTGTGACATCTTGACAGATCTGACGAGGCGACGACGTCGCTACGTCGGATTATCTGGATGTTGTGACACATGAGAAGATCGACGAGATTACTGCATCATCTCACCAGGTGTTACCACAGATGGGACGAGGCGGGATAGACGAAGACTACAGACTAGACATGGTATAAATGCCGTTGATTCTATCATACATGTTAGAGCACTAGCGAAGGATAGTAGTTAATGCTAAATATATCTTACTTTTACTTCTACCTACTCGTGCACAAGTGCATCACTACTTCCCTTCACTCTTACACCCTGTCTACCACATTCAAATCACTTCCATAAAAGCGTTTTTGTTGGTGTCGTTGACCGAAAACTTTGCCCTTGTGGCTTTTTGTAGCCTTCAACGCAAGCTTGCTATGCTTCTTGCGTGCAGTACCTTCGTACTCACGACGAAGCATTTCGTTGGTTTGTAACAGACCAATGTCCTTATGTTTTCGAAATAATCTTCACGAGCTGACCATTTTTGTCGGAATAGCTTTCGAGCAGTATCACCTACTGCTTGCCGCGCACAACTTGATTACCGATGGCATGCAGGGGCACGCAAAACTCATCGAGCTTATAAACGTACTTCTTCCCCTCTGAATCTTGAGTTATGCAGCAGAAGACGCATCTGTACCCGACTTTGGACGTTTCTCCGAAGAAAGAAATTCTTTAAGATTTTATAAGCTTTCGCAGTCGACCCCTGCATCTAACCATAGATTGCAGACTTGGGTTGTCGAAGTATACACATTCGCGAAGACCTTTATATCGTTGACTATCCATACCGACGCATTCGCTTCAGTCCCATTCGGTACCTTGGTTGCGTCAATGTGGTTCAATAGTCCTTTCTTAGCCAACTTCATCCGAGCATGTAACTCCCATACAAAGTAGTTGTCCTCGTCGAGGACAACACTTTTCCCACCCACGTTTGGGCTCGTAAGCTGTTGGGAATCGGACAACATGCTTAGGGAGAAAAATGGAAAGTTATATTGGTGAATATGTACGCTAGATTTTAGCTTGCTGTATTTTTCTACTGCTACGTCTGGCCTTGAAAACATTTGGTTTCACTGTTGAAACCCTTGCACTGCTAAACTTCAACTTTGACAGCAACGTGAGTTTCGTGTTGAAAGGATGAAGATCACCTCAACGCGACGCTTGAGCTTAGATGCGTTCATTTTCAAAAATAACCGTTTAAATCTGATTTGGTGCCATTCTTGGAACTACCCAGACCTGAAAAGGCACTAGTCGGTTTAGTCCAATCAAATTGCGTTGACCGTGTAACTTGAGATCTACAATCTCATCACATTGCATTCTGCTGCCAAACACACGGTCTAAATTGCAAGAATGTCTCACAGCCCCGTATTCCCACGCGGCGGTGTTGGTTGTTGCCGTGCTGATTAAACTTTATTCAGCATTGGCTGCCGCCAAATCTGCTCATTGTGATGTCATGCTGCTCCCGGCTTCAGCGCCTCCCAATCTACGTGGGCTGGACACTAATAAGGTGCGGTATTGATCATAAAGTGCTACCAACTGAAGCAGAGCTACCGTAGCAAAGCTACTTATTCACTAAGTACAGAGGAAGACAAGCTCTATAAGCTTACGTAGCAACCCGCTCAAGGCTAGCTTTACAAGCTTATGCCTTCTGGCTGTGTAACAAACCTCATCCCTATGAGGCCAGTATCCACACATACAAAGGACTACGCTCTAGCAGCAAATGCTATATAGAACAGGTTTAAGACTGATTTATTTAATGTTTATCGTCTAGACTAATATAGAAGCATCTAATCAATTCTTAGTGCTAGTCACTATTTAATTGGCTCTGTAGTATTCTATATATGCAGATATGGATCCATAGAACTTAGCCAAGTACTATGACCACGTGGCTTTCTGCCACGATGCGAACCCATTATACCTATATACGGTTTCATCAATCCTGGCCGTGTCGTTAGATTGTCAAATATTATATCATGAGATTATTGCATTTCTAGGAGTAAATAGAAATAGGTTGCTGACTGTAATATTATAATATTGGCAGTGACCTAATATTAATATTGACAGTGAGATATACAATAATATTAAGGATATAGTGTATTGATCAAATGATCGCGCCATCTATTTTGCTCTGTGCCGACTTTGATGAGACCATCACTCTACAAGACACAATATCGCTACTTTTTCAGCTAGCATCATGCTCTGCATCAACACAGCAGCAGCTGGAAGAACAGTATATGAAAGAAATGAGCGAGTTCCTTGATCAATATGAAGCCAAGTGGTTGCATGCTCCCACTACTGGACAAGGAAGCTTTAATGGTACGGGGTTACGCGAGTTTCTGGAGGGTTACGCTGCGACAGATTTGCGTTCCTTGAAGCGCGTAATCAACTGTCGCGCATTGCAAGGGATTTGTCATCAAACTATTGTTGAAGCTGCAAAGACTGTAGAAATACGACCACATTGTGCTGAGACATTAGCAGCTGTAGATGAATGGAAAATAGTCTCTGCTAATTGGTGCAAAAAGCTCGTGTCTTCCGTGTTGACGCAATCGGGTGTTGTCACTGATAATAATATTAGACAGTCGACACATATTATTGCCAATGGTTCGTAATAGAGTTTATAAGGTTACAAAGGTGAAACCTGACTCTATTTGTGCTGAAATAGAGTTGAAGGTGAATAAACAAGGCGTGACAACTGGTAAAATTGACGTAAAGGTACAATCTCCACTGGATAAAGCGCAATGGATTAATCAAGTTCGATCATTGTATACTGGCATACGACCGATCGTTATTTACGTTGGTGATAGTGTAAATGATTTGCTTGCACTACTTGAAGCTGATGTGGGTATCTGGCTTGATTCGGATAGCAGTTCGTCATCGTCGCAACTGCTACGTCAGCTTGTGGAAAACTATGGCATTGATGTTCAACCATTAAAAGCCTACACTACGTTTGCGCACGATGTTGCCACAACTTCAGACGACGGTGACAGCAAACCTGTGATCTATACTGCGACAGATTGGGTACAGCTTAAGGAACTTGTTGACAAACGTTTCCAGAATTGATCAATTTTATGTGGTCATACCTGCATAATAGATGGGAAATAAACAGCATCTGTGAGGAGTGACTACGTAAAAGCAGCTGTAGAGAAGTACGAAAAACGCTCGAGCAGCAACCCAAGCAACATTGAAACCTTGCGCGTGTGACACTTTTGGGATACTGTACGCTTTGAGCCTTTTTGGTGTCACGATGTCGTCCACCGTCCCGACATACCGCTAACGTCAATGTGAATGAACCCCCAGTCACAAAAAGCTGGCCACAATTCTCGTCGTCACATTGGTTGTGACGCTGAACGTTCCTTCTTTCTTTACCAGTAGGATATCGTCCACACTGTGCATTGTCTTTGCCTGCGAATAGCGTGGAAGGTCAACGGTGGTGCCTCAGTTCTTTTGAACTGCCTGCAGGCTACCAATACTGTAATGTGTTCACAGCTCCGCTCAATTTGTCATTCAATGGTCTGTATCCTTGTCGACATTGCACAAATCATTTACCACTCGCAATCACTGTGACGAAGAGATCCGTGATCAGCGCGTTCTTGAGCAAGGCAAGACAACGCTGGACATCAGTAAAGATCCGCGGTAAAAGTTTGCTGCATGAGAGCGCGAATCGAAACGAGGATGAGCCAGAAAGTCAACGAGTGTTCCTACAGGTCTATTGACAAGAATTGTTACATGAAGAAAACACCCACTGCTCTTCTTACAGCTTAACTTGAAGCAAAAGGATACAAAGCTTTCTTGTGTTGAAACCGCTGCCCAATTGGTTTGCTTCGGCTCTATTTTCAGTCAAAATGTATCTCACAAGGGTGCGCTCAAAGGAGCAACACGTAGAAAGCGGTCTAGTAGTAAGTTGATACTGCAACAAAGCAAATAGATGATTGCAATCTGGCTCAACAGGCTCAAAACACAGCACAATGAAGCCACACTCGATCGCTGGAACGGTTTGCAGCAGTCAGTACGCACACGCCTATTTCCGCTGTGTAGGCAGCCACCTATGATCCTTGCTGGCGTTTTTCTTGCGTTTCTTGGCCATGAATTTGGATAGTCTTCCAGTTTCCTGCAAGTCTTGGAACTTGGCTTGTAGCTCCAATTTCTTCTTATCCTTCCGCTATAGTAATGTACCAAGAGACAAAACACACATGAATCAGTTCCATCCTACGTCTTCTTTACTATACCCCCCAAGTCATGACAAACCTTGAGATAAAATGCACCCTTGCCACTTGCAACCGCCTCTCTTTCTTCTCGCTTCCTTTTGATCAATGTACTCTGAATCTTCTCTCTCTTTTGCTTCTCCGCCATCTCCTGTTTCCTCAATGCAATATCGTGCTATACAAATAACATCATACAGTACATATATCAATACCTCTCGTATATCCGTCTTATCCTCAGCTCTTGTATCATGTATATATAATATATACTGACTGACCTTGAGCTCCTCTTTCTTGGCCACATCCGTGGTTTTCTTAAGCTCTTGCTTCAGTTGCTGCAGCTCACGCTGCTTGTACTCATCCAGGAACGCATAGCTTTTATTAAACAAATCTTCATTCAAACGTCCACTTTGAGCCTCAAATCGTGGATCCAATAACCGCTTCTTCTTGACTTCTACGACTTGTCGGAACCGTCCAACGGCGCGCTTCGACGACAGCTCCAGCGGCTGATTCTTGTTGTCTCTGCGCACCCTATGACCTTCTGTAGCTATGAATTTTTCCTTTTCCTTTTGCATGGCAAATCCCTGCGTTTTCTGACGCAGACGCTCTTCTAGAGGCACGTCACGCGTGTCACTCACCGGGTCCATCATGGTTGCGGCGCTTGGAGACCAATAGTATAATGTGCTTTAATGATTATCAACTTGCTATTTCAGTTTGTATTAATATGTGGTTTTATGGTTTTATATGTTTTAACGTTATGGTTTTATTCCAAAAACATTGATAAATAGATCAATATTGTCCCGTTGACATGCCCATTTTCAAATTACCCTTTTTTATTCTTTATAAAAGGTTATTGCCGCGTTTTTTTTGGCGGGAATAGTCTACTTTACGCTATTTCGTATTGTGTTTGTGCACAGCAGCAATCTCCGAGTATACTTGGATGTAATGTGCTCGGGAACGAATGCTTGTATGATCTCCAGGTATGATTGCCACGTAATTTGGAACAATAGATCCATCCTGTGCATTGCTTTCACTATCTCCAACTAGTTTTTGCAATGATCGGCAAGCAAAATCTAGGTAGTACGTGTCCTCAACGCCACAAATAACATGAACTTTTCCACGCAATTTTGTGACTAGTAACTCAGGTCGCTTCTGAAGAAACTTGCAAATGTCAAAGCGTTCCCAATACTTTGCAACATCACGATTTATGTCACCCGATAACTTGTCAAAGAGAGGAATTGGCATTCCATCAGCACCTCGCGGACTAAACAAAGCAAACTACATCAAAATTGTCAGCACATGAATGAATACACACTACAGTACATACTAGTACACTTTACGTACAAAGGCATCCCACTGCCCTCCATTACCACGACCGTATACTCGCTCCAGTAAATTCTCATCACGGTTGTTGCACGTCGTGAGTCCATTGTTGCGGCTCGTCGGGTATGGATTGCCATTAGCGTCCCAATACGCATTCTCTGCTTCGTAAATATTCACGACTTGGAACCGCGAAAAGTCAACAGGATCAGGAGCCGAACTCCATGTACCACCAAAAAAGTCGGGAAACTGGAGCTGCAACCATAGTGTCGCCCACGCACCTGACGAGTGGCCGTGTAGAAAACGACCTGATGCAGACGGAATCATGGGATAAAGACTTTCGAGGTACGGAATGAATTCTGTCACTAGTGCTGTACCCCATGGACCATTCGCTTCAGTGTCAGCGAACGATGTGTGGCCAAACTTGAAGCGCGATCCGAGCGTAACGCGGAGCATGGGAGCCGGCCAACGTCCAGCTTGCCAATCCAGTCCCATCTCGGATGACAAAAAGCCCTTGGCACGCTTTGCATACGACTCAGTACCAGTAAACCCTTCAATGTAGTATACTGTGGGAAACCAAGACGACTTTTTCAAAACCTCGTAGTCTTTTGGCAGTACAATGGAAGCCATCATGTACACGTCCTGATTATGGTATTTACTCAGAAGATCACTCTTCATCGTGATATGCTCCACCCACTTGGTCGGCGTCAGATCCATTGTCTCCTTGACAACCTGGTCTACCACAATATGGACGACAGTGTCAGCTTCATCGCCTTTAAAGCGCACTTCCGCTGGTATGCTGTACGTATTCCCCACTCGCGTGTTGGCGTCCGGATCATTCACATCTTAGCACAACCACAAGTTAGACACCTCCAAACAAACACACAAAAACAGATAAAAACACATATAACGCGTAGCTAAATCCCACCATGATGAATCAACGCTTGAACGAACAATTTGTTGGTGAATACAGTCAGGTTTTGAGGCACGAAGCCCAAAGCGTTCGGCGTCGAGAACGTTGTGCTCTCAAACTCAATCAAATCCCCTGGATGCACATTTTTCTACAAGCACGAGCAAACCAAACCAACACAAACAGCAATATAAGTGTCCAAACAAACTCAAAGTCTCTGCCGCAATTGCTCAATGCAATCCCAACATACAACGTCCTTGGCAAACACCGGCCGTGGGGCGTTCAGGTCGAAAATTTCAAAACGTGGCTCAGGGTCTGGTCCAGGAGCAAAGAAGAGAATTGCACGTCCATCTTCAATAGGTTCATGGCCTTTATACACGATGCGAAAGATGAAATTTGACTTGAGAGAGCCCTGAAAGAGAGATACGTGGATAAAATGAGCATTGACACAGTTTGGTTGGACTATATACGGCAAGAATAAGGTCAGGCACCTCGGGATAGGAATAATAATTGCTACTGGCAGTAGCATGTCGGGAAAAGTCTGGGAATATGGTCTCTAGTGCACGGTTCATTGTAATCGAAGCTTTGAGATCTCCTGGTGATTGATTACGTAAATGACAAAGTGACGCTTCCGACGACTATGTGAGACAAGTCGTAGAGACATTTGCTGAAGTAAAACAAAAACAGGTCTGGCGTTACTTTATATTTATCTCGGGGTAATTTATATTTGTTTACTTACGTCTTTGCTGTTTTTTTCAATTATATATGTATATTACCATTTTCATTCTTGAGATATTCAAATATGACTGCGATCACATATGACCGGAACAATATCTTTGTAAAGATTATTGAGGGCGACATTCTGTCATACAAATTGTTTGAGACGAGCATGTGATGGCAGTTCTAGATGCCTTCCCTGTTGTCCCTGGTCATGCTTTGCTACTGCCTTGCTACTGTCTTGGGTATGCAATAATATTCAAAATATTATTGCATAATAATATTTTATTTCTAATTCATTATTGACTAGAATATTGAAAATAAATTTAATATGATTAACCAATTATTGTATACGAAATAATAGATATGACACCAGAAGTGGCTGCTAATGTGTACAAGGAGCTCCCACGACTGGCTAAGGCAGTGCAAAAGGCCACAGGATGTGACGGTATTAATATTATCCAGAACAACAGAGCAGCCTCAGGTCAGGCTGTTTTTCACGCACATATCCATGTGATTCCACGCTTTGATGACGATGGGCTCATGAAGCTGCCAGTGGGTCAAACCATGATCACTAAGGAAGACGGCGTTGCAATGCAGACCAAGATTTAGAATCAGCTTCAAGATAGTTGACCATCTGACTATGTGTTATCAGCACAGACCTAAAGCACAGACAGATCTCACGCCTATGGCATTTCTTGGCTACTTGTGCAGTTTGAACGCTATGCGTGTTCTGGATTGCATGATATCGTGAAGGTGCCATATGTATCGGACGCAGTGTGCGCCGAGGTGCCATAATTGCTGAGGCTATGGATCACTCTTGCAGTGCCAAGCTTATCGGTTCTATACTCTTGAATGCATCCGCGTCAACCAACGGTTTACTTGCATATTTTTAGTTCATTTTAGGGCTGTCGTGCAGATTAGTTCAATCAGGGCTGCTCTTCCCTTTTCATCAGTGTCAATGCATTTTTAATCTTAGCTTCGCGGCATCATGAAAGTAGTGCAAAGCGCAGTGGCAAGTCCACACGGGCAAAACAGCCGAAAGTGACCACGATGGTCACAGCGGTGAGATACCAAAATTGGGCGTGAAAGTCTTGTAACATCAGACGCTGTATCCAGAGTCGGGCAGGCATGCCATCGATGAAGCCACTGATAGCATCAGACTGTGCTGTCTTGCCCAAGTTTTCGGATGAAGAGCGCAAACGTGACCGCAATTTACAGGTGAAGATTTCACGTGCAAGGAATGCACCACCAAGTCGACCAACAAACATGCACACACAGCGCAGCCACAGATTTTTCTGGTCGTGTAGCACGGAAAGAGCATTACCTGGCTTCTCAAACACAGCTAGTAGCGTCAAAAGTGAAGGCACTAATATTAGTGCTGTCGTATCGGCCATATTGTCTTGTTCCGCTAGCTTCATAAGAAAATAGAGTGGTCTCAGAGCGTCGCTGGTAGCTGCCCTCAAGGAAGAATTTGTCGCTAAAGTTGCAGAAACCGTATTGCCGCTACCAGATCGAGAGAATTCACTTGTTTCGCTGACACAGTTTTGGCAATTCATTTGCGTATGCGAACATTTGTCGCGCAAAGTCAATGTCTTGCATATGCCCGTCTTTTGAGACGACGATATAATGTCAACAGTCGAAGTGTGGGCATCTCTCCGAATTCGGTCTCGTTCACGATTTCTGCTACCAATTGCTTGCCAGGATGGCAACTTGCCAATACTACTTTTGTTTTCGTCGACATTTCGTGCCACGATAAGGCCATCCGAGTCGTACTCACTGTCATACTCACAATCGTGATCATTGCTCATATGAAATAGATCGACGTTTGTCTCCATTGCTGCTGCTCCGGCTACACCGCAGTTAAGCCCCAACATTTCTGGTGTTTGCGGTAATCTCTTGTGCGGTAGACATCTTGAAACTTCTATTGCTGAGGTCGTTGAGCGCAGGCAAAATGCAAGGAAAGACACCATGTAGGTACACAACGGTACAGTCAACCAGACTGACGATGCATGCTTGAAATCCGTGTAGATGCCCGTATTGAGAAAAGCGATATGAATGTTGTTCAGGAACAGCATGCCCCAGTACAACGTGTCAATGGGTGTGTCTGAGCCCACAAGGATGTACCAGAAAACATAGTAGTACAGCTGCCCCACATACAGCAGCGATGGGTGCGCAAAGGGTTCCGACATGCTGTTTACAATGTGAGTGATCACAAAGAAGTAGCTCTGCATTAGCATCAGATAGAGCACCGAAATTGCCAGCTTGAGCCATGACTCACTGCTAGTCGTGGACGAAGCCGAGAAGTCTTTAGCAAGCACAAACAGCCGCACACATAGGTGTCCGAGAAACAACGGGATATGCACAATGAGCGTACTGTACACCACCGCGTATTCAAGACTAAAGCGGGCTTTTCCCACACGGGAGCAGAAGAGTACAATGCACAAAAGAGGTGACAGCAAATCCAGCAAAAACCAGGACCGCGTCGAAACTTCTCCTCCGCGTGCAGAGCTGTACGTTGAAAACATGATGAGCCACAGCACCAACGCGCAAAAGCCACAACCACAGATCAATCTGGTCATTGGTTGTCCCTCTCGTTTGCCTTGTTCGTTTTTCAACTGTCGAACCGCCGTCTCCTTGTCACTCCTTCCTCCTCCTGACCGCTGCCTTACCAGAGTTTTTGCCTTTGGCCTTGACTCTTCATCTACATATGAATCAAAAGTCGACGACGACAAAGATGAACACTCATCTGCCCCTTGCATGATCTGAACTTGTTCCTCTTCTTCTTCCGACACTTTGTGCATTTTTTGATCCTGTTCTTGTTCCATCACAAGATCTTCATATTGTGAACGTCTAGTTCTTGGCTGCATACTAAAAAACAAAGGCACAGCACCAAGTGCTACAATACCAAACAATGTATTGCCCACAATCCACGAGTATTTGCTCGCTGGTATACTCATATACCATTCAATGAAGCTAATGACAATACTAATGAGTACAAGTCCATACCAGAGTTTATAGTGTCCATCTTGATCTTCATCAATCATTTCAAAGCGAAAAACTAATAGAAATGGTGACGTAACGAGCACAAAATTACACAAATACCAGACGGGATTGACTAGAATGGAATACATGGAATGACCACATTGACCCACTAGACATAGCAACAAAAGTAACACGAGGGAAACAAGTGGAAAGGTTACACGCCATAGTAATAAATGCCATTCGCTTTGAGTTGCTGGACCTTGACGGAATTTTTCAAGCAACTCAAGCGCCGCATGCGATTGACGTCGGGCATGACGCGAGCCTGAAGTAACAAAGTGCCAGAAAGGTTGACGAGATAATGAAGAAGAAGAAGAAGAAGTTGACGACGACGATGACGACGAGATAACACGTGGTAAAGTAGTACTAGTACTACGTGGATGAACGAGCTTTATCGTCCACGATAGTAATGCGACACTACCACGCCATAAAGCTGCTGCAGCCATGAAAACCCTATTAAGTATGAAATGGCATGTGAATGATCAAGTGTTACTATTTAGAGTCATACTATTTAAAATGAAGACAAACTCTAGTACTATCTCTTCATATATTCCAAAAAGTATGACTACTATTTTTGTTTTTGACACAGTTTAACTGCCGTCAAGTTAGCTGTCTGCCAACGGCTTCCGAATTCGTTTTTCCAAGAAATATCTCAACCATCCAAGGTTTTCGAGGATTTTCCTTGATCATCATCAACATGACCGTCTTGTGTTGAATGGTTTGGACCAAACACAATTGGATTTGCAGTCGAAACCACAAGAATGGCAACAAACGATGCCATGGAGTCACGGTTGACACGAAAGGACACGAAAGCGCTTTATCGTCTCATGAAATTAGTTCGTGAAACTCAATGCGAAGTCGAAATTGTGAAACCACTTTTGAATGAACTAGAAGTGCTGCGATTATGTCGAAGTTTCGGCATGATGTCGTCGGTGAACCCCGATGAATTTGACTTTGATGGTTTACACGCGAGTGCTTTTGATGAGGATTTTGCACGGTTTCTTCGTTGTGAGGTGTTTGAAAACAAATGTGCAGGGAATGTGCAAGTCAAGGGATTAGTTGGCAAGCAAAATCAAGTGATAAGGACATTGATCGAGATGAAAGTGTGTCCAGATGAAATGATAGTGTCACTTGCGACAGCACGAGAAGGACTCTATTGTGTGAAATGTGAAGCAGCTACTTGCACTGACGTACAACAAGGTCATAATGACAAGGATGGTGCTACACTTGTGGTATTTTCATGGATTCGAAATGAATTATTTGAACCACAAGCACTTCGGGAGACCCTTGCACTTGTGCTGCGATTTCTGACTGTCTTGACTCCAGATATTATCTGCTGCGCGTCAGAGTTAGATTTGGAACAACTGAGAGCTGCTTTGATTGACTCCGAGCAGCAAGAAGAGGAGAATTTGGCGTCGTTTTCTGTTTCTTTTTCCGTTGAAAGGCAAGATGACGCACATGATGGTACGGTATGTGTAGCACGCAGTTCTGTTGACTTGGAGGAATGTATGAAAGAGTGTTTGAGTGTACAATTGCTGAAAGGCAGTTACTCGGCGTTACTGTTGACAAAAAAGAGTGAGCCGATCATTCGTACGGAACCTTTTCAGCGGACATTTTCTGCTTCTGCGCAGTTGTCTTTTGCAGCGTGGTTAAAGACTGAGTCGCAGCAACATCGGATTGAATTAAGCGGGACAATTGCTCGGTCACCAACTCTTTGTGAGAGTATTCTTCGAGAGTTTGAAATGTGGCCAGAAGAGCAGGCCAAAGCTTCTCGTGCAGCTTTTAACAAGGAGAAACAAGAAAAGTATGAGCTAGTTAGCCGGCAATTGGAGAATGATATTGCGAAACAACGTGCTGCTGTAAGAAAGATAGCAAGTTCACTGTTTCAAGTTGGCTCTAACGGATCGTCAGATGTAGCCATTACCGTGTCAAAGCAGGAAGCGGACACCGAATACAACGTTTTTCGGAAATGGGTTCAAGCAAAGGGTTCCTGGAAGCTTGATTGCAAATCAAAACTAAAATTGGACATTCCTGCTCGCCTTCGAGACATTGAACGACCACTTTTTGAGCTTTACTTGCAGAATCACGAAGTAGATCTTGCGGCCCTTCTGAGCATGTGTGCTACATCTACCAAAGCACATCTTTTGCAAGCTGTCGCTAAGCGTCAACCATTGCATGGTACAAAAATCGTGTCCTCTGTCGATGCGTGGAACTCATACAGAGATAAAGTTGCTGATTCACTGTCCAAGCTGCAACGGCAGTGGTGGCTTGCTGTTGAGAGTAGCTTCGCAGCAGTGAAGACGGCTGAGCTTGCAAATCTAACACGTGACCAAAAGCAATCTACGCATGACTTGAATGCTGCCACGAAGCACGCCACACAAATCGAGTTAGAAAGACTACGCAAGACACTGCAGTCAAACAGCGGCTTGTGTTTGACCTTATGTGCAACTATGCGGAAGGAGGTTGTTTGCTGCAATGGCACAAAGGAGCTGCAAACACTGGTCTCGGAGTTTCAGGAAGTTGTAAAACTAGAGGTTGATGAGCGCGCGTTGAATAGCGTGGGTCTGGAGAGATTGGGTCATCACTTCTTAGACCCGGAAGAGACGCAAGTGATGATGTTTACTGTCAAGACGAGGTCTGCCGTTCAGGTCTGTACGTCGAGGGAGAGAATGTGTATCAATTTTATCCATTTTCCACCTGTTGATGATGGCCACCAGTCATCGTCTCCAGGGAGCAAAAAGGAACTCCGCGCATTTGGGAAAATTGCATCAGTTTGCGACTACAATTGCCACTCTAGGACTATGACATTTCTTTCGGAAGATTCTGTAGGACTATACAAGTTCGACGAGGCCTTTAAGCGAATGGACCTCATTAAAGTTATTGACTTGGGCGTTCGTTCCACCTTGACCGCTCTGCCGTTTACGGATGCGGTTTTGCTGAAGAGCACTGTGTATGTGACAGACTCAAGCGGTTGCTTTCAAGGCATTGACATTCATACTGATGAAGTATCTAGCGCAACGAGCATGCTCAACAATGCTGGACAAAACGCTCAAGTCAGTCGCCTCATGCCGTTTGCCGATCAACTTGCTGCTGGCGTGGTGTCTGTGAGGCCTCACGATGGTGGAAGTTATGAGGGGAAGCTTGAGTGTGTCTGTCTTGACGACTTCCATCGCCTACCTGTTTTACCTCTGGGTATAGAATTTTTGACCGATGTTCTACATGTGCAACGCGTTGATAAAGGTATCCTCGTAGTTGATACCGTAGCGCAAAAGCTGTATCGATTTCTAATCGAAGTGACTGTCCACAGTAGTTCCTACCGGCTAAGCCAATTTGACGAGAACGGAGACGAAGACAAAGACACAACAGCATCCGAGACAGTAGAAAGCAGCGAAAAATGTCTGCGGAAGCAGCACTGGCTGTACACATTTTACCACGTCTTTGAGAAATTCCCGGTTATTGGTCTGCTGAATGATCGGCCACGACGACCCGTACCTGTGTCTATTCTCGTTACTTGCCCTGTCAGCGAGAGCATCGACATTTCTCTAGAAAATTGCCACGATTTTTTTTCGTTGCTGATGAGCGACTTGATGGCACTCAATAAACCATTGTACGGGTTGGACCTGACGAAAAAGCTTGGTGTGAGGCATGCTTCATCAGTCGGAGCAACAATGGAATCCATGTCTTTGAGGACGTTTTTCCTGGCACTTATCACGTTTTTGCCAATCCAGATTTGTCGTGCTGAGTCAAATGCGCTAGCGTTGTTGCGGGATGGGATGAATCAACCACTCGACGCTTTGGAACTTGAAACGGAAGAGAACTCATGGGGAACGGCGGACATTGCCGAATCAATACGATTTGGTCTCTTATCTCCGCTATTGTGTGCTTGGCAAGGTCATTGTGTTGTAATCACGTCAATGGGGAAGCAATCAACTGGAAAAAGCTTCTTTCTCAATCACTTGACGGGATCGTCGTTCGCCATTGCAGGAAATCGCTGTACTAATGGTGCGTGGATGACCTTGTGTGTTATGAGCAACGTTTTACTGGTAGTCCTAGACTTTGAAGGTTTAGGCTCATTCGAGCGTACCGACCAAGAAGATGTGCTTTTGGCGGTGCTAAACGCGTCACTTTCGATGTTTACGATTTTTCGAATGGAGATGCGGATTGATAAAGAAGTTGATGGTCTCTTTAAGAAGTTTCAAAAGGGAATCAATCTCTTGAAGAATGAAAATCATCTTTTCCAAGGGAAGTTGTACATGAGCGTGAAAGACATTAACCTGGATGACGGCAGCGGCGTTCTCTCTGAATTTAAATCAAAGATAAACAAAATGTTATCAGCTACCCGTGGACAGAATTTCCTCACTGACATGTATTCAGGAAAAGTGAGTATCAATTGCTCCCCGCCGCTTGGAACTGTTAGATATTATTCCTCCCTGAGTCACGCTAGGCAGTTAGTGCAGAAAGTTATTTGCTCACAAGCAGACTCTCCCCGCTCTTTCCGAAGCGGGGACTCCTTTCACGACTGTATTCGTTTAGTACTGGCGAAGATTTCGACCTTGGACTGGACTACAGCTGACAGAACATCGCAACAGCTCCAGATGAAAAATCTACTTCGAAAAGCACCTGGTGTCATTCGCACTGGATGTCTGCTCCCTGTAGACTTTCAAACAAAGGAGGATGTACCGAAGTGCCTTATGCAGCCAATTGTGTACACAGAGAGTGATAAGGTGCTTTTTCAATTCGAAACTCTTGTCCAAGACTGTCCTGAATGCAAACAATGCTGGCCGGATGCTGACCAGGAAGTCGCCTTTGACAATGTCGAGGATTCAAGTGTTGATTTTGGTCCGTGCGTGTGCGCGAAGGGTATTGATGGTTGTGAATCTGTCCATTCTATTTTTGTGGAGCTTTTTCAGCGATATCTGAGCTTGTCATCGAAGGGTACCTTTGAATTGATCACAGAGGATGACTATGTGCATTTCGATGTCATGTTGTGCTTTTTAGTACGCCGTCGCAAGGTCAAAGTTGCTCTGTGGGTTAAGGACTATTTGGGACCAGACCGATTCGTGGATGAATGGGACGATTTTGAGCGCTTGCATCTTACCCCGTTTGAAGAGATGTTTAAAAGATGCGCTCAGCAATGTGTGAAATGCCAGCTTCAGTGCATGCGCTCAGCTTGTCATTCGTTTGGCGAGGACCATGATTGCGGTTTGAGTCACGTTTGTCGCGGCTTGTGTGAGTTCTGCATGCAAAGTTACAATCAGCAAGACGAAATGCCACGTTGTGTCGGTAAGGCGGGACATGAAGGCAAATGCAACTGCGGAAAGGGAGATCATACGTGCGGCAACTTGTGTGATCTCTCAAATGCTTCCAACTGTGAACTCGTTTGCGAACTAAAAGCCGGCCATGATGGAAAGCACTGGTGCTCAGTAAAGAATCATATCTGTGGCATGTCGTGCAGCGCAACAAATTGTGGTGGGAAATGTTTTTTGGGTGCGAAGCATGTCCACATGGTGCACAAGTGTGCAGCAACTCAATGTAGTCACGAATGCGAGATGGAAGGTTGTCAGGAGCGTTGCAGCACAGCAAACCATTTCCATGACAATCCTGCTCTAGACATTGCGTTTGCTAGAGAAAACGGACGTTGGATTTCGTCATTCACGGGTAGAGATGCTGATAGCATGCGGCATGTGTGTAATTCAAGCCACGCGTGCAACCAAGTCTGCGAAGAATATGGAATTTGCAACAAGAGCGTCCGTGTCATGCGTAGTAAGTTTTCGGGGAGTTTCGACAGTTTTGACTACGATTCGAAGCAAATGGTAAGTGTCCGCAACAAGTGTGCAATTGTGCTGAAGCCCGGGCAAACGGATCACAAAAATGTATTGCACTCCTGTGCAAAGCAAACAAGGAACGGAATGGTAGATAGCCATGGATGTGTGGCAAAATGCGAAGCTTGCGAATACTATTGCGAAAAACCTGTCGGGCATCGTGGAATGCACTCAACTGCACACGGAAACATGCGGAAGATGCATTTTGTTGCTAAAGAAGAAAACAAGATCGATTGGGACAAGCGCCTATATGCGCCAGGAGAGGAGGGGGTCGCTGAAATGTGCAACTTGTACTGCTCTACGGCTGGACGAGGTCACGTTCATTATTTGAAATGCTCTAGTGAATATGCTGGTGAATGTGTCTACTCTGGGATGCTCGATCATCGCCGTCACTGCGACAGTTCATTGCTCTTTCCGCGACCAAATCATGAGGTCGACGAAGTTCTTCATGCTGAATATTGGAAAACGATTGGATGGGAGGACCCATGTAATTCTGTAGTTGAACGAGCACTATTTGCAAAGTGTCCATACCTGTGCAACGCATTCGAGCACAAAGGTCGAGGCAATTCCCAGTCTGGTTGTCTATTGCCTGCTTGGCATCCTCCTGCTACGCCTCAGCCGTATCTTGTGCGCAATGATGTTACATACATCAGCGGCCACCAATTTGCTTGCTCTCATGCCGCGTCGAAAGGCGTTTTGCACCACATTTTCGTTTTAGACTGCTCGGGCTCAATGAAGGGCGGCCCTTGGCAAGCACTTAATAAGGGCGTCCGTGAGTATTTGACAGGCCGATTGGCGAGAGGCTTTAACCAGGATGTTGTGTCGGTTGTTACCTTTGGAGACGCGGGTAAAACCGAGTTTGAGCGTGTTACAATCAAAAATGCAGCAACACGGTATCTCAATTTTCGCGGTGGCGGAACGTACTATGCAAAAGGACTAAAGGAAGCCAGTGCCCTTATTTCTCGAACGAGCAACACTGTATACCAACCGGTGCTTCTTTTCTTCACGGACGGTCGTCCTGCTGACCGCAAACAAGGACTAAAGCTGGCACGAGATATTCAGAGTCGCTATACAGTATTTGGACTGCGAGTTTTCGTGGTTGGGTATGGACGAGCGAGTGAGCTAGGGCTGGAGGATCTAGCGAATCATCTTGGTGGAGAGGTGCATGAAGCTTCATCGTTTGATATGCTAACGGAAACGTTCCGCTCGATCTCAACGTCATTGGGCGCTCGCGCAGGGCTCATTTGCAGCAGCAACGTTTAACATGAAGAGGAGAGGACGGGGTGAGTTGTTTTTTTTTGAATGGTAGCGTGATGTTTTTCGAATGGATGCCGACGATTTGGTCCAAGGTAAAAGGTTTGAAAGTAAATACTAATGCAATTGTTTGTTGAGTCAATTGAGCGGTGCTTTCGATATGATGATCATTGCGTGTTGCTTTCTCATTATGACACGGGGCATTTGGTAAAGTATCGACAGTAGTGCTGGGTGCTTGTAGCTTTCAATGGGATTGACTGACTCACCAAGAGCGTGAGGTCTGTCTACCTTTGAAATTAACCTAATGATCAAGCGTGATATCATAACGTGTTAATATGTGACAAGTATACGTGCAGGATGTGTCTCACGTTTCTAATTTGTGCTTCTTAGTGCAACGTGAGCTGTCACATATCGCTCTATTTCTTAGCGTTATGACAAAATGTGCCTATTTTCTTGACTTTTCTTACTTACAAGCTACTTTTGGTCCATCAACCCCTTTTGTCCAATTTTCAATCATTACTCACCTGCATCTTAGTCTTTTTCTCAGATAAGACATAGAAAGACTTACCCTGCACCCTAGGAGACTACGTTGCGGATATACTGAGTTATTCTAAGAAAAAGCTCACAATGTTGCGTATCAAAAAGATTAACGCAACATAACAAACCATCACCAACGCCAGTCACTTATCATCTAAAAACTCGTAAGAAAATGGCGCAGGTGGATCGTGCACAATCAAACGCAATGAACCTTCAAGTACTTAAACGTCAAGATGCAGATGTGATGGAGATTGTTGATACAGCAAGTCATGTTGTTATGTATGAGTTTAATCAGGATACACAGAGTTGGGTACGTGGTGACTTTGAGGGGAAGAGGAGAGCAATTGTATGCATTGTTGCTCAATACTATTGTAATGTTGCAGAAGCGAAAGGATGTAGAAGGGTGTTTGTTTGTAATCAAGCGGTACGTAACGACAACGTTACGAGAATGATTGGCATGAGTAAATACGTCGCTATTTACTGACTGGAGTCGTGATTGCTATAGATCATCGTCACCACGTTTCCAGATTTTTGTGAATAATCGACTAAATACGACAAATATGACGCTAGAACTGGACGGACGTCTTGAAGTGGAGAATGTCGATAGTTTTCTGATACTGCGTAGCCCTGATGCGGTGGGTGAATAGCTTAATTGCGTTTTGTTTGGTAGAGATCTGTCATTGATTGATTCATGTGTGTGTTTGTGTGCTGTTGGGTGGAATGATGATAGACGTACTCAACGGGTTTTGCAATTTACGGTATCTGGTTCTTTCCTGAAGAAGATCGTGCCAAAATCCTGCAGTTACTACAAGTGTAAGATTTGTTTTTTTTGCCGTGACCTAGTCCACGCACATGGAGTTACTGATGGGGTTGAATTTTGTAGGCTTATTCAGTCGCTCAAGGCTCCACAGAGCGCAGCTATTACGAATAGTACGCAGCAACAACCCATAACAACCCCGTCACCGCTTCACACGCAAGCAAAGCCGAAGCAGCAGCAGACGTTACAGCCCAGTCAGCAGCGGAATCGGCAGCTGGAACGTCCTCCGTCGCAGTTGCGCAATCGGGGACGTTCACGCAATAAACGAGACGATCCAAAGCGCTCCGTTGCCGCTACAAACACCCCTATCGCGATCTTACAGCGATCTCCGAAAGGCAAGCGGAGCAACAGCAGTAGTAGTGGCGGTAGCGCAAAAAACAGCATGGTCAAGCAGGAAACTGCCCCGGCGGTTGCCAACTCGTTTAGTATGATGTCTATCTCGAAGGTAGATGGTATTACTGCGGGTGAGGCCATTATGGGCATGATCTCGCAGAAGCCGCAGCAGCAGCACAAGCAGCAGTCGCCGGCTTTCACTGTGAACAAGGAACAACTGAAACAGACTCTGATCGGCCTGCTTGATGACGCACAGTTCTTTGACCAGATTTACCACGCGTACGTGGACCGTGTGTCGAACCGAGGATGAAGCGTGAAACGACGAAGGGCGTAGGTAGTGTAGGCAGCAATGGCTGCCATTACATAGACTTGAGCTCATTCAAGCTTTTCACAAGCGTTAAGCGAGAATGAAAGGGAGCGGCTCAGAACAAAGATGACCTAGTATAACTCACACACACAATAACACGGGGTCGCATCTGTTAGTCACTGCTGCACATTTTGGTGTTCTCGTCTGGTGGTGACGTCTGGGATGAGCGATGACGGCGGCAATCCATTCACGCGCTTTGCTTTTGCTTCGGCCAAACACAACAGCAGCGCCAACGGTGACGTCAAGGTAAAGGTGAGCGATTCCCAGCCTGGGAACTCCAGCGTCAAACGCATTAGAATCGAAGAGAAGGAGCGCGAAACTACCTTTTCAAGCTGTCGGAACAAGTCAAGTAAGACTGAGCATACAGACACCACGCAATGCAGCGATGCACGTCACGATGGAACGCAAGATCTGCGACTGCAGTTACTATTGGAACTCCATGAAGCAAGACAGAACATTGTGGAAACACCCATCGACAAGTTCGGAACGCAAGCGTGCGTAGCTCCTGGTCTGTCAAGCGCTAAGGCCAGACGCTTCCAACTACTGGTGGCGGCGATGCTTAGCTCCCAAACCCAGGATCCGATCACGTATGCGGCAATGCAGCGTCTGCATCAACTCGGACAGAGCGACCAGGGTCTCACTATTGCGACTTTGGAGACGACAAGCGAGGTACAGCTGAGTGAATTGCTCAAACCGGTGGGTTTCTACCGCCGCAAGGCGCATCAACTTAAACAAATAGCTTTTATCCTACGCACGCGATTCCACGGAGACATTCCTCGTTCATTGAACGAGCTACTGGAGCTACCAGGCATTGGACCCAAAATCGGCCGTGTTATCACATTGCTTGCATGGGAACAAGTGGATGGCATTGTGGTAGATACACACGTTCACCGCGTTGCACAACGACTTGGCTGGGCATCCACATCATCAAACCCCCAAGACACAAGACGAGAACTGGAAGAGTGGATTCCGCCCGAACATTGGGGTAATCTATCACTCGCGGTCGTGGGCTTTGGTCAGACTGTATGCACAGCAAAACGCCCTTCTTGTTCAACATGTCCATTAGCTGCAAAATGCCCCAGTGCCTTCAAGATTGACACAACAAGGAACAAGAACTCGAGCAAGAGCAAGAGATCTGCATTTTTGAGACCACCACTTGAGCTCTAATTGCCTATACAGCACAACAACTAAACAAAGCGCGCCTTTCATTAACTATGTAACAAATCCACATAGTTAGTTTGATGATACATAACGTTCTTCTCCCCCCTTGTCTTCACACTGTCTGGACGTACACCATAAGCAGTAGCAGACAACAGAAGCCCAGTGTAACCATGGCCAACAATGTCAGTGCACGATGCGACACTTCATCCATGTTCTCAATATTGTCTCGTTCAGAGAGCATTTGTGTAGACAGTGAAGTCGAAAATGAGCTAGTGGGACTGCTGACAAGAGTTCCCACAGTCGAGAGCGACATTATCCACTTGCCCATAGACTGCAACACCTTGAGCGGCTTTTTATCCAATGAAAATACACTTGTCACCTCGCCCAAGTCCTCATCTTCCTTACGCCGACGTCGCTTTCGTCGTGTTGTAACACTCTCGTCAAACTGCGTCCGCATGATTTCTTGTGGTGGTAAAAGACCGAGCTCTTCGTCTTCACTGTTCTCCTCACTGTTTTTATTCGCCATAAGCGGCTGCCACAACATTCCGGCATCTTCACTCATTATCGTCCAGTCCTTATGAGGGTTAAAAGCCTGTAAACGATCCCACAAGACGTCCATAAGTTCTTCTCTAAGTAGTCAATGAGCTCTATATAGTATTATCGTAGTAGTGATATCGACTCAGTGTTATCTGAATGTGATATTTGATTAGTGTTATCTGAATGTACTATTTATACCGTATCGTCAAATTGCTAGATGAGTACTTTATCAAGCCACACATTTTTATATCCAAGTACGATATTCATTATTCCAAGCAATTACATTATCCTGACAACTTATGCAAGAGCATGGGATTAATTCCGACAACACTGTTTTGCAAAATTACAATAATCACCGCAATAATATTCCATTGTCATGACAACAAACCTTTGCAACGAGTTACAGCAGCTTTCATCCGCACAGCTTCGAGACCTTCTCAGTGCAAGTGGTCATGACAAATTACTGCAAAATGAAGAGAAGCATAAAGAGAATAATGTATTGATCCCCAAAAAAATAGATGAACAGCTTCTAGTGGACATTAAGAATGAAGGCAATACGTTTTTCCGCCAAGGTCATCTGAACGATGCCGTATCTGCCTACTCTCGGTATTTACAAATTGCGATTTTAACTTATTGTTTTTTATATTTATGTAATATTTATACAATTTAAAATTATATATTTTTGTGATTAATAAATTTTATTTTAATTTGTAGATGCCTTGAATTAGATCCAAACAACGCCATCTGTCTTTCAAACCGAGCAGCTGCGTATCTAGAGGTTTGGTGGTACTAGTTTTATTTTGTACAAAATAATATATTATAACTCTGCGTGGTATTACTATTATTATTATTATTGGATTACTATTTTGTCGATTGACAGTTAAAGCAGTATGACCTTGCAATTACAGACTGCTCGAGAGCAATTGAGCAAGCTTCAATCATTAAGGTACAAGTTTATTTCCTTCCTTATATGAAGAATGGGTACATTTTGTCATACTTGCGAAACTGTGTGTATTGACAATCATTGTAGCCATTCATGCGTCGAGCAACTGCATATATGGCACGGCAGCAGTTTATTCAAGCAGTTGCTGATCTTGAAGCGGCGCTACAAATTGAGCCACACAATAAAGAGTGTTATGCAAAGCTTCAAGTTATTGTGGATACAGCAATGGAGGAGCAAGAGTGTAGAGTTATGATGGGTACAGAGCTTCGTAAAGCAATTCTTCGAGCTACGCTGCTTGTGTCTGTTCGTAAAGGATGGACAAAGAGTGCTGTGCGAGGCAATCCAGGTCCAGCTGCTGTTAATGGACATACACTATTTCAAGGACCCAACGGATGTATTTATCTTTTTGGTGGAAGAGCTGTGCGTGAACAGAAACCTGATGTATTTGTGCTAGATGAGAATGATCATTCAAGCTGGGATATAGTACCCACCAGAGGCACAAGTGTGCCTTCGTCACGTGCGTGGCATTCGATTTCACCTATCGGGCACGAAACAAAAGAGTTATACTGTGTATACGGTGGGGTATCGTCACGGGGTGAAGACGCTAATGTGTACTTGCTTATGCGTGATGCAGTCGGTAGATTTCAATGGTTACAAGGTTGCTGCGCGCAAGATTCCAATAGTATTCCTACTCCCCGATCAGGCCATGCAACAGTGTCAGCTGTGGAAAGTACTGGCAACCAAGCTGTGTTCATTTTTGGTGGACGAACAAAACAAGGAGTAAATGACCAATTGCTAGTTTTGCAGTGCTCTTCACTACCTGATGTCGCCGTTGCTGACAGCAGTTGCGTGATAAACACGACAGTTGTATGGAGCGAAATCAGTCAAGTTAAGAGCACTAAAAAGCACAATCGTTGGCCATCTGCTCGGGACGGTCACTCGTTATGTTTGCTGCCACGTTCGGAATATCATCCGCCTCGACTTGTACTTTTTGGTGGGAACGGTCAGCTCAATGAGGAGAGGATGAATGATGTATGGATATTTGACATAGACAAGCAGCTTTGGACGCTGCTGCAGTGTTCCGGAGATATTCCACCGCCAAGGTCTTACCACACAGCCCACACCATTGGTGAGTTTCTTTTCGTTGTTGGTGGTCGAACTGCCGAATGTGAGGATAGCAACGTGTACATGCTGGACATCGGGACATGCAAATGGTTGAAAGTGCCTGTTCCAAGCGATTATGTTTTAACTCCTCGCGCTTGGCATTCGAGCGTTCTCACGAAAGACGGTAAACTGTTCGTGCTCGGTGGTGGTAGCTTCCACGGTCCACTGAAAGATGCCGCTTTGCTTGACGTGAGTTACTTTCAGACCAAGGCATCTTTACTCCTCCATCGCCATGGTGACACGTCTTTGCTGGAGTAATGCTACGATATAATCAATTGAGTCTCTTGTTTAATCTTGGCAATGCTCAACGCCCAATGTATTAAGAAGTGACTGTCATAAGAAGTAAAAGAGAGGTAAGCAGACATTTCTCGTCATTGTGTCGAGACTGCGGAACCCTTAGTAGCAGTATTGGTCGGGGTGGGGTCCACACGTCTGTCTATACCTTTGTCATTGCTGCTTCTGGACCAAAACTTTGGCTAAAGAAGGTGGCTAACGAGTCAAACGATGGGTCTTCAAGTGTCTGCAAAAAATGATGCGACGATACAGGCGGCATGTTGGCGCTTGGTATAGTATCTCCAAAGGTAGCGTGGCTGTAGCTGGCTTTGCGATTCTTCCACTTTGTCATGACAGCCTCGAGACTGGAGCAGCCGTCTAAGAAGTTAGGTAGCTCGCCAAGTAGTTGGTTATCACGGAAATCAGACTCTCTCAGGCGCTTAAGTCGTGCAATACTGTCAGGAATCCTACCTTCCAACGCATTGTCAAACAGGTATAGATACTCGAGATCGATAAGCTCGCCTAATGATGCCGGAATAGGTCCACTGAGCTGGTTGCTCGAAAGATTAAGGAATTCAAGTGCCTTGCAACAACCGAGAGATGGTGGAATAGCACCCGTGAACTCATTGTTGCGCAGTGATAGAAATCGGAGTGACTGCATGCGGCCAATGTCCTGGGGAATGTGTCCTATCAAGCAATTGCCACGCACATTAACCTTGCTTAGCTGCGTTAGGTCACAAAGTGCCTCGGGCAGAGCTCCACACAAGCTGTTGTACTGCAACTGCAATGTCCGCAAACTCTGAAGTTTGCCAAGCTCCTTTGGAATCGACCCGGATAGCGTATTTTGATACAAATTAAGCTCTTGCAGATTGCTGCAGTCGCCGATCTGACGTGGAATCGCACCCGTTAGGTCATTGCAGCTCAAGTCCAGGCGCCTGAGTGACGTGAGTGTCCCCAGGTCAACCGGAATCTCGCCTTGCAGCTGGTTCTTGGACAAGTCAAGAACGCGGAGGTGCGGTAGACGGACAAGAGTGGCAGTTGGCAGATACCCCCTCAAACCGTTAGCCGACAGCCTCAGCGCGACGACATGGCCCATGGACACGTCAACGCCAAACCACTGCTCTGGGTCGCACGGACCTTGTTTCCAGCCGTCGTGACGACGCCAAAGGTCGCCGTTAAGCGCATCGTAGAGCTCCAGAAGCGCTGCTACTTCCGTCGTTGGGAAAGAGCTCTGTCCTTGACCCATGGTTATGTGACAGAAGCTGTTTCGTCTTCTCTACCAGGATAATGGAAGAATTTCCAGACGCACTTGTCTCTCGCCTTTGGAGTGGTTTTGTGAAAATAAGAAGATGGTCGAGAGACGATCAGATAGAGAACAAGGTGAGGCTTGCATCTATTCGGTTTCAAGCAGCAATTCTCGGAGGTCGCAAAGCTACGGGATGCAAAGCCAAGTCGTTCAAGACCATCCCATCTGGTCGTGTCAACCAGACGATGATGATCCATTGATTCAAGTCGACAAGGGCAAGTCCAAGATGCTTCGCTTTGCTATAGAAAACAGCAGTAAGAAGGACCGATGATATCGCAGCTACCGCTGGCCGCGTTCAATTACTCAATCAATGACTTTTTAATAATTATGACTACCTGATGAACGGAGGCTAGACTCCGTCTTATAGTGCGTAGCTTTGCTGATCGAGCGAAGGCTCGCGGTTGCGTGACAATACTGGCGTCGCCACGTCAGACTGGTATTGCGGCACATAACGTGGCACGTACTGTGGCTGGTGCTCGTTGCCAGCGTCAGCCACGGCCACCTCAAAATTAGGACCATTGACTGATGCCGCAGCCAGTGCCTTTGCTTCCAATCGCTTCTGTTTGCGCTTGTTGAGGCTATACGCAATAATACTGTTCGGTGGAGCTGAAGACGTCGGCGTGTACGAACGTGCAAGCTCTGCTTCACCAGAAAGTGCGCCTCGTCGTCTACGCTGGCGAGAACGCATCGCCTCAGGTTCAACCGGTAGTACGGGTATCGATAAATGCTCGGGCATTGGCTCAGGCATGGGCTCACCAAGACTACACGTGGATGTAAAAGACGAATTGTGACTGGAGCTGGCTGAGCCTTTGGTAAGTGATACCACGAGTTTATTGAGATCAAAAGCAAAAGCTGGCTGGAAAGTGTGTGGATCCTTAGAAGGCGTAACACTATCAAGTGCAGCATTAAGATCACGATGCTTGACTACGGCTGGTACACGACGCATGGTAGTCGTACCCCACGCAGCAGCTACAGCTTCACTTTCAAAGCCATTCTTCGTGTTGATAAATGTCGACATTTCGGGTACATTCGGAGAGATTGGGACATTGTAGTAATTACCACTACGTGCACTGCGCATGACGGATGTATAACGTGACTCGACCATCATCTTGAGACTGTAAAGTTGCTTCTGCCTCTTCTTCTTCTTCTTGTTATTGCTTGATATTGTCTCTCCTGTCTTCTTTAATTAATGCTAGTGAGCAAACGCCTAAGAAAGAAATTGGAATATACAGAAAACTTCTTGACAGTTTTACGACCTTGAGAAATCGTCTGTTACAAGAATAAAAAGTAAAGGTATTTTTTACGAACGGCCGCGTCTGTCGTAGCACCAAGACGTATAATAATAATCTAATAATAATATAGTGTGTACTACTAATGTAGTTACTCTCTGTCTGTGTCCTTGTTGTCAAGAGTTCAAGTGTGTGTGAGTCGCTTGAACGATAGCCACGAGCCTGGTCGTTCCCTCGACTGCTCTTCAAGGGGTAGGGGTTTTAATCCTATCGTTACTTTTTGGACAATTTAGCCAGGACAGTATTTCGTAGCTCGAAACTCGTTTTTTCTTGTCTTTTTTGGCATCCATTTTTATTAAATCATATGGTAATCGCTACTAATTAATATTTCTTATCATGATCTAAATGAGAACACTGTATGGACGTATACTGATCTGATAGAAATGTAACAAGAGACAAGAAAAAAACTTACTATTCATCCGTACCACCACCAGCTTTAAAGGTCCATTTTGCACGATACCAATGATAAGATATGATAAAGTCAAAAGATTTACATCGATTTATACCCGTAAAAAGTTTGAATCCATCCTGCCCACACATGTGGTTTTACTCTAGCATACTAGGTCGTCAGAATGCAAGGTCACTAATACCCTGTAAGCTAGGCTCTATGTCAGATGTACGGTTTCCACTGGGAAAAGCGCCACTAAAAAGTCAAGTCCGTCACGGTAGTCGCGCATTCAACTCTACTGAAGTTCGGAGCTGCTTTGTCGTATGGTTGCTCCGTCTTGTCCAATGTCCAGACGTATGTCGTAACATACGTACATACGTATGTTACATACATTCATACAATTGTATGCAAGTAGCTATTTGTTGGGACAGAGTGCAAAAGGACGTTGTGGGGCAAGTGACATTTTGCGCGTCTCTGCTTTAATTTTGGATTCAAGCGGGTTTATCGAAAGGCACACATGACGGTGACAAGAGATGATCGCACTGTACAAGCGCCAAGCAAGTACTTGAATAATAAGGATAGCGCCAGAGGGTATAGGAACGAGTATAAATCTTCCATGCTGCTCCCTGGCAGAGGTTTGCGTTATAAACGACAACAACTTAAACAGAAGCCAAGATTACATGGGTGCTATTCAAGCAGCCTGATACTCGGATACTTTAACACGTGTATGATATGAATGATCATAAAAATAAGGATCTCGTGCGTCACCAAGAGCTCTTTGACTTGCAGCTGCTGTCACACCTGTCCGAGGATAAGAAGACGACAATGACGACGACGACGTGATTGCCGAGTTAACTGAATTAACTCAACCCTCGTGTATGAAACGACGCTAGAACTGTAGACGCAAAACCGATGGGGCCACAAAAGACATTTCTGTAGCTCTGTAGATATAATCAATACGCCGAGTGACGGTGGCAAACGATATCGTCGTATTAATGGCTTATCCATTAGAATAAAGGAACACAGTAGAGCAATCACTTCAATTCGTTTGCTGTCACTTTCGACCGAACATGTTGGGCATGTATAATTTAGTACTATTTTTACTATGTACTTGTTGCGGCATACCGGTCCCTGATTTGCCGTCTGTCATTATAACGAGGTTCTTGGTTTCCCGCAGTCGAATGACTGCATGAAGTAGACACCAATCAAGTTTCTCGAGCAACACTATGGTTGACGTGACCGAGCGGTCTCAAGCCGATAATAAGCACCGTATTAAGAAGCTGACTGCTGAAAAGATAGAGAAGTATCATAATGAAATTATCAAGCACAATGGGCAGCAAGTGGACCTCACGGGACGTGGTATTGAGACCATTGTGAGCTTAGAAGGGCTGCAGAATGCCACGAAATTGGATTTGAGTTGCAATAAGCTCACAAAGCTGTCACAGCTCAAGTCTGTGACGCGTGTAACGATGTTAAAGCTTACAAACAACAAACTGACTGGTGATGGCTTGGCGGAGATCCAGCATCTCAAGAAGCTTGTGATTTTAAATGTTGCCGAGAACAACGTAACGCGCATCCCGTTTGAGGTTTTACGTAACATGCGTACACTCAAGGCACTGGTGCTCAACAAAAACTCGATATCTTCGCTAGATTGGATGCCAAAGCTACCGGTGATGTAGCATATACGATGATGGATGAGAGAGGCCGTAGGTACTGGACTGACTTGTATGGTGGTCTTTTCGTTCGACAGGAGCTGAATTCGCTTATTGTGAGTAACAATCGCATCACGCAGATACCAAAACGAGTGCTCGACGGATTTCCAAAGCTGACAAAGATCTCCATGTACGTGGATTGGATGCTGTGTGAGTTCTGGAGACGTGGAGATGGTGATCTTACATTTTGTCTCATGATTGGTATCGATTGATGTAGCTCTCACAACTTGCTGGAGGAAATCCCACACTTTAGTCAATTGTCAGAAATCACGGAGCTCCGACTTTCACACAACCGTATTTCAAAAATTCCAACACATTTGGCACAGTTGAGTGAGTAGAGCGTTTTTTTGGCATGAGTTTGTTTGCATGGCTAATCGTAGTGGTGGTGTATGCAGAGAATCTGAAGGTGCTCGAGCTAAGCCACAACCAAATTGATGAGTGGTCGGGCTTGGAAGCATTGAGCTGTCTTGAAAACTTGCGTCAGCTGAATTTGATCGGCAATCCAGTCGTGGGAAAGAAGCTGAATGTCACAACTAAGGATGTACAGGAAAGTGGCGACCGTAGCAACGAGGATATTGACAATGAGGATGGAGGTAATGGAAGTAGCAACGATAGTGAAAGCGATGTCGATAGCAGCAGCAAGAAGAAGAAGAAGGGAAACAAGTCCAAGACCAAGACAGCTAGGCTTTCCGACGAAGAAAAGAAAAAGATTAAGGAAGACAAGCGTCTCGACGCCAAGCACAAGCAGTATAACTTCAAGATGAAGAGGCTGTTTCCAAACCTGGTCGTCCGCGATGCTACGCGTGTGCTGGATAAACGTGTGCACGGGTACATTGCACCGTCAAATGAGGAGAAGAAGAAACGAAAACTCAAGAAGCCAGAGTCTTTCGATAAAAAGATGAAAGAAACATCTACAGGAAAGCGAAAACGCGATAATGATCCCATAGAGTCAAAGGATGAAATCGAGATTTTTCGTCCAACAGATCGCATCGTTACCAAGAATGATGCCGAGAAGCCAAGCAAGAAGGACAAGAAGGCTGACAAGAAACACGCGAGCGGCAAGCTGGTTGGCAATGAGCCATCCAAGGAGGTCATTGCAGCACTTGAACCTAGTCTACCATCAAATGACTACGAAGAGCATGTGAAAGCCAATGATTCTGCACCGATGGATATTGTTGCGCCTAGTGGATCAGTCTCAATGTGTGATGCGAGGACAAAGAAGAAGAAGGAGAAGGTCAGTGAAAAGAAGCAGCAGGAGAAGCAAGACAAGATAAAAGATCAACGACAGTTCAAGGCAATTGCCAGTGGTGTGATGGCTGTCAAGAAGTTTAAAAACGCCAAGAAAAGTAAAAGTACGCAGGAAAAGCCCATGGATCTAATGCAGATCAACTTTACGCCAAACGTTGGCTATGGTGGCTCGTCTACATGGGACTAAAAATGCAGTCTCATTGTCAACATGGGTTAATTAATGTGCAGCACACGAAATAGATGGTTGACCACGAAACAAAACACAAAACCTCTAGATCTACATAATTGCAATTATAGAGGTTGTCCGTGCACAACGAACGAGCGGTGTAGAAAGAGAGAGAAAGCTCCTATTAGAGAGACATCAGATGACGAGTAGTAACCCTGTGAGCGCGTTTATTGCAAGCCTTATGGCACCTAAGAGCAAGGGCGAGGAGGATGCTATGGTACATTACTCTATGCGTTATAATAACCTGTATCTTGTTGACTTCTTTCTTATGATGTTGTGTAGACTCATATCTCCTCAGTGGCAAATGACGCCAAGTGGCGACTAGAGGATAATATGCCAACTCATAAGAGAGCAGGATTCCATCGCAATGATCAATACACGAGTCCGGAAGGTTTTCCAGAGTTTCCTCGACAATATATTGTGACTACACACTCGAAGGGACAAAACTATGCTACGTACGCTGCCAATTCGTACGCGTCGGCTATTGCGATTCAGGAAGAAATGAAAACACGTCCGTTCTAGGCTCTTGGCATACTTTGGTATAGTATACTTTGGTATAGTATACTTTGGTATAGTATACTTTTTTGTATAGCTACATAGCAAGAAAATGCTGACAAGAGACGATTTACGACATTGTGACATTGCGCTGAGTGATGACGGAGAAAACTCTCAGCCGAAACAAAATGAAGCAAATGATGAATGGCAATGCATGAAATGATGGAGAAAAGCTGCAGTAGTATCATTTATCTAAGCTTGTTTGTAGATACAATATCATGTACTGGTGGTAACAGATACTGCTGGAGCATTGTACAGATAGACCTGGATGCAACAAATAAACGTCACCCTCGACATATGAATGACGTTGCCACAGAACCACTTACTTTGGTGCCTTTGTAGGTGCGTTGGTCATCCGATTTCCAGCCTGGAATTGCAAACATGTACGTGACAATACGTATGTTTAATTGTCGTGCTTCCTCTAACCTGATCACCAGTACAGCAACAGCTTTTCTTAGATGCTACCAAACCACATGTTTCGCGTGCATCATGGTTGTACTTTGGCAAGAGCATTTTAATTCCCTGCACAGAAGCATAAGAAGACACATCGGTTAGGTTTTTCTTCTATCCCCATCTCAGCTTCAATGTCCTTTTATAGAGTTTCCTCACTTCTGGTACGAGATATAGAAACATGGCCGTTGCCGTCGTAAGATCCACTTCCAGTGCATCACCATGTCGAATATCCACAAGCTCTTGTACTCCATACTTCTGCAGATATTGCATCACACAAAGACCACTATATCAAACGATGTCGTCGACAGTATCCAACAAGGTTGAAAAAATGTCTACATCTTCACCTCAACGCGTGTAAGTGCTCGTTGTACTAGGTTTTCATTGTATTCGACGCCAATACATCTATCATATGTACACAGTGATAGAATGACTCAATTGGTCAACCACAGTAAGCGATACATTCGTCACATACCTTGCACCAATTTGATCGGCTGCATGCACTAAAATCCGCGCGTCACCACAGCCCAAATCCAACAGAACGTCATTATCTCTGAGTGCTAATAAATCCAACGCGTGGACGAGTACTCCATCACCACTGGGCGTGAAAGGCGCGAGTTTCGGGCCCAGCAGGACAGATTCATGCTGTTGCGTCACTGACGACGACGACGACATGATTCAGACAAAGGGATTTTTGTCGTTTTCTGGGTGAGTTCAGAGTCCGACTTTTATCTTATGGGTCGTTTACATGTCGAGCTTCGATTCAAATCAAATGCAAACAACGAAACGAAATAGCACGTGCAAAAAGTATCCGATGATACTATTGTTCGTTACTTTCATTCATTCGTGGTAAGCTATCGCACCTTTTTCACATGATAACGAACAATGCACAATGGAGGAGATAGTGCATTCAAGACACTTGATTCGCTCGCGTTTTGTGGCGTTTGCTCTCAATGCAACAATCAGGCACGTTTTTTTAAAATAGGCCAACAGCTTTTTTCTTGGCCTGTTTTTTCCACTTTGGAAGCTTGGCAAATTCGTCCCTGCTCATTTCCATTACAGTCTGGAATTCAGCGTCCGTGAGGTAATTCTATCAAAAACAAGTCGACAAAACCGTTAGCACGATAAACTATGAAATGAACAGTGAGTGAGTGAGAGAGTGAGTGAGTGACACTTACCTCCTTTGAAGTAATATCGATGCCTTCAACACCAGCCTTCAGCTGCTCGTAAGAAAAAGTCTCACCAGCACGACCCGTGGCCTTTTCAACAGTGGAAATAGAAGCAGCCCGCGAGGATGTCGGCTCAGCTTTTGATGATATTGGAGAGGCCTTAGACGAAACGGGCGCAGCCTTCAAAACAGGAGTCTCCGTAGGCAGAACCGGGATAACCCTTGCTGCCATCGGTGCAGGTGCCGGGGTCTCCTTGTCGCGGATGTACTCGTTAGTAATCGTACCAGGAAGGTCTTTCGGGGCAATCATTTCCTTTTCGGCCTTCAACTTCTTGAGACGGGCTTCATAAGGATCCAAAAACTCGTTCTTGGTGAAAAACTCGTTATCCCAGGCCAAGAAGTTGCTCGTGAACATGAGCGGCTCGCTGTTACAGTGGACCGCCACGATGGGTGTACCCTTGCCACGACCATCGCTCTGGACAAGATCTAAATATTGCTCAGCGAATGACATAGCTTCACGCCTCTCAGACTCATTAGCACCGGCACCAATCCACACATACAGAGTTGTAAACGTATCCAGAATAAACACGTCATCCGTATTGAGATCATCCTGGGCAAAGTTAACAATCTCACGAGCATCAAAGTACCCATACGAGTTTGAGCAATGGAACAGACGAGGATCGTGGGGTGCCTCAAACGACGACTTCGGCGTCGCGTACTCCCCCTTTCCCCCAAGAAGCTCCCAAAACTGTTCAGCTTCGCTGCCTTCCTGGACAACCTCAGTCTCACGACTGTTCTTTAAAATAGAGGTAATGTTAGACGCAATCTCGCGCTCAGCAGAGCTACTTCCAGCACCCTGCCACTCGTACACCTTGTTAGGGGTCACGAGGACGAAGCAATCGCCAGAACTGAGACTCGAGGCCTTTTCATCCACCTGCGCCGCCAAAGTGTTTTTGGCGTTGGTACCCTTGACGTGGTACAGCGAAACTCCATCCATGTCGTACGAGTCTTCGTCGTCACGGTTTGTAAAAGCACTAGCCTTGCCGCCGGCGTGCACAATCATTGTTCCGTTGAACAATGCACGGAAGTGTGCCGGCTCCTTGCCTTGCGTTACGCGAACCTGAATGGGGGCACCACCAAGGCTGTCATCCAGAAAGGTTGACATTATGGCAGACGCTGCCTTCTCATCGGTCGTCGACGAGCGTCCCTGCCAAAAGTAAATCACCTGCGTAGGCTTGCCACTGGAGGGAGTAACCACATGAAGAACAATGTAGCTGTCACCATCGTAGAATTGACCATATTGCTTCTTCGGCACCTCTACCTTCTCCAACTTTTCGATACGCCATACCGTAATTTCGTGTTTGCCGTCCGCAGTAGGGTCTACGCCAATATCCTCCTCCAACTGCGAGCTCGCCTTTACCAACGCTTTCACATCCACGGGCTTATCGTCTCGCATCCTAGCAACGCCCTGACTTGGCTGGTAGCCAAACTCAAGCTTTTTGGGCTCAGTCCAAGCCTTAAACAAAACAGTAAACATCGGGGTCTCACCCTCCTCCACAACACGTGTGACAGGCGTGTGTGATGGACGGCCTTCCTTTTTCAAGTAATGCATAGCAATCATCAAGGCGTTCTTACGCTCGCTCTCAGACGCATTCTTGCCCACCCACACAAACACTTCGTTGCCAACGTCAACGATGAACACATCGTCAGCCTTCAAGATGTCCTTGGTGAGCACGCCTGACGACGGCGTTACATCAGCAACCTGCAAGTCGTCGTCAGTGGATCCACTCACACGAAGTACAATGGTGTTCTTTTTTACTGCAGTCTCATGACGCTCATTAGACCCGCCTGAGCGTGTAATCGTCGTGAAGCCGCCCAGAGCTTTCCAAAATGCCGTGTTCTCTGGCTCCTCATTAATGAACGTGATATTGGCGCGGCCACCACGTGCCTCTCTAGTCTTGCTCACAAACTCTAGTGCTTTAGCTTTCTCGAGACGATTAGCCTCTTTTCCCGTGTACAGGTAGAGCTCTAACCCAGCATCAAGTAAGTACGCATCATCCACACTTAAAGATGAGCTCTGCAGCGGCACCTGCTCGACACGTACTGTACGTTTGCCCTTAATCCGGTACAAACGGGTCACGTACTCGTCACGTTTCACTTCATTAAATCCACTAGCGACACCACCATCTAAATATTGCAGACCTGTAGCTTTAAAGTATGATAAAAACAGCGCCTGTATCCACATTGCCATCAAAAAGATCGTCAAATCCACTGAATCAATCCAATCGACAGTAGTCGATTAGATACGTACTGACTCATAACCTTGACATTCACGATGCTGTACAGGCACACCATCCAATGACTGATCAAGCTCCACAGTCTTATAAGCAGCCACACCATTTTCATCCGTTGATGAATCCTTGCCCAACCAGTAGTGAATATGCCATGTTAATCCACTAAAATACAAATAGAATCAACAATTATATATTAATTACAGTTCTACAACTAATTGGAAAATACCGAGATTATATCGATACTTCATACGATTGATTCGAGTTCTTTTTATCCAATCGTACCTTGTTGTTTCGTTCGTCTTGAGAAAGATGTAACTATCACCACTGTACAATCGATTGTGTTCAATAGAAGGTACAGGTATAGGTTGAAAGTCTTCAATACGCCAGACCTCGAGTCCCGCCTTCTTACCCGCTTCTCGAAACGTATTTTCATGTGCCATTATGATCTTTTCGCTGTATGTTGCTAAATGAGAAAGTATCTAGGAAAAAAACTGATTTGGAGTCATTAGAACGAATTGGGTGATATACGTGTAAGGTACACATTAATGTGTGGCACAGTAATGATAGAATTTTATCATGTCTCATTGTATGATTTTGTTTGTACCGGTATTGTACCTTATGTAACCGATTGCATGCAGCTCATCGCGCGTTTTTATCATAGAGTATCAATATTTATTGCACAGTAGTGCATCACTTGTTGGATTGTATGTCGATGATACAAGGTCATGGCACCAGGTTTTAAGCCCAAATGGAGCAATTGAACAGCAGTGGTAGCAAGAAAACGACTTTACAGCTACAAAAAGGCATTCAAACGATATGTACAAACAATAACAAGGTTTTCATACCTTATTCTTATAACGTTAGTACGCTCATACTTCATCACCAGAAGCCACAACACAAAACGATCAAAAGCATTCAGGACTACAGATCTACAGATTTACTCCAACACGAATATTTTCATGCTGCTTCAAGTGTTCGTGTTTTACATCCAATAGTAAAGTGTCTAGTACAAGCACACGCACGTCTTGCCTTACTGTTGTCTCTACCATGTAAGCAGCACAAAACTTTGACAACACGTTTGCAGAGTCCGAGTGTTTGGTATTTATCAAATTTGTATTTTCGACCAATACGCTTATTTATGCTTCTTTTCTACCACTTATAAAGCTATCTTCAGGTGTAATTCATCCAATAAGAAACATTTTATAGCGATACGTCTTACATACCAGCAATAATGAATCACATGATCATTCGGTATTTTGCTCTGAAGCAGTCAAGTCTTGATTCGTTGTATCGATTATTTCTCCTTCTAATTACAATGTTAACACGTCAATTGCGTCTTCAAAAGCGCACGATAGAGGTTATTATACCACGTACATCTTCAATAATGTACCCGTGCATCTTTTCAGCTCGTACTTACATTGAAGATCATGACGAGGATGACGACGTTACGAAAAGTAGTGAAGCTTTAAGGGCTGAACACGAGACACTTGACACGTATTTAATGACACTTAAGAAGTACAATCCACCCATTAAAACAGGTCTTAAAGGTCTTAATATTGTCCATGACCCACTATACAATAAAGGCACGGGCTTTCCGCACGTCGAACGTGACCGTCTCGGTATGACAGCAAATGTTTTGTAGAAACGGATTTTCGCACGCAATTGTCATCTAATGTACTGCTTCTGTTGCTATGTGTGTAATATGTGACCTATAGGTCTACGTGGTCTAGTACCGCCTCGTCGTCTTACAATGGAAGCACAGCTTACTAAACTGTACGATACTTTTTCTGAGCAAAAGGACCCATTAAGCCAAAGCCGCTTCCTTACGGATCTACACGACCGCAATGAGACGCTGTTTTTTCGTCTTTTGATCAAACACATGAAGGAAATGGGTGCGTTCGTGCACCATTTGAACTGTCTTTTTTGTAGATGTTTGCTCCACGCACTGATGCTAATGCTAACTTGAACATTTAGCTCCTATCGTGTACACCCCGACAGTTGGTTTAGTATGCCAAAAGTTTGGCCACTTGTTCCGTCGGCCGCGTGGTATGTTTTTTAGTACGCGCGACCGCAGCCAGTTTGGTGCTATGGTGCACAACTGGCCGTCTGACGACGTGGAAGTGATTGTGGTCACAGACGGCAGCCGTATCTTAGGTCTCGGTGATCTTGGTGTAAACGGCATGGGCATCCCGATTGGAAAGCTGGCGTTATACACGGCGGCTGGTGGCATTGATCCACGAAAAGTGCTTCCAGTAATGCTCGACACGGGTACCAACAACAAGACGCTTCTTGAGGACCCATACTACCTTGGTGTGCAGCAGCCGCGTCTCACTGGTGAGGCTTTCTGGTCGATGGTGGATGAGTTCATGCGTGCTGTGCGCCACCGCTGGCCCAAGGTGCTGGTGCAGTTTGAGGATTTCTCGAGTGAGCACGCTGCAGACGTACTTAACGCGTACCGCCTGAAGCAGCTCTGTTTTAATGATGACATCCAGGGTACGGGTGCCACAGTGTTGTCTGGTGCTTTGAGCGCCTGCGAACGTGTACAAATTCCGCTTAAGAACCAGCGTATTGTGGTTCTTGGTGCCGGTAGCGCAGGATTAGGTGTGGCTACCACCTTGCTTCAGGGTATGTTGCGCGAAGGCATGACGACTGAGGAGGCTCGCGAACGCTTCTACATTGTGGACCAGTATGGATTGCTGGGCGAGTCCCGCGACTCGCTAAACTCCGGCCAGCAGTTTTTCTCGCGCAAAGACATTGCTGACAAAACGGGCCTTGTCGACGTAATCAAGCAAGCAAAGCCCACGATGCTCATGGGTTTAAGTGCCGCTGCTGGTGCCTTCACACAAGAGGCTGTCGAGGAAATGGCGAAGCATGCCGAGCAGCCGATTGTGTTTCCATTGTCAAACCCCACCTCTGTGGCGGAGTGCACAGCTAAGCAGGCTTTTGAGTGGACCAAGGGCAAGTGCGTGTTTGCAAGTGGCAGTCCCTTTCCGCCTGTCATGTACAACGGCACGCAGTACAACATCAGTCAATGCAACAATATGTTCATCTTTCCGGGTGTGGGTCTTGCGGCTTCAGTAATTCAAGCGACCCGTGTCACGGATGGCATGCTCTACGCTGCTGCCAAGGCCTTGTCGCAATGTATGACGCCGGACGAGATTGCGAGTGGCCAGGTGTTCCCGTCCGTAGAAAACATCCGTGAAGTGTCGCTCAAGGTGGCCACGGCTGTCTGTAAGACTGCTCTTGAAGAAGACGTGGCAGGCCTTCGACCGACAATCCGCCGCGGCGCAACGCTTGAAGACTTCATCGCGTCTAAGATGTACTATCCAACGTACCATGCGCTGGTAGAGTAAGGACTAGGCACAAGCAAATTGCATGACAGGTATACTCAATGCTATTACCTAACTGGGATGGTCACCAGCAGTACCTCCGTCATGTAAACAGAGAAGTCGCAGTATTTCATGTACAGACATCTTATCGTATCCATCCGACGAATTGGGCATTAGGGCCCAGCTTTGCTTGTAAGAGCTACGCAAAGCTCGTTTCCACTATCTCGCCACGTTGTCGTGGAGCAGGCAATACGTCAGCAATGACACATACAAACGCTTTGGTCGACACGTTTCCTTCAAGGTGCTCGCAAGATCGAAAGCAGTACAACTTGTACCGCTTGTCTTATCATTGATTGCATAAGTTTGTATTTGGTCACGACTCGCGCTGCAGCCCAAAGCGAAACGATTTGTCATGTGCATATATCTATGAGTGTAAACAAACGTAGCGCTTGTTTCACCGTTTAGTCAAAGCATGTGGCGCAAGCAGAGAAAACTTCGACACCAGCGCGTCAAAGTGCTCTCCCGCCTCTCCCTCCTCAGCATTCAGAGTCTTTGACTTGCGCAGCGCATGCAGACAACCGGTCACGGATCCGCGTGGGGCATCAATGTCAATTCCACTGGCATACTCAAATATCTGACCCGGTGCCAGTAGCGGCGTAGCACCCACAATTCCTGGTGAGAATCGCTTCAGTGCAATTCTCTGGCCCTTCTCGCTTTCAAACGTGTATTGGCGCCCAAGGATCTGGACCGAGCACTCTTCGTCTGAAAACACAACACACGTCCAAACAGTCACAAGTGAGCAGATACAAAATCATTCACCTGTAACGAAGACGATGCATCTAGCAGTATTTCAAACATCCTCACTCTGATTGGTAATAGTAATTCGGTATGTGAAGCGGTAGATGTTCGAACCCGGGTTACTGTGGCTTTGTAAGTACTTGCTGGTCGCCTCAATGCGGACGCCATCTGTCACCGTAACTGCAGCATTACCACCACCACAACAACAATAAACTTGTACGTAAGCATCTACATCAATCTCAATAATCTTCTTTACGTATCAAATTGTCTATACCAGTCGAGCACTTGGCCAGCAAAAGTTGGTCGGATAATTCACTCAAAGCTCTACATCATAATAGCAACACGAACAATGTCAACATTATGTTGCATCAACACCCAACAAGCTTATACTAAACTATATATATCATACACATCTATACATACTCAATAGCTTCATCCACCTTAGCACTTGTAACCTGCCATAGAAAATAATGAAAGCTCCTTGTCAGCATGTTTCGGCAAATCTTTCCATTCTTTTTAATCCATTTTCTACCAGCACCTTTGGATCGTTCAGTTTCATATGTTGTCTAAATGCCACTTGTATGCTTTTAGTCAGGTCTACAGTAGTAAGTGGTCTCATGCGAAATGCATGATCCCGTAGCTTTCGAAACTCCTCGAGTGACATGAGTATTGTTACACCACGTGACTCGTGCATCTTGAGTTCCTGCTGTTCATGATACGTAAGAGGCTTCACAAAACTTCCAATACCCCACTTCTCGAGCTGTAGATCACGACGAATATTATAATGTGGTATCCGCTGCAGCTCACGTGCATCGCGGAGGAGACATCGATAAATGGATCGGACTGTTGACATTGTAATTAATCAATGGTTTTAAATAGTAATATTACAATGAATAGGTATATATATATTTATGTAAGTTACATGTTGTACCACCTTGTACTACTACTTACTCCATATCGTTACTTCAGAACGCGGGGGAGGATTTGGGATAACATTAGTAGTAGTAGTATCATTATCTTATTAAGCATTAGATTGATAATAGTAAACTGCTCGTAGTGATGACCGTGACGACAAGCAAACTACAGCAGCTACCAGAAGAGGTTGTAACACATCCTCTAGTTCTTCTGAGTATAGTAGATCACTATAATCGTGTAGCACGTGATACAAGTAAACGTGTAGTAGGCGTTTTGCTCGGTTCGACTTTTCATGGCAAGTGTGATATTACCAATTCCTTCGCTGTGCCATTTGATGAGGATCTACGTAATCCAGGGATTTGGTATCTTGATCATGATTTCTTAGAAAGTATGTATCATATGTTCAAGAAAATTAATGCCAAGGAACGTATTGTGGGCTTCTACAGTTCTGGTCCGAAAATTCGCAAGGCAGACTTGGATATTGATGATCTCTTCCGTCGTTATTGTCCAAATCCAGTCTTGGTAATATGTGACGTACGACCTAATGTAGAAGGTCTCCCGACTACAGCCTATGGCTCCATTGAAGAGGTGGAAGAGGATGGCAAAGCTATTAAGCGCGTTTTTAAGCACGTCAAGTCTACGGTTGGAGCTTACGAGGCCGAAGAAGTCGGTGTGGAACATTTACTGCGTGACATTAATGACCCGTCGGTCAGTTCCTTAGCTGGACAAGTCAAGCACAAGATGACGGCACTTAACGGATTGAAGGAACGACTGGAGGAGATGAAGACATATTTGGAAAATGTTGTAGCTGGTCGTCTTCCACCCAATCACCAGATCATTTACAATATGCAGACGATCTTTAATCTGCTGCCAAATTTGAACGTGGACGAGCTCGTGCGCTCCATGTTTACAAAAACAAACGACATGCATTTTGTACGTCGACTTGAGACTGTTTCTTCTAGTGGATGGGGACGTAGTCTTAACTTTTGGATGTTTGTAACCTTTTGTATCTGTGCTTCTGTGACTGTGAATGCTGGTATAGGTAATTTACTTGTCTTCGCTGATCCGCTGTACAATTGCGCTTCACAACCTCGTAAACAATAAGATTAAGTACAAAGAGTCAGAGGAAATAGGTTTTACGGACAAGAAAGACGAGAAGAAGGAGGCTGGTGCAACCGACAAGGCGGGCAAGGATAAGACGAGCGAGAAAGCCCCATAAGCTATCGCCTAGCTATGTTTTGGCGAAATTAGTTGCGCTTTCCAATAAATGGTTTTCACTAATGTGTGGCTTCATCTTCGTTCCAGCAGGTGTCAGTCGACGTTTTGACAAGTCTCTTTTGTCCATTAGTGTTGCATTTCTGATGCAGTGACGAAGTAATGCTTAGGTTTTGAACTACTGACACAACAATGTTTGGGTCCAGGCAATGTGGCAGTGTTTGTTCGTTTACGAGGCTGCGTTTGCAAGAAGTAGAGCACGAAACAAATCAGTGCTATGGCGACCGCATTTTGTAGTACACTCTAGCCAGCGTCTTTATTGCTGCAGGATGATACGTTTTGTAGATTCGTGGCACACGAGTTTGCTCTTGCAGCGAGGCTGTTGCTTACTTGACTGGACATTCGTGTGCGTAAACGATCGATCTCAGTCGAGACGTCAGACGCCCATTGTGCATGTTGATGCATCGGTTGTCCTTCAAGCTTCTCGCTTGCCCTTGCCATGCATTTTGGGCTCCATAGTTTTTCTACAGCAAGGAGCACCACAACCTCCTCCTCCTCCGCCTCAAAATCAAAACAGCGTCAACATCAATTTGTACCATGAATATCAAGGGAATGTTTGCATTTGCCGCCTGTTCATTCGTCGGCCTGACTAATGGCGAGGCTGAAAACCATGTCGCCAGTGAGCTTCAGACTACTACTTCTACCTTTGCCACAAATTTTCAGCAAGCGTTGAACGATATGCGTCAACAAAATAGCTACAAAACCGTCTGTAGTAACCAGAATCTCACCAGCGCGTCGCAGAGGCTTGCAGTTGACAACGCCATACGAGACATAAGCAGCACGACGCTCGCGAATGGAAACAAAGCCATTTAACGTTACAAGCATGCAAACATCGAGCCCACTCAGTCGGCTGTCTTTGTGGGGTACGCAATACACAACAGAAAGTAAATGGAATGTTAGGTACGTTTTGTGCTAGAAACAATCCTCTTATCGTCCGTTTCACTGTTTCTAGGAACAAAATGCTCTATAATTGCATGCACATGCGTGTTCGCCACGCTTTTCATTGCAAAAAGATCGGTAGTATACAAATTTATATATAAAATGAAATCCTGCTTCGATTGCGAAATTTTTGTGAGGAAAGCATAACTGTGATCTGGTAAAGTGATGCATATCGCACAGGCTCAGCGCCACAAATTTAAACATCCATGATACTTATTGAAAGCAATTTATTTACAAAATCCAGGGCATGTGCGACAAACGTAAGAAGCGACGTTCCAATCGCCCACTTAACTTCAGCAACCATGCTGTTGTTTCGAAAGCACGTGTCAACATGTTGAACAAATACTTTTCGTACGAATATCGATTGATGGGTTCTCATATTTCCGTCGAGCAGCTGTGAGTAAAGTGATTTTACCATGCAGACCTGGGGCTAGTTAGGAAAGAAGAAGAAGAAGAAGAAGTTAATCGTACTGTTCTCTGCTTTCTTAGCATTAAAGTGCATCGACTGGAGCTATTCGAGTCGTCTTAACTTTGAACAGCTGTACGAATATCGCGGTAGCTGTACTCTCTATCTACAATCGAATTAACATTTATAGTTTACTCTATTCTTTGTTTTGCCGTAAATTAAATACATCATTTTCAAATAGGAAACATAAATTTCTTGCGTTATTGCTTTATTTTACATGTGCAGCTTTATCTTTTTTTCTCCAATCAATATTGTCTATACTCCTTATTCCATCCAATCAAATTGCTGAACCTGACGGCCAGTCAAACAGCGTCTCACTTCATCATCAATGGCTCGGGCCGCAAACGCCACCAAGAGCAAGAAGAAGAAGCCTGCGGACTTTAAGCGACCTAAGCGCAAGGTTGGTCGTCGTGTTACTCCTGCTGCTAATGTTACTTCTGTAGGCATTACATCACGTCGTATCAATGTCGTGGAACAATCTCTTTTGCAAGATAAAGTAGGGGCCGCTCAATTAACACATCGTCGTCAAGCACTACCGGAGCTACTACAACAAGCAGGTCATTATAATGCACACATACGACAGCGTGCATTGCAAGGTCTAAAGGAACTTGCAACTCAACTTACAGCAGTCAATTTACGGGCCAATGCATCCGTGCTGTTAGAGCGCTTTTTGCCCACTCTATTGGACGAGGAAGGTGTGGTGCGTGACGCCGCGGTGCAAGCATGGAAGTCCATGTTACCAGTCCTTCGCAGTATCTTGGCTCCTTTTGCAACACTTGTAGCTACTTATTTTTGCAGTGGGTTGACCCATTTGCAAGTGGGTGTACGACAGGACGCACTGAAAGCTATTAGCGAACTGGTGGACGAAGCACCGGAATTGCTCAAAAAAGACGCAGGACCTGAAGCACTAGCTAGGCTATTGGAGAACTTTCGAGACTTGATTTGTGCCGCGCAGACTCAAGGCATTAGAATGATGAATACGTACGACTTGTTGGTCGATTTAGAGACAAGCGGTAAGAAGGGGATGGAAGGACGCACGAAAAGCAATCAGAAGGATAAGCAGAAATCGAACAAGAAACTAAAGATGCCGTCAGGAGCATTGACGCTGAGGTTTGCGGCACTTAAGGTACTGCATAAGCTGCTACTATCAGTGAGTACAGGACAGAGTGATGGCAACGTTAGGGTGGCTGGAACTGCATGGTCAGCTGATGTGGCGACTACCAAGACACTACTGCTGTATCCGACTCCGCAGATTGTTGAGACGGGTATGTTTGCGGCTGCTTCTGTGACGACTAGCGCTGGAGTGAAGGTCAGTGCTTCATGGCAGGAAAAGGTGCGAGCATTGTTGCCAGCACTCCGGGAGTTGTGGCTGGAGTGTGTGGAAGGAAGCATCGACATGTTGTCGGACGTGCATGTTGAGCACATGAAGTACATTGCGGAGTGCACGACTGCTGTGGTTGGTGCTAACAGGGACATCCTAAATATTGATGCAAATGAGGCTAGAAGCAATGAGTTTTTTCCAGGCAGCGCTAAAGCTGCGTGAAGAGCTTTTGGCGCCAGAGAGTTTCCCGATGATGCCAGGTACGAGTGCGGCTCTTGCTGCTGCTTCTGATGGTGCAGGGATTCTTTCGAGATGGCATGGTATGAATGCCTCACTTGCTAAATTATCGTGTGAATACATTCGAATTCCTGCCTTAATGCGTAGCTCCGGCAAGGACATAACGCGGAGTAAGGCACTCGAACAACGGGTTTGCACGTACGTCGTTACAACTCTTGCAAAGTACACGAAAACGCCTGAACTTCGCGCCGTTGCCAGTATGCAAAACGTGCTACAGCCCCTCCTGGAAGTTGTGTCACTTATCTTGGCTTCAGCTTCACAGCGTATTAATAATTCGTCAACGTCCGAGAAAGACATGGCCGATGAATGTACTCGCTTGCTGAACGCGGTGACTCAGTTCTATGTGCTTTGCACACCGAAATCGGTAAGCTTCCGCAGCTGCACAGCTTTTGTCGTTGAGCAGCTAGAGATTGCGTTGCGTGGACGACAACCGCAAAATAAAAGGCTAGCATGGCCAATGGTTATGCAGTGGGTAGTGTGTCTTGCTAAACTTTTAGGCCAACTCGACCATCAGCACATGGAGCTTGGCAGACGCAGCTTGCTTGCATTAATCTCTGTCCTCAAGCAGCTTCCTGACGAATTCACAAGCGGTGGTCAAATGGATGACGTGTTGACAAATCTGTCGGAATTCTTTGACCTGGCAGCAGTGCCTTCTGCTTCGTTGTCAGAAGACGAGCAACAGAAACTGCTGGCAAGGACGCGCTTCGACGCTTTGGATGCAGCAGACCAGCTAGCTTTCGTGTCCGTCGTATACCACCTACCCCGGTATCCCGTGTCTCTAGTGCGTGCGCTTGCGAGTTGTTGCAAGAGCCCGCGCATTCACAGCGAGGCTAAAAGTTTCCTTGTAGACATTTTGTTCCAACGACGGGAGGTTTTGGATCTTGCTCACCTCGTGAGTTTTCTCGTCAGTACAGCGTTGGCACCAGTAAAGGCAAATGTTTACCAGCAACGACAGCAGCTACAACTAGTTGACCATGTTTGCCGTACTTTTATTGCAATGAACTTAGGGAATTTGCTTTCAAAAATTTTGGCACCGACCTTGGCGAAGGCTCAAGCTGGTGAAGAATTGAACTTGATGGAGGTGCACGCGTTGATGTTACTGTATAGCACATGCGTGTCCTCAGCTACAGCCCGTAGCGGTGAGACTATTCAGCAGCGCTCAGATATTCCTGCAGAGATGGCGCGAGAGCTGGTGGGCTTATGTGTGATGGTTTTGGCAAAGTATATTGTGTCGTCAGCATCAGAGCAGTTGACAACGCCGGAGGAAATCGACTCCCGCGAACAGGAGCGACTACTTGTGGAGACCTGTGTGTCGACTCTTATTCTTGGAGAGACCAACATCTTTGCTAGCTTTTTGGATGAGCTTTTGGTAGCGCAACAACAAGTGTCAGTGTTGATTCGCCGCTTGCTCGTGCTTCAAGCACTTGTGCGGTCCTCAAGTTTGGCAGGAGTATTCCGGCGTCACCGGAATCACATAGAGTATTTGCTGCAATTAGTGGAGCAGCAAAACGCTGACGAGGACGATATCAAACAGCTCGTCCTGCTATTACGAGGAGACATTAAGCTTCAGGCAGTAGGACAGCTCGCTGACGATAGTGTTAAGTAGATTACAAGCAGATTCCAGGTAGATTACATGACGATGTAATATCATTTTAGCTTCGTCTTGTTTACCGCTGGCTTTTCCATTAACAAGAAGAACAGGTGTTGGTACTAAGTGGCATGGCATCGACTTGTGGTTGTTTGTGGTTAATAGGCATGGGAGTGATCACCACCTTTTGCAGTGATGCTTTAGCTAGACACTCAATGACAGTGTCAGACGCCGATACAGAGGTACGGACAAACCAATGCAGTCAGCATCAATATTGAATCGATATTCTTATGTAAACCCTTGCAGATGTGCCCATGGGACATCAAAATGTGCGACGACGACACGTGGGTGTATCGCGTCGCAGAGCGCAATTGTGAGTTCGACGACTGTATGGTGAAATTTGAGACCCCAAACTCGTCTAACTCATTCTTAACACCTCGCTGAAACCTGCTTTGAAAGTGGCATCAAAGGTGCTAGGCATGGACAATGAATGCATTTTCAATCAAAAATACATCTTGCTAATCAACACTAACTGCGTTGGCCAGTAGATGTTGCATATGCCGAGTATGTCTGAACTATATGATCAAGCGTCAATCCCAATGCTTCATCTAGACAAGTGACTAGTTGTCGCAAATGTATCACTATGTTTTTGTTTGTCCAAGTCGTCCTGTTTACGTGGCAACAATTCACAATGGTAGCAAGAGTGGTGAATTGTTTCAGCGCTCTTGGTGAGATCAAGCAGTACCTTACTTGTGCTAGCACCAAGTGCAAATGCATGCACGGATCTGCATTCGTACGACGTACAGATTGCGCAGGAAGGCAGAGGATCTACAGATCTGACCATGTCATGAAAGCAAAGCAAGCGCTCAATGCATTTGAAAAAAAGTTCGAGTGGTGGAAGGATGCAAACAAAAGGGTTGAAATTCCATTACAGGTAGCATTCTATGACCACTATCGACTAGTGACCTCAGCTCAGCTCAACGCCGAAGCAAGCGACTCAACTCACGCAGCAAAGCTGGCGGCCATGTAAAGCGCCCACGATCGAGATAGACCGTCGTCCATCTTGGTTTTCTGGAGAACGCCCAATGCGCGCTGCTTGTCCACCATGGCAAAGTTGGTATACAGAAGCGAAAGCCACGCGTTGCCCGTGTCCTCACGCTTGACGATGGCCTCTTTGCCCAGCACCTGCTCCCACTCCTCCTTCACGAATTGCTTTGTGCGCACAAACTCAGTCACAGCCGACACGGGAATCATCTGGATGCCGTGGATGCAGTACTTTTCGGCGCTGAACCATGTCGCATAGTCCACTTTGTTGTCGAAGAAGATACCGGTGACCTTGTTGGGACGAAAGTTGACCGGATGGATTTGGTTTGCGTCCTCGATAAGGAAGTACGTCTTGATGGCGTGCGCATTGACGCGCGTCATGAGCTTGCCAACGGTCTCCATGCCCGCGTTGTTTGTGGCCTTGCCATACATATACATGCCAAAAGCGAAGTTGACGTCCTCTGACGTGCTTTCCTGGTCCTTGCCATCAGCAAACGGAGTGACACCGTGCGAGTACGAGTGGCCTCGGAACCAGTCGAACGAGCGAAATCGTGCAAAAAACTTGTCTTCTGGGTCAAAGTTGGCGACGTCGCGCACCAGCAGGTTGACCATGGTGTTAAGTTTGCTGAGATCGCTCCAGTTGGGGTCCAGGCGGTTGATGATGGCCGCCGTGTGCACCCAGTAGCCGTAGTGGAAGTGGTGGTCGTTGTACATGGTGTTGCCAAAGTCCGAATTCATGTCCTTCGTCTTGAAACCCTGCGAGCTCACGATGCCACCGTAGATCTGATCGTATTGAAGCTTGTGAATCCAACTATTGGTTACGAACGGTGCCATCACACGCCGAAGCTTATCCAGACACGTGTTCAGCAGATTCTTGTCATCTCCCACGATCGCCGCGTCGTTCGCAATCAGACACAACGACGCATACTTTTGCGCAGCTTTTCCGTTGAAGTAATAGCTGCCATCGAGCGGGATGGACCAGGCGCTGTTGATGTCTTCACGCAGGTGCTCGGCGATACGCTGCTGCTGAGCCACGTTCGATGCAATTTTGCGAGACGGATAAAAGTCTTCAGGTACCTGCTGCGTCTCCTTGATCTCCCATACTGGATCGGCTGATCCGGCCGGCGTCGTGAAAGCCTGATAGGCGCCCCGGGTTGTCGAAAAGGCCACCATGCCGTCCACTTCTCGGACTCCGGTGCTCTTGTCTATGGTCTCGGCATGGTGCTTCATTGCAAAGTGCAACAGACCACTGGAACAATCTCCCATCGTTTTCCACTTGAACGCATAGGAGCTGTCGTCACAAATGTCAACGTTCGCTGCTTGTACAATGCATGATTTGTGCTGGTCGAGCGTGCTCAACCAAGAATCTTCGAGCACGAGAGCAACGCGCAATATGCCGTCGAACACACCCGTACTCTTGAGAGCGAATGTGCCGTCCGCAGTTAGAGTAATCTCCTTTTCACTACGACCGTCGCTCGATAGTGCGTAGACTACCCACTTCTGGCCGGAGTTATAGACGATCTGGAACTTGGAACCACGCACTTGACCACCAAGCGGATGGCCATTGATGCTAGAGATTGCCGCACTGGACACTAGTCGCGGAGTGAGACCCGAGTACTTCATTGAGGCGTACACCATGCCAGAAACAAGGTCCGACACCATGCTTCCACCGGAGGAGCTGACAGTAAACTTTACGGTCACTCCTTGATCAGCCCAGTCGACAACTTGGAAGTGAGGCTTCTGCCATACGGTCTCCTCAGCCGAAAACAAAAACTCTTGAACCATGCCGTGTGCATAGTACTTGACGGCACCATTGTTGCCGGAGCTGCCACCACTGAAGCGGTTACGATACGGGTAACTCGCGGACATACCAAAAGGTGCCTTGTCAGCGACCATCTGTAGCGAGTATGGATTAGACCAAATGGGTTGAATGACCACATTCGAGTCGTGTGCGATGATGTTGCCCCACCAGTTGTTCGTCGGTATGGCACGCTTCTTGATCACTGATGGATCGAGGTACTTGGGCGGACACAGTCCCATCATCGCTTCAGTGTGTTCGAGGAGATATCTGGGCGGTTCAAGAGCTTGAAATCCAGAGGAGATGCTGCCACCAAAATTTGGAGCTGATTGATCTGCTGACACCGAAGAGTTTGCACCGCCAATATCACTAGTGTCAGGGGCGGCGTCGTTGTCCACGGGCACAAGTGTTGGTGTTACGACGGGTGAGATATCCGGGGAGCTGGAAGTTTCATTCTTGTCAAAGCCTTGACCGGACACTTGAGCATGATGCAGGTGCTGGATAATCGCACCGATGCCAATAAAAGTTGTCGCAAAGATCTTCACCATGTTCGTCAAGTGATTGTCAGGTGCTGGTGTTGTTGGCTGTGGATAAGGTGTCAAAATGACAAGTGACCTTCATTAGCTTGGTGCGGCGTTTGTCGTGACCGAGTCGGGTATCAAAGCTGACTAGCAATTGTAGGCCGAAGTGCGTCAGTGGTCGACGATTCCAAAGGCATTCTCGCCTCGAACGATTTTGTAGCATGATAAGGCATTGTACCGACAGACTGACATGTCACGCAGATCTGATTTCCGTAAAGCGGCTCAGACTAAACCAGATCGGCATTCAAGGTAAACGACAAAAGGTCACTCTGATTATGTTAGCACACAGTTTGTATGCGAACAGAGCCGTGAAGCCTAGCTTGTGCAGACAAGGGTAAAGAAATTGCGTCCTTGACGTCGGAAACCCGTCAATGCTTGTCAACCAGTTTATACTGTATAACAAGTCTGCTTCAGCATTAATCGTACTAGGATGACTATAACGCGTCACTTGTCGATCATCACATATTGCAATCCGCATAACAATTAGCTGCACAAGTTTCAACCGATTCGGTTGACTAGAGAATCACTTAAGATGCAGAGTGAGAATCTCTATTAATTATGTGAGCATCTTCGAATGCGGGAAGAAGTGGCATGGCAGTAAAAGGGTGTAAACAGAGTTCGAATGCAGCGTGCAGGTCATGCTTTCTTCCGTGCTTGCGTGCATTAATTTAAGAAGGATTGAAGACAAGCGACGCAGACCTTAAAGCGAATTACGTTTTTTTGATTACCATGGCATGACCTTCGGCTGCGTGAACCTGCGAGGGACAGACGCTCGCTGGTATCGAGCGTGAATATCTTTACCAAGTAACTTAATCTATAGCTTTCTAAAGTGCCAGCTTGTAAGCTTTGTCTTTCCTAATGAATGAAGCTGAGCAATTTAAGAAACTCCCTGCAACTACGACGCCAGCCCAACGTTCTATGGTAAGCTCGGGTAGAAGGGTCCTTTTTCCAAGACGGCCTCAGGAGGTTTCAAGTCTTTTAGTACGTTGCAGTAGCAGACAACGACTGATAACTACGTCCCACCATCAGCTACAATAATGACTGAGCCGCAAAATTCTGCTTCCAAATGATAGGCTAGAGAGGAGTTCTTGAGTGGTGAGCTCGAACGCCGCTCTTGTAGATAAGTTAGAGACGTCTTTAGGCTGATATTGCTACATTTGTAGGTAGAGTAAAGTCGGGTGACAATTGTAGGACAATAGGCAAACTTTATTCGAGTAGCAGTTCATCAAAGGCGTGCAATCTGCCCGAGCGGAAGGCTTTAGTGAGCTGCCTTCACATGGCATGGCATCAAGGTCGGCGTCAATGACAACACTATCGTGGTCGCGTGTCACAACGTGAAAAGTCAACATAACCTTGTTCATCTTTGATTCCCAGATGACGGTGACAATGCAGACAAGGCATTGCAGGAAGTGGAGTTGAAGGATGTTGCGATCTGGGACGAGTCGTCGGGTTTGGTCACTGTGATTTCGCGCCAAACTTAAACTCTACCAAGGTAGCTTCACTCTAGATAAGAGGGCATACAACAACTCGGCGTCACTAGTTAGCAATAAGTATGCTTGAGTTTGAATGAACCATATCGAATGGCGAATCGCCTTTCGATACTGTAAAAACAGAGATAGCGAGCGATTCGAGCTCTGATAATTTACTCGGTTTTTCTGTGTTTTTGCATCTAAAACACTGAATCAAAACTCCAAAGTGCACGAAAATTGGATACTAGTGCCCGATTGCATCATTTGATAAAACTCCGGACAATTACGGCGTTGCCACTTTGTATTAATGTACAAATATACTGCACCTTACAGATTCACTGAAAATCTGAGTCAGCTTTACGGAAAACCAGATTGTCAAGCACGGTCAATGCGGACTTCAACCCCATTTTGCTCAGCCGCATGTCTGCTTGAGAAAAGCGACCAAGTTTGAAGTACGTACCTTGACACACGATCGCTATGTCTTCCTCGACTGAGCATTCCATATTGACCAAGCGACGAAGAAAAAACGCCGCACCAAGCTAATGAAGGTCACTTGTCATTTTGACACCTTATCCACAGCCAACAACACCAGCACCTGACAATCACTTGACGAACATGGTGAAGATCTTTGCGACAACTTTTATTGGCATCGGTGCGATTATCCAGCACCTGCATCATGCTCAAGTGTCCGGTCAAGGCTTTGACAAGAATGAAACTTCCAGCTCCCCGGATATCTCACCCGTCGTAACACCAACACTTGTGCCCGTGGACAACGACGCCGCCCCTGACACTAGTGATATTGGCGGTGCAAACTCTTCGGTGTCAGCAGATCAATCAGCTCCAAATTTTGGTGGCAGCATCTCCTCTGGATTTCAAGCTCTTGAACCGCCCAGATATCTCCTCGAACACACTGAAGCGATGATGGGACTGTGTCCGCCCAAGTACCTCGATCCATCAGTGATCAAGAAGCGTGCCATACCGACGAACAACTGGTGGGGCAACATCATCGCACACGACTCGAATGTGGTCATTCAACCCATTTGGTCTAATCCATACTCGCTACAGATGGTCGCTGACAAGGCACCTTTTGGTATGTCCGCGAGTTACCCGTATCGTAACCGCTTCAGTGGTGGCAGCTCCGGCAACAATGGTGCCGTCAAGTACTATGCACACGGCATGGTTCAAGAGTTTTTGTTTTCGGCTGAGGAGACCGTATGGCAGAAGCCTCACTTCCAAGTTGTCGACTGGGCTGATCAAGGAGTGACCGTAAAGTTTACTGTCAGCTCCTCCGGTGGAAGCATGGTGTCGGACCTTGTTTCTGGCATGGTGTACGCCTCAATGAAGTACTCGGGTCTCACTCCGCGACTAGTGTCCAGTGCGGCAATCTCTAGCATCAATGGCCATCCGCTTGGTGGTCAAGTGCGTGGTTCCAAGTTCCAGATCGTCTATAACTCCGGCCAGAAGTGGGTAGTCTACGCACTATCGAGCGACGGTCGTAGTGAAAAGGAGATTACTCTAACTGCGGACGGCACATTCGCTCTCAAGAGTACGGGTGTGTTCGACGGCATATTGCGCGTTGCTCTCGTGCTCGAAGATTCTTGGTTGAGCACGCTCGACCAGCACAAATCATGCATTGTACAAGCAGCGAACGTTGACATTTGTGACGACAGCTCCTATGCGTTCAAGTGGAAAACGATGGGAGATTGTTCCAGTGGTCTGTTGCACTTTGCAATGAAGCACCATGCCGAGACCATAGACAAGAGCACCGGAGTCCGAGAAGTGGACGGCATGGTGGCCTTTTCGACAACCCGGGGCGCCTATCAGGCTTTCACGACGCCGGCCGGATCAGCCGATCCAGTATGGGAGATCAAGGAGACGCAGCAGGTACCTGAAGACTTTTATCCGTCTCGCAAAATTGCATCGAACGTGGCTCAGCAGCAGCGTATCGCCGAGCACCTGCGTGAAGACATCAACAGCGCCTGGTCCATCCCGCTCGATGGCAGCTATTACTTCAACGGAAAAGCTGCGCAAAAGTATGCGTCGTTGTGTCTGATTGCGAACGACGCGGCGATCGTGGGAGATGACAAGAATCTGCTGAACACGTGTCTGGATAAGCTTCGGCGTGTGATGGCACCGTTCGTAACCAATAGTTGGATTCACAAGCTTCAATACGATCAGATCTACGGTGGCATCGTGAGCTCGCAGGGTTTCAAGACGAAGGACATGAATTCGGACTTTGGCAACACCATGTACAACGACCACCACTTCCACTACGGCTACTGGGTGCACACGGCGGCCATCATCAACCGCCTGGACCCCAACTGGAGCGATCTCAGCAAACTTAACACCATGGTCAACCTGCTGGTGCGCGACGTCGCCAACTTTGACCCAGAAGACAAGTTTTTTGCACGATTTCGCTCGTTCGACTGGTTCCGAGGCCACTCGTACTCGCACGGTGTCACTCCGTTTGCTGATGGCAAGGACCAGGAAAGCACGTCAGAGGACGTCAACTTCGCTTTTGGCATGTATATGTATGGCAAGGCCACAAACAACGCGGGCATGGAGACCGTTGGCAAGCTCATGACGCGCGTCAATGCGCACGCCATCAAGACGTACTTCCTTATCGAGGACGCAAACCAAATCCATCCGGTCAACTTTCGTCCCAACAAGGTCACCGGTATCTTCTTCGACAACAAAGTGGACTATGCGACATGGTTCAGCGCCGAAAAGTACTGCATCCACGGCATCCAGATGATTCCCGTGTCGGCTGTGACTGAGTTTGTGCGCACAAAGCAATTCGTGAAGGAGGAGTGGGAGCAGGTGCTGGGCAAAGAGGCCATCGTCAAGCGTGAGGACATGGGCAACGCGTGGCTTTCGCTTCTGTATACCAACTTTGCCATGGTGGACAAGCAGCGCGCATTGGGCGTTCTCCAGAAAACCAAGATGGACGACGGTCTATCTCGATCGTGGGCGCTTTACATGGCCGCCAGCTTTGCTGAGTGAGTTGAGTCGCTTGCTTCGGCGTTGAGCTGAGCTGAGGTCACTAGTCGATAGTGGTCATAGAATGCTACCTGTAATGGAATTTCAACCCTTTTGTTTGCATCCTTCCACCACTCGAACTTTTTTTCAAATGCATTGAGCGCTTGCTTTGCTTTCATGACATGGTCAGATCTGTAGATCCTCTGCCTTCCTGCGCAATCTGTACGTCGTACGAATGCAGATCCGTGCATGCATTTGCACTTGGTGCTAGCACAAGTAAGGTACTGCTTGATCTCACCAAGAGCGCTGAAACAATTCACCACTCTTGCTACCATTGTGAATTGTTGCCAAAACAATTCCTGATACCTTACAAACAGTGCCAGCTTGGTCTTCACTTGAACCAATGCGCGTGATATCGTACTTATTTGAGGACAAGGGTTTTCAATGCTCCATAGAACAATGTCCAAGCATCGTGTGGTACAATTGACGCAGGAGGCGCTAAAGGTTCAATGCAAAGTGGACGACTTTGAAGAATGGGGATCTCCAGCGCTTGATATGGAGCAATATCAACGTAAGGAATACATACAACGTGCAACGTCATTCTCCCAACACGGTTCCATCTTTTGGGCATTGGTGGATGACAATGGGGATACGGACGACTCGAATCTAGTAGCAAGTCAGACAGTGTTGTATTGTCATTGTGAAAGCCACTGCTTCGACTGCATTGTACGTCTTCGTTCTGGGAAGATCGAACGAGGTTATTCCCATCACATTGGGTCAGTATTTACTCTGCCAGAATACCGCAAACGAGGACTCGCTCAATTTTTCTTGAAAGAAGTGGCCAAGCAGTTGGGAAAACTGTCACGAGCACTTGTTTCTGTGTTGTACTCGGATATTGGACCGACTTACTACGACAAACTGGGATGGAAGGTGCATCCCTCGAAGATGGCTACGCTGGATGTTGCTAACCCGCGCAATATCAACGTCGAAAGTAGTTGTGGTGCAAAACTGGTGGCACTGAGTTTCGATGAAAAGCTCGACGAGATTCTTCAGGCTGATAACGCGAGGCTGGAGAGGGAGCTGACAAGTGAAAAGTTTCAAAAGCAAGAGGCATTTGTGGTGCTGCCAACTCGTGATTCGATCGAGTGGCAGTTCTGCATTGGTGAGCATTTCGCTCGAGTTCGAGGGTACGAAGAGCTTCCATCTCAGTGTGGCGTAAAGATCAAAAACGAACATGTCTTTATGCTCTGGTGTCACAACTTTAAGGAATCGACTTTGTACGTTGTTCGTGCTCGACTCCCGAAAGAGTCCGTGGATGCTGCCAAGACCACGCGCATGCTGCTGAATAAAGCACTAGAGGAAGCGCGCAAGTTCCGATTGAAAAGGGTTGCAATCTGGAATCCATCTTTGAGCTTCCAACACGCCGACATACGTTGCCACTTTGAGATTGAGTTTGTTGACCGTCAAGACTCGCTATCAAGTGCCATGGTATTCCATCACGAGAGCGATGTAAATTCGGAGCCGTCGCTTCCTCACTGGCATTGCAATGAAAAATACGCATGGGTTTAGATTGCAATGTGAGACGAAGAAGGATTGTCAAAGACTTGAAGGAGAAAGAGTTGGTTGTTGCAACGTAATTAGCTAGAGCACGCAATAGTTTGATGCTCGAGTAGTAGCTGGCAAGGTAAAGCTGGTTATTGGAATGTGTAGTGCTTCTTCTTATTGCTTGTGTTAATTTAACCATTTTGCTATCGCAACATATACATTCACATGTACCTAAATACTGTCAATTAGTAGGTAATATAACACTTCGGTGAACTTAATAGCTTGCAAACTGTGTCATTTTTGGCACTTTTATCTATTTGTATCGTTTAAAGTACCCTGAAGTAACAATAGCCAATCAAATTGTAAATTTGTAAACTTCCTGTGTGGCACCAAATCTTCCTTGGTCACAACTTTCTCAACAAAATGAATGGCATGATGGTGCGTCTTTTGTGTGTGTGTGTGTAGTTCGTTACTCTTCTTCCCTCTCTCTCTCTATCTATCTCTTCACCTTTTTTGACCTCTTTGATCTCTCTCTCTTTTCATAAAGTAGCAACCACAAATTATTCTACTAAAGGAAGGCACAGACACGAGTCAGGGAAAAGCCCAACTTATCAGCAATATTAATGCGTGTCAAGCCGTGATGGAGGCTGTACGTACGACGCTTGGACCGCGTGGAATGGACAAGCTGATTCATGCGGGTGGAAAGACCACTATCTCCAATGATGGAGCTACTATCATGAACCTGCTGGACGTAGTGCATCCGGCGGCCAAGACGCTTGTCGATATCTCACTCTCACAGGACGCAGAGGTGGGCGACGGTACTACATCCGTCGTGCTGCTCGGTGCTGAGTTTATGCGTCAGGCTAAACCTTTCATCGAGGAGAATATGCACCCCCAGATGATCATTAAGAGCTTTCGTAAGGCGGGACAGCTAGCCGTCCAGAAGATTCGAGAGATTGAGATCCGCATAGCAGACTCGGACGAAATTGGTCGTCGTCAAATGCTGGAACGTGTCAGTGGCACAGCTCTTAACTCGAAACTTATCTCAAGGCACAAGCAGTTCTTCTCCCCAATGGTAAGAAAAAAAATGATGCCTAACCTTTTTGCCTTTTCGTCCGCAGACTGATCACATTTTTGTCGTGGTTGTGCAGATTGTTGATGCAGTACTGAGTCTTGATGATGGACTGGACATTAGCATGGTCGGCATCAAAAAGGTGCCAGGTGGTTCTGTCACTGATTCCTTCTTAGTGAAGGGTGTTGCATTTAAAAAGACGTTTTCATACGCTGGCTTTGAGCAACAGCCTAAGACGTTTGTAAATCCAAAGATATTGCTTTTGAACGTTGAGTTGGAGCTCAAGTCCGAGAAAGAGAACGCCGAAGTGCGTCTAGACGACCCCCTCGAAGTACCAGTCTATTGTAGACGCCGAGTGGGATATTATCTATGAGAAGCTGGAGCTATGTGTAAAAAGCGGCGCCCAAATTATCCTGTCTAAGCTGCCTGTAGGAGACCTGGCGACGCAGTACTTTGCTGACCGCGGGCTCTTCTGCGCAGGACGTGTAGCTCAGGACGACATGGAGCGTACGCAGCGTGCCACGGGCGGTGTGGTGCAGACGTCGGTACATGATATGAACCCGTCGGTGCTCGGCTCATGTGGTCGCTTCGAAGAGCGTCAGGTCGGCAACGAGCGATACAACATCTTCATGGAGTGCGCTGAGGCTAAAAGCTCCACGATTGTGCTGCGTGGTGGTGCTGAACAATTCATCGAGGAGGCTCACCGGTCTGTACACGATGCGCTCATGGTTGTAAAGCGTGCCGTAGCATCATCAACGGTGGTGGCGGGTGGTGGTGCGATCGAGATGGAGGTATCACGCTATCTGCGTCAGTACGCGCGTACTATTGAGGGCAAAGCACAGTTGTTGGTGAATGCGTACGCCAAGGCATTCGAGATCATTCCCCGCCAAATCGCAGAGAACGCCGGCCACGACGCGACTGACATTCTGAACCGCCTGCGTCAGAAACATTTTAAAGACCCTGAGGAAGGCAAGTGGTTTGGCGTTGATATCACCACGGGTGGCATCTGTGACACATATGAGTCGCACGTGTGGGAACCTGCTGCCAACAAGATTAACTCGATTGCAGCAGCAACGGAGGCTGCATGCCTCATCCTTTCGGTTGACGAGACCGTGCGCAACCCAAAGTCGGAGCAGCCGCAGGCTGGTTCTGGTGGCGGTGCACCAATGAGCGCTGCTATGGGTGGTCAAGGCATGCGTGGTATGATGGGTGGAGGCCGAGGAGGTCCTAGTGGTATGGGCCGTGGCGTGCGTGCTCTCCGCGGCAAAGGCGGTGCATAAATGTCGTTGCTGCGCCGTTAGGTAGAGAAGATGTGACTTGATCTCAGTCCAAGAGGTCATACGCTTTGGAAAAAGTTCGTAACTTTTGGCTTTGAAAAAGAGAGAGAGCAAGGAGAGAAACTGGGCTGGTTGCAAGTCGACAACAAAAAACAACAATACTTATTTGAGTTGCTGCCTACAACATTTTGATGTTGTGTATCGAGTTATTTGTCCACTGGGAAAATGTGTTGCTTTCACTATGTGGATTCAGGTCAACATATGCTGTTCGAGGCGCTGAGCAGGAATTGAGAAGTGGAGAAGGCCGTCAAGGTTAAATGATATGAGTGCATGTACGACTAGGGCTTGAGCTTCGTCTGCATGTGTCCGATGAACTTAAGCACGTAAGTTTCATGTTTAAGATCCCAGGATGATGAGCACTTCTACAACTTGTGCTGGTGCTTGACTTGAGGCCCAAACGATGGACACTAGCCCCAATGCGAGCAATTACGACGTCTTCAGCAAACCTTATCAGCTTTTCAGAGGTCGAGCTAATGCAATATGGACTAACGGTAGCTAAAAGCTGCACGCCCTTCGTACGAGGTGCTGCTATTCTTAAGTGAGTTTACATAGTTACGCACGCAACGCAACTCTGCTTGGCCCAACGTTGCCACCATTCCTTCATTCACAAGAGTGTTCGAGCGGTAGTAGGGTGAGTCAGAGGAAGTCTTGTCGCGCCACTCACCGAGCAATTATGTGCAGTTAAGAGACGCTACAACAAGCTGAAAACAACAAAGTTATGAGCTCTTTATCTGCATCACAACAACTGCTGTATCTATCGTCCACGCAGTCAAAAGTTCAAGTCAAACCTGCACAATATGATGCGTTCCTTCTTGTCTGCAGTCCATTGCTCCGTCGATCAACTTGTCTTACTCTACCTATTCCGATAGTTTTAGCATAATTACAAAGCTTTCGTGACGCTCTCCATGTGCTTGACAACTTCCAACACTGACTTGAAGCTAAAGGGTTCCGTAGCAGCCATGTCAGCAAGTACCTTCCGGTTCAGCTCGATGCCTGAGCCGTTCATCTTGCCGTAAAGCTTTGAGTACGACAGTCCCTCTTGACGCGCACCAGCATTAATCTTCTGAATCCATAACGACCGCATATCCTATCAAATAGCAGCGGATCGGATAGACAAGAATGTCAATTAGTTGATTAGTAAATCAATCGATACCGATTGTTAGAAACAAAAGATCATGGCGATATAGCAACATACACGTTTCTTTTGCTTGCGATCACGGTACTGGTATTGTAAACCCTTCTCTACACGATTAATGGCGGTACGGTAGCAAGAATTAGCGCGTCCACGATAACCCTTGGCCATGGCCAGAATCTTCTTGTGCTTTGCCCACGACATGATCCTTTCTGTGCTGATTCGGTACTGATCTACAAGTTAATGACCACTGCCGTCTCAATTCATTTTATGTCCAATCATATTCATGGTCTACTTGGATTGGTTGAAATAGTATTCAGAATCGTGCACTATTCGAGTTGCATGATGCTTCATCGCATAAGCCGAGGCGCGACCGTCGCTTCTGTTCAGCAAGCATTGCGTCGGTCAGCCACGACACGATCACAGTGCCGAACGTTTCACTTTAGCTCATCAGCGGCCAAGAAATCAGATCAGGACGGCAACAAGCGTGTGGCCAGCGCCACTTCTTTCTTCCTGGACGCTAAGGCCGCGTGCAAGGGCAAGCGCTGCGCTCTGGGCAAAGACAATAGCGGGATTGAGTCGAATCCTATTTCATGTGGAGAGGATTCATTCTTCCTTACACCTGACGTGGTGGGAGTGGCTGATGGCGTTGGTGGTTGGAATGAGAATGGAGTCGATCCGGGTAAAATCTCGCGTTCGTTGATGCGCAATGCGGCCGTTTTCGTGCGACAGCAGATGGCCAATAATGATAGTGTCTCAACAAAGGAGGTGCTGTCGTATGGATACAATAAGGCATTGCTGGATGATGAAGTGGAGGCAGGTAGCACGACTGCTTGTATTGTAAGACTGAAGCAATCGACCGATTGCAAGCCGGTGCTCGAGTACTCGAACCTCGGAGACTCGGGCTTTGTGGTGGTCCGTAATGGCGAAATTATTTTTCAAAGTAAATTTCAGGTTGGTGGGGGATTGAGTGACATGTATACTGAGTTATTATTGTATGTGCTGAGAAGTGATCTTGTGTTGTTGTTTTTTTGATGCAGTGTTACGGACAGGCACCGTATCAACTGGCAAAGATCCCGCTGCGGTTTAAAAAGTACGGTGCCATTGAGAACCACCCTGATGATGTGCGTTGATGTAATCGAAGATTTGTTGATCCAGAAGCGAAAAGTGCTGATATGTGTATCTTGCGACGGTTCAGGCAGATTCGGGTGAGATCGATGTGCAAGACGGGGATCTCGTGGTGCTAGCTACCGATGGTGTATGGGACAACTTTGCACCTAATCTCCAGATGACGCCAGCGCGGTTTCCGGTACGACGTTGCAGATACAGGATAGGAGCTGTAGTTGGTAATGCTAACTTTTTGCTGTGTGCGTGTTCTACAGCCGGTGCTCTCTTGGCGACGGTTCTGGTCAGGCGGACTAGCGTCATTTGCGGACGTTATTGCCGAGAATCCCGACAAGGCTGCTGAGAACATTGTGCTGGCCTCACTCCGCCACAACCTCAAACCGGACGACATTACGGTTATCGTGGCAAAGGTAGTCGTGATGACGTCTAAGCTATAGCATTGACGAACTACTACTCGTCGTTAAAAAGCGGGCAAGATAAATTGACATACGCCAGACCGTGAAAATAAACGCAACATCGACCGTGACAGTTTGAGCTGGGGCTACATATAATTTGCCTCATTACATCACGTATGTGATTGTAGAATTACATAAATGCAACAAAGCTAAGTCACAAATCAGCTCTGGTCCTTGCCTACAGGCAGCGCAACCGTCTCGAAGCAATACCCAATAAATAACAGTAACCATCAACTACGAGTGTCGTTGCAGATACTGGTGTTAAACAAAGTGAGACCAAAGCTTCTTTCACGAATAAAAGGTCAAATAGCTTGTGAGTGATACGCCTGGCTCCTTAATCATGAGGATTAATACAGCGGCAATACCAAACGTTCCCACTGCAACCACAAGCACTAGCAAGAAGCGCAGCAGCAGCACAAAGAAGATGCCATGTAGGATACCTCTGGCCTCGCCACGGAACACCTTGACTGATTTGGCCGTATTGCTCTTTAGTTTCGGCATGTCACTGAAGTTACTTGACGTATCGCTGAAAGTGCGTCGCTGGCGGGCTGTGAGAAGACTGTGAAACGGCGAGTGCTTGGTGGCAAGACGCGTGCTGCTGAGTCGAGCACGTCTTCGTTGCGATGAGTCGTGATCGTCTGAACGTGCTCGTGTCAGAGGAGCTCGTGCTTGATTTGGCATGGAAATTAATGCTTTGCTTGGTCAGTAGGTTGGAATATATAGACAGATGAAGACTAAATAGTGAAATGAATGTACAAAACAGATACTTGATTCGTATTTTCTTTGGTTTCAACGCACGGTTGTAAAGTCAGTAATTTGATAGCTAGCCGATTATGCCAAATGTAAGCGATTGCATGTATAAGCTCCTTCTTACTTGGCCTTTGCAAGCGACATGCAGAACAACCAATTGGCAAAAAATTTGCATGATATCAAAGGTTAGAAGGAGCCATCTGATGACTTTCATTATACAACCGGCAGTGATACAAAATTGAACATGGGCCAATTGTCGATCTTGGTGCGTGATCAATATCTGACTCGATCAAGAGGGCTAGGCCAGGATAGAGCTGAAGTTGCGCGTTTGATCAGTGACGGTCAAGACATCGTCGCTACAGTCGGCGAAGCTTTTTTTTCTTTTTTTTTTTTTTTTTTTTTTTTTACCCCTTTTTTTTTTTTTCCCCCCCTTTTTTTTTTTTTTTTTTTTTTTTGACCCACAAACATTACCCAGAGCTCTCACAAGGACAAATCGGGTACACAACTGTACATGAAGAAGATATGAACATGCCATTGAGTGATCCACAACGACTCAACCCGTCGAGAATGAATCACTTGAACTCAAATTCCGTTGTCAGCCGTATCGCTTTTAACCGATACCATTATGGCGGCCTTACCACGCTCACCCAGTGACTTATTTTTGTTGTCCTGATGCAAATAGACCCGAAAACCGATACCTAAAGTGGTGCCCTTTTAGTTAGCATTTCAATTGGTGAAAATATTGCCCTGGTTTGCCTTCGTAGGACTACGATTCAGTATGTATGCCGCATACTCGGCCCCCCCAAAACTTTAAAGGTACCCAACTACTTGCAACCCGCACCATATTCAACATGGTGCGGTACATACATTCAGCTTTATCCATTGCTGGCCTAATTGTTGTCTTCACTCACTTGTCGAGTGATACCAGTTGACTTACAAAACACATCCAGTGTCTTGCACTCGCCACCACCGTTGGTGCGTATTATGTAGCCAAGCTACTGTAGCTACGCTACTTATGCACTATGTGCAGAAGAAGTAGTCAAACTACGGTAGCAAAGCTACTTATGCACTATGTGCAGAGGAAGACAAGCTCAGAGAGCTTCGACGTCTTAGGGTGCTTAACTCTCCTAGGTTAGCTCGTAAGCTTATGCCTATCGGTTGTACGGTCTCAGAGAGACTAGTATCAATGATACAGATTCCTTCTAAAGGAAATGAACGCTCAAGCAGTAATGCTTACAGAGCAGGTTTGAAACTGATTTATATTTATGTTTATCTTTTAACACTAAATATAGAAGCACCTACTCTATAATTAGTGCTGGTCCCTATTGACTGGCTCTATAGCCTATTATTGTTATGCAAACATGCATAGTCACTATACTTTAAATTAGTATAGTGACCACGTGGCTCTCTGCCACGATGCGAGCCTTTGTACTTCAAGTACGGTCACATCAAGCCTACTTTTGTACCCACACCACATTGGTGTGGCAGGTGTGAATGTACAATACACACCTTCGTGTAACCCCGTTACACCCACCTATCCGTAGGGCCCGACGTACCCACGAATTCTCGCACTTAGTTGGAGGCATCGATTTCATTTTCTTCTCATTTTGCTTGCCTCGCAATAAGTGCTTGCACTTGCGTCTAAAGCTTCTGTGTTTCTAACACTTGCTCCTTGAGCACCCGTGCCTTGCACACACGCTTTCTAAGCATCCTTGTGTTACGACACTGACGCTCTTTGAGCATATAGTGCATCGCACTCACGCTAAAGCATTAAGTGTTACGACACTTGCTTATAAGCGTTAAGTGCCAAGCACTTGGTAATAGAACCCTTTGTGGCTTTCACAGTACTAAGTGCCTAGCACTTGCTTTACAGTGTTCACAACCATTGCTTTTAAGCATCACAGTGTTCACGAACACTTGCTTCTATAAAGCACTTGTCTTGATAGCGCTTGCTCCATCATGGATGAAGCAATGCGTCACGACATCTTTGGGGACGATGACAGTGACGTTGCCTCTAGGGGTGGCGGAGCCGAGTCACCTTCGGGTCAAAGTACCCCAAGATCGTCACGCTCGCCAAGCGATCGTCTCTCCCAAAGGAGACAGCTCCTTTGCGCCAAGCACCTCCTCTTCCCTCGCGAGAGGGTGCCGAAGAAGAGGTAACCAACCCTCTAGACGCTGCACAGCGTCTTCAACTCGAGGGCGAGGCCCGAGCGGCCGCTTTGGCACGGCCCAAACCAGCATTTTTACGACGTGCTTATGGGTTCGTGCCCCGGGACCCTAATGAGGAAGCTTGACGAGCTGCATCGCAATCTTTGCGAACCCATGTCATTGGGTCCCATGCCCGTACGGCCTGCAAGAATGCAGATAGTGTTGCTCTTCGTGAGCGGCTCCTTACTCCCCAGGGGTTTACGATGAAATCGTATCAGGAGCGACTGTCACGATAGTCACGTGGGTGCCTGTGCACCCACTAAACGGCGTACCAGTGGTGCTTGCACCAGGTGAAAAATCTGCACAAGATGACCACCAGTTCACCCGCTGGGTAGAACGAGCATGTAAGCTCTCAAGTTTGACGAACTTGCGTTTAAGCGCTAAAGCGCAAGACGTTTGGTTAGAACGTCGCCTACGTTTTAACTTTGCTAAGCATAAAGCGAAACTTCAATTACCTTCCACATACAGGTGGGCAAAGACTTGTGGAAGACAAGCTTTTGAAGCTGTTGCCCGTACCTCTCACTCGAGTGATGTACCGACAATGGCTTCTTCTGAAGGGCAGAGGCGAAGTTATCCTACTGAGCTTGCTTCCATAGCACCTAGTGCTCGACGACAGCTGTCGTCGCTTCTGACCGTCTTGGTCAAAAGCGTCAACGGCGTCAGGGCAATCCTGCCTGAGGGGTACCTCATACTCCCATGAGTCATACGACTGGGGGTAACCCCTCCACTTCACCAAGTATTGGGTATGACCCTGGTGACGACTCTGAGTCAAAAGACGTTCGACGTGGAGCTGTTGATGACCCGGTTCATCAACCAGCATCGGCGGAGAACGATGACGCATTGACCTCTCATATCTCTGAGATCGAGCGTCGCCTGACACTTTTGGAGCGTGATGATCTTGGATCGGTGAAGTCTCACCTGTTATCGCTCGATGACCGTGTCGATCGACACCGTCGGTCTTTTGAGCGTTATCACTCTGAGACCTTGGATTGCTTAACGACGATTGAGCGTTCTCAAGCCAAACTGCGATGTCATATCGACATCCTGGGACGCCTTCAGCGTCCATATGCACCTCCGGTGCAGTACTTCCCTCCTCCTTCGGCCGGGGATTTGGGGACAACCCCTCGAAGTCCACCGAGGCAGGGTTGAGGAATGGCTTTAGCAAGCCCACGTAGAACACAGGATGTGTTCTCTTTTTCTTCGGAAGGTTCAGCGTATAGGCTAAACCTTTCGTGCCTATGACCTTGAAAGGTCCAATAAAACGTGGCCGTAATTTAGTTTTATATACCGCCGAAACGGCACGGGTAGGTAAATTCCTAGCGTTTAATAAAACTAAATCACCCACTTTGAACTCTTGATCGTTCTTCCTGCCTTTGGCATCCGCTTGTTCCTTCTAGAACATCCTGGCTTTCAGCCATAGCGTCTTTGACGCGACGTAATACATCAAAACGCGTTGACAGAAACGCTTCCACCTTCTTGCGTATCGCAACAGGGCTGATATCAGCCAAGCCTTCGGCTATCGCTCCCCCTACTAAGCCCTGATGTGGCAGGGGGTAGCGTTAAAGGAACGCGAGGGTTGACCAAACCATTCACATAGAATGGCGTGAAGCCTGTCGAGGCATGCACCGCGTTGTTTAGCGCAAGCTCTACCAGAGGGGGCATCGCGCTCCATTGCTTGGTTGTTTCAGCACAAACACTGCGAAGCATATCGCCAATAACTCGATTAACGCGTTCAGTGCTGACCATCGGTCTGCGGCTGATCCGCCGTGAACATGTCCAGTCGAGTGCCGAGCACTTTAAAGACGGACGTCCAAAACTTACCCGTAAAACGGGGTCTCTATCCGAGACGATTGCCACAGGCAATCCGTGTTGTCGAAACACACGATCCATAAACAGCTTAGCTGTTCCTTCTCCATCAATGGAGTCCGGCACTGCCGCTAAGTGAGCCATCTTGCTCAGTCGGTCAACAAAGACCACAATCCCAGTGTTGCCTGCCGCATCACGCGGTAGGCCAAACACAAAGTCCATACTAATGGACTGCCACAACCCCGAGGGTACAGGCAAACTCGCCAAAGGCGCAGCCAAACTAGGCGAGTGTTTCACCCTTTGACACGTTTCACACGTGCGTATATGTACCAACCCATTTGTACAACTTGGGCCACCAATAATGGGTGCTCACCGAGCTGTAGGTCTTCTCACGACCTAAATGACCACCAAGTGGTGTATCATGAGCCTCATAAAGATATCTGATACTTGGGGTCCTCATCATGAGGCACCACAACACGAGGCTGGTCATCCGACCCTGTACTATAGTACAACAGACCATCGGTCAGTGCATAACGATGTAATCTCGCACGATTACGTGGTGACAACTTCACCTTGAGTTTTCAAACTCTGCGCTACCTAGTGCCTGCAAAATGGCAACACATGCCTCATCGCGTGCATACGCCACACGGATACGATCCGTTACTGACGAACTTACAACAGTGAGATGACCAAGCTCATAGTCAGGTCTACGCGATAACGCGTCAGGCAAAATATTCTGTTTTCCCGGCTTATACTGCGCCTCGAAGTTATACTCCGCGAAAAAGGAGAGCCAACGAGCCATTCTCTGCGAGAGATGAGGCGACTGTGTCGCTGCGCGTAGCGACGCATGATCTGTATAGATCACAAACGGCTTTGAGCCCAACAGGTGTACCCTGAACTCAACAAGGGCATACTTC